CTAGCAGTCATGTATCAAATAAATTTTGTTCCAAGCAACAAAATCCAATATTTGGGCGGGTAGTCTAAAAACAAAGGACAGACATCCAGGTAACCAACAGGGTCTTTTCAATCGTACAAGCTATTATTGCATTTCTAACTCTCAACAAAGTTATTACTGAAACGCTATACAGTGTTTATCCTCTTTTCAAATCCAGATTCTGAATAGATCATATTGAAGCGAATATCAACGATGTTCATACATACAAGACTCCCAGCCCTTTTCGGCTCTGTAAAGCATTTAAATATTATCTAACGATTTGTAAGTCAAGAAACTTGTACCTGTGTGAATATTATTACAACTAACGGCTAAGTCAGTCAGTCAGTCAGTAACAACGTAGAACTTCGTAAGTACGTACATCAGTTCGAGTTGCCACACCACATTAGCACAGAGATGCACTTGTCGATTCAAATCCCGTAGTGGTAGAGGTAATAAGAGTATAAGCAGTAATCGGGAAGATTAGGGTTTGGAGATGTTATTTAAAGAGTATAATCCAGTGAAAGAAATTTGGAAAGAGGAAAAAAGGGACATGAAGAATTCAGAAGTTTAGAATTTGGGAGAACACAGAGAGTGGATGCACCTGCGCCATTGCAAACGATTTTGAGCCATGTCATTCAGGGTCTCTAACCATCGGTTGCTGTCATCTCGCGGTCCCCAACCAGGTAGTCTACACCTACCAACATGGCTCAGTTCACTTGTCAGTGACTTCATGGACTTGTGCCATGTTTTGGTTTGGCCGCCCCTAGCTTTCTTCCAACCTACTCCTATAACAATGAACATAGCACGTTGAGGCATTCGGTCGTTGGGCATACGTAACACGTGTCCCAGCCATCACAATTGATAAAGTTTCACTACTTCATCAATTGATTTGCCATCCTTACCTAGTACTCGTTTCCTAACAACTGTGTTACTTACTCGATGGTCCCAGGATATACGAGCAATTTTTCGAAGACACCTATGATCAAATACTAGTAACCTATGGATATCCTCTACTCTTACCGGCCATGTTTCACTGCCATAAAGTAGGACGGAACGAACTGCTGCGCAGTGAACACGTCCTTTGATTGATAGACGGATATCTCGCCTACGCCATAAATGACGCAAGTTGGCAAAAGCTAGTCGAGCCTTCTGTATCCGTGCTGAGATTTCGTCACACACTAAACCACAAGGGCTGATGAGACTTCCAAGATAAGTGAAGCGGTCGACACACTCAACTACTTCACTCCCTATTACTAGTTCGGGTGTCAATGCCACCCAATCCTGAAGCAACATTTTGCATTTCGAGGGAGAGAATCGCATCCCGAACATGCTTGCATTGTTGCTTAGAGTGGTCAGAAGACTCTGCATTTTGTCAGCGTCTTCACCAAATAAAACTATGTCATCTGCATATTCTAAGTCAACAAGTGAACCTCCTGGTAGAAGTTCAACCCCTGGAAATTTAGATGAGGAGAGTGTTATCTCTAAAAGTACGTCAATGACAAAGTTGAACAAGAATGGGGAGAGTGGACAGCCCTGACGAACACCACTTGAGGTAATCAATTCTGATGACAGTTCGCCATAAGCTCTCACTCTACCAGTTGTGTTCGAGTAGAGAGCATTTATATGGTTAATGTACTACTTTGGTACTCCTTTCAGTGACAAACACTGCCATAGAACCTTACGATCAATAGAGTCGAATGCCGCCTTAAGGTCGAGAAATACTACCATTGTGGGGCGTCTGAATGTGTGTCTGTGTTCTAGAACCTGACGTAGTGTCAATATCTGATCTATGCAACCACGTCCAGGTCGAAAACCAGCCTGGTTTTCTCTAATCTGCTCTTCACGAGCTTTAGTTAGGCGTCGAAGTATTATTGAAGCTAATATTTTAGACACTATATTAGTCAAACTGATTCCTCTGTGATTGTCACAAGAGGACTTTTGTCCTTTCTTAAAAACTGGCACAATCAGTGATTGAGACCAGTCAGATGGGATTACGTCCAGTTCCCAAATTCTACCTAAGACCTCGGTTAATCTCATTGCTAATACTGGACCACCATCCTTAAAAATCTCAGGAGTAAACCTATCAGGGCCTGCTGCTCTCCTTCGCTTCAGATTTCCTATGGCTTTTTCAACTGCGTAAAGGGACGGAGGACTTACATTAACTTGCCATTCAGGTTGACTGGAGATCGTGGAAAACCAAAGTGTGGCTGAAGGCCAGTTGAACTGATCCCTAAAGTGTTCTGCCCATCGATCCAATCTCCTGGATTGAGAATGTATAATATATCCATCTTTCTCTGAGAGTGTTTCGCTAACGGTCGGGTTCCTAATTCCGGTTTCCTTAACGAGTCTGAACAATTGTCTGCTATTACCTATTGCCGCTGCCTTTTCCATCTCTCTTGCTTTTGCTACCCACCACTGTTCGCGATCATTGCGTAGGCTTCTTGTCAGCTTGCGCTTAAGCAGACTCCTCTCTTCGTTACGTTCAGAGCCAGGTGGAATGAGTTTCCGAGCATCTATCAGTGCGATAGACGCTGCTGAGATCCAGTGTTGCTCCCTAACCTTGTGGTTTACCTTACTAGCAGATATCACTGCTATTTCCACAGCTTTTCGGACATCATTCCATGCTGCCTCGGGGTGGGCATCACATACATGGCTGCCTAACTGTTTTCCTAGTTGTTCCTGAAATATACTCTTAGCTTGACTATCATTAAGTAAGGCCCTAAGAGGTTTCCTTGCAGGATCTTTCCTACGTCCAATAAGACGCAAGCAAATACGCGCTCGCACTAGAGCATGATCTGAATCTAGGCATGTGCTCCAGAATGAGCGACAGTCTTCTATCGAGCCCCTCCATCGGTGGGTGATAGCGATGTGATCTATTTGGGTCCAACGTTGGGACGAATTAGGGGGTCGCCATGTCAAAAGATGTTTTTGCTTATGCTTAAAGTTAGTATTTGCAAAGAACAGGCGGTTATCTGAGCATAGCTGCAACAGACGGTCGCCATTATCTGTTCTTTGAGCCACGATGCTATAAGATCCACCTAGGTGTCTTTCCTTATCGCTTAGTTTACCTACTTTAGCATTAAAGTCACCGGCCACTATTACTACATCCGAGCGCTTAGCTTTTCGGAGAAGGTCCGAAAGCTTTCTGTAAAACTCATCTTTTACATCATCTGAGCTGCAGTCAGTGGGAGAATAGGCAGAGACGACGAAGAGGCAACGACGAGTGTCCCTATCTTTCCGGATTCTTACTGTTCCGTTCAGTCGGACAGCGCACAAACGACTGTCTACTGGGATCCACTCTAAGAGAGCTAGTTCTGCCCTGGGACTCAATGCTATACCTACGCCGGCGAGGTCACGGGAAGCAGAATCAGGGCTTCCAGATACACGAAGCGTAAATCCAGTCGGTTCCTTATTTAGGCATGGTGAGGTCAAATGAATGACGCTACTTGGATCCTGTATGCGCGTTTCGGAGACGCAGCACACATCGATGGCGCGAGATTCTAAAGTCCTAGCTAAGGAAGCCTGCTGTCCTATTTGGCAAAGTGTTCGTACGTTAAAAGCTCCTACGTGTAGTTTAGAGCGTGGTTTCAGGAGACCAGGAATGGCGTTCCACGTACTCGAATCGTTTGCCCTAGCTGTGCGAGGTGATAAAGAGACGTGAGGAGGGTTAGTCGGGAGGATAAGAGAGGTATTAGGAGGTGTAGGAACGATTTGAATGTGACCACCTTGGTCTCTTGTGCTGTTACGGGTATGAGGGCTGATGTCACTTCCCGCCTGCCCACACCGTGGAAGGATATTTCTTGAGGAACCTGAAAAGGAAATTGGATTAGTGTTGGTCTTGACGACCTGGGAGCGTGACCGCAGAGCCCAAGGGACAACTGCTTGAGGCCGGTCGCGCACGGCCTTTTTGTGGAAGGTTTTTGACGTGTTAGCTCCGTTCTTCAAGGGGCCTTACCGCCGGAGACGGAAATCCGTGAGGTAAGGTGAGGCGTGACATTTTTAGGGTCGACCTTTTCTAACCCCACCCCTCCTTGTGGGAAGGCAGCATCGCTGTCATGCTGGTTGTCCGAGGGAAACACCTTACTGCTGTCACACCTCTCTACAATCAGCAGTACGACTTCGCCCTCAGACCTTGAGTTGCTGCTTTTAGTCTTACCGTTCGCCAATCGACCTGCCTGGCATGGTAGAACCTACAGGAACATATGTTCCAGCCAATATAGCTCGGTTGGGTCATCACGATAGGCAAGCCCGACCACCGCGTCAAGGTAGCAGCTTCGATCGGGACTAACGGCTAAAGTTTAAAGCTAGCCTGAATCGGAAGGAAAGCATAGTTAAGAATCTGGTTGCATTTTCATTGAGCAAAGAAAATGGTCTGTAAGTTAGATCGTAATTTTAAGAAATTCCCTACTTACAAACGTAGTTTTATTTTATCCTCTAAAACTGATATGACGGGATGAAAAAGACAAGATTAATGCCTTTTACTCATTGTTACTTCTATTCAAAATTACTTCCGTATATTTAATTCAATGTGGTGTAATATTTGTTTTTATTTTCCACTGTGATATGTTATTGGTTATAATATTAATTTAATTGAGAATGATGTCACTTTAAGATACGATATTCTTGTATTAAATCAACATGAACTATGCTGAGCCTGATAGACATGTGATTTTGCTATTACTCTGGGTATTTTTCTATTTCTGTGATTTTAATTTATAATCAAAATGAGTGTCTAATCAATATATATTGAGTGTATTTGCAATTAAGGTGGTCTTGTTTTGGGATTGATAAATCTTCACTCGTACTAGTCTTCATGTTATTACTTCGCGTCCTGATTCCTTGTATTTTTCAAGTATAAATAATAAGCGGCGCGGATATAACAAGAACTTTTTCACACAGGTGGATATGAACAGTGTTATAAAAGACTAGTGTGGAGCAATGACTTAAATATTGAATGTTTAGTTCTACAAGAGAAAACCTCATTTACGTCATAGAATATATTCTTTTTTCATCAAGACAACATTAAACTAATGAAATGAATATACTTTGGCATTTTAAAATTTTGAAACTACGCTTTTCATACTATCAAAATATGTGAATTAAAAAAACACTAATTGGAAATATACAAGCTAAACAACATGTACAATAATAATGTATACAATAAATTAGGAGAACGAGGAAAATACATAGTATCCAAGCGTATGTAATATAAATAATACATTAAGTATGAGTCAGTCAGCTACAACGTAGGACCAGGCACATATATGCATCGGTCCAAGTTGCCTCACTCCATTAGCACAAAAAGATGATCACCAAATTCATAGAAGTATGATATCTTCGAGAATAAAATATTATAATTTACCTGAACAAACAAGTAGTGAAGGTAATAAAATGTCCAATGTCTTGTTTATCTGGATCAAATATAAAAATGGTTAGTGAGTATAGATAAGGAAATTTGTTCTTCAATGATGATAGCCAACTATAAAATTAGCTTGCGAAGCAAAAGAAAGGATGATCGTCATATACACAGCACTACATACATAATAGAAAAATATCTGTATACGTCAACTGTAAAACACGAAACTTCAAAGGTATAGTAAAAATGTAACTTTAATTCGCTTTTTAACGTCGGAGAGAATGTTGCAGAGTTAAAAAAGTATGCAAACAGAAGAAATTGAGTTGACAGAAATGTGTAAATCATATATTTTCAATAGTATATATTAAAAACACACAGGAATTATAGGAATCAACACAGACACCTTTTTTATTGGAAAAGAGATCAGGTATAAATGATTCTATTTTATTTTCTTTACAAAACAGAAGGGAAACATTTTCATAATAAATGATACACAAAAATTCAATTCAGCAAGTATGTATACAAGATAATTATGTGATGACCTTTTCTGTTGTTGTATCATCATTATCACCGAATTCGTCATAAGCCTTAAATTTTTCATTTGGTACAGCAAAACTATACTTTTTCGTTAAATGATCATGAAGTACAATAGGTGGTGGTGCACAAATCTTTTGACGTATCACTTGTAAAACTGTCACAATACTGCCCATTGCTAGTATGAAATAAATGATTGATACAGCAGGTACCTTTAATAGAAAATACATTATAACCATTATACAGTAAGTTATCAGAATGATCATCGTTGGTCGAAAAGAAAATGTGTATGTGATTCACTAGTTATATTTACAGCTAAACAAAAAATAATAAAATTTATTTTTAGTACAGGGTTGTTGATCCCAACTAAGTGGTCTAGAGATTAAGCGTTCACGTACGAGACCGGAGATTATGAGTTCAATTCGTGCGTGTGGAGTCGTTGATGCACACTGCTGAGGAGCTCCATGCTAGGACAAAACGGCCGCTTAGATTTCTAATGATGATTTAACATAAATCGACTTATGATTTTAATGAAATAATACTGTTGAAATGAAACTTACATCAAAGGGAGATGATTAGTACAGTATGATAAATGTGAATAGTAATAAAACATGAAAATGTTGTCATCAAATATATATTTATAACCTATAGAAAACAAGACGGAAGTGATTACAGTCAGTAAAAAACCAATATCCATAAATCTCAACTTCAAAGGTGATGACGTCACAAGCACAATCAACAGGAGGCTTAACACTGCACTAGCCAGAACTTAGCCGGCAACCAAACCATTAATTCTGTATAAAACATGTTCAATAACCTAATCAAAGGTTGACAAGCACCCCTTTCACGTTAATGCCAACTGTACTTATAAATTTACGTGTACCTACCAAAGCAGCTACATTGGCCGAACAGAAAGGAGGGTATATTTTAGTTTTTTGAGCATGTTCCAAAAAGCCTTGCAACAAGAGAAAAAACGACTCTGAACAGTGCAATTACCAAACATATCTTGGATACAGGACATCAGGTCGATACCTTTCAATTTGTCAAGGTGATTAATAAGCAGCCAAACTCAACCCTGAAGTTTGCTGAAGCTGTTGCTGTCAGGCGTCAAAAACCTGATTTACGTGTTCAAAATAAGATGGTTATTAATTTTTCCTTGGATTGGCGACAAATATACCTTTGTTACATCTTAAACTTTTCTAAATTTCTTGCATTTATTACATCATTGAGTTTTTATTTCAACTATCTTCCAGATTAGTAATCTTATTTTACGAACTGAGCTTTACTCATTTAATTCCTATCGGGGTTTACTCATTACGTAATCACTTGTTTCTGGCCATTTGAACTGTTGTCACAATCAATGTTGTGGAATTTTCTTTTACATGAGGTATATATTTACAATATTCAGTCTATTAAATTTATTTACACCCCTGCTATGCTAATATGTTTTCAACATAATTTCCGACTAAACTCTCTCATGTAATTAATTTAAACCCATTTTGTAATTATGATTTTTAAATATTAGAGGCTGTAAGCGGCTGACGAAAACCAACAAAATAAAATGGATTCATGCTATTCCGCTAGAATTATTGTTATTATTATTAAGTCCCAAGATCGACATCGTACGGAAAAAAACATCAGACGATATATGTTAAATCCTTATGATCCGTTCTAAAATGAACCAGTGATTCATCTGAAAAAACCATCTGGGTGTAAATCGAAGATGTTGTGAAACTAAGTGGCTGAGGTGAAATCTATAAACATCACTATTTAAATACAAGATTAATTAGCATAACATAATAAAAGACAACTGTAAAAAATCACTTAAGATGAAAAAGATATTTTAAAAAACAAAATAACTGTGCTCAATTTGCGAAATGAGTTGAGTCGGTTCATTTGTACTCTTTTAGGTTACAGACTGAATTTTTTGATAACTGACAGTAATGTAGGTAAAATACGATTCACAACAAAACTCACCACTAAAGAGATTGTTTGTCGTTAGGTATTAAAATGATCCTCTAGTTATTTGGTATGCACAAGTAAATAAAAGTTGGAGAATAGATTAGTGAGTCAAACAAATCTACTTAAGCATTGCTGGAATGTTTTATGACTAGTAAGTAAAAAATATTGAATTTAGGTGTAGAGTCTTAAGTGAATGAAGAGAGTGGGTTGCTGATGTGAATATTAACCAGCTGAAGTGCTTAGAATGTCAATCATTTCTAATAAGAAATGGACTATTTTACTTTGGTTTTCAAAATTAACTGTAGAGAAAGAGCTTTAAGCGGCCAGCTAAATAGACTGAGATGATCCATGAAGTAGATGGCTGTTCGAACCACTGATGTTGACATTGTCTACCAAGTGAAAAATCGGATTAGAAACTATTAGAGAGACCAAGAAAATCTCCATATATATCCGCTAACAGTAGGCTGGTACAAATTATTTCTATCGTACTAAAGTTTATCCAACATTCTAATCGTATTACTGAAGCTTTCGGAAAACCTGGTAGGTCGCTAAGCATTATAGTATTTTTCAGAAGTCTACTTCCTGAAACGTTGGACAGTTACGAAGGTAAAGATGTTTGGTGAAAAAAGCTTACTATGCCACTTCCTACATAAAAATCTGACGCTGATGGATAAAGACAGAAAAATTCAACAAAAGACAATAAAGACCACACAGGTTTTGTCAATTATTTGAATAAAACATAGTTTTGAAAATGAATGTTATGAAACAAATAGAGCACCTACAATTGAATGTATAGTGCGAATCTAGTTAAACCACAATCTGTGATTGATTGAAGCTGCTTTCTGTTATTCGTGGATCTTAAGAAGCATAAATACGTTTAATTAATAACAAGCATGGAACTTTAACAAATATTAATATTAACTTAGTGTTACTTAGTTTTATTTCGTTCCTTTTAACCCCCAATAAAATGGATTCGGTAACTAAATGCTGATAAAATGTAATCACATTTGCCACTTGGCCTGTATGTATTTATAAGATATCAGTTTTATATTAAGTAATTTTGCAAACATTTAAATAATATCTGACCTGCCATTCGTGACAATAGCTCTGTTGGGATATGACGTAAAGATTATAAGCCATGTATAGTTCAAAACCGTATACTACAAATAGGAAAGGTAGGACGAACGTAATTCGACGAAACATCCATGACATGAAACCATCTGTGAAAAGAAATTATCCAGTGGAATGAATTAGCATATTACTTAAGAAGTAAATCAAACATGACTTAATAATTTTAACTACAATTGATTTCGGTTGCCCCACTCTGAAATACCTTAGAATACAAAAATCAAAAACAGGGAAAGACAACATATAAAAAAGGGACAGAAAATAACGTTAACAATGAACAGTTTACCAATGAAGACTCAAAATCATATCAATGTCTTGAACCTCAGTGTATTAATAAATGGCATAAAACCTCATTGATGTCTTTCAACACCATCTGTTGTATCCCGATAGGAATAATGAATAGTAATTTTTGGGATCCATTTATGGACCAATATTATGAGTATGTTTTTATCGTATAATTGTTATGTAACTAAACTGTTCATATTCATACTCCTCTTATTATGAGCTTTATTTTGACCTATGAACTATTAGTATACGATTTACCATTCATGAACTATTCCCTGTCTGTTAATCGCTACCTCCGTCATTCACAGCCACATCTGGCTAATTCCTGTAAAATGTTGTTCATATTTTATTGGTACGTTGTGGTCGGTGTTTGGTATATAAACTCAGTATTTATTCATTTGAACACATAAATATTGGTACAAGAGAGTGCCAATATATATGAGCCACACAAAACAATGAGAATTCGAAGAGAAAAAAAAGGTAAGGAGCGTAAGAAAAAAGAGAACAATAACGAAGAGATTGGTGTAAGGTAGCATGGTAGAAATGAGGGAACGGAAAGGTACAATCAGAAGAATTCTTTCAGTTAAGGGAGACACAACCACTTTTTATGAAGAAAGCAAAAGAAGGTTACAGCAGGATTACCACTGGCTTCTATTCTGAGCCATATCTGATAACGTCTCTAGCCACTGTGTAGCACCATCTCTCAGACCCCAACCAGGGAGTCGTGAAGGACCAACACAAGCCAGTCCTTTGCAGCTTTCTTTCATGCCACGACACCATGTCATGCACTGACCACCTCTCCGCTTCTTACAACCAGTCCCAGAGTCGGCAAATAATGCACGACGTCGAATTCTCTGGGACGACATTCGTAGAATATGTCCAAGCCACCGAAGTCGGTGTTTCAAGATGGTGACATCGATTACATTATCATCTCTGTGCCCGAACACACGATGCCGAACCTCTGCATTACTGACATGGTGTTGCCACTGGATGTCAGCAATCCTTCGGAGACAGCGATGATCGAACACAGAGTCGTCTAACGTCCTCAACTCGGAGTGGCCAGGTTTCACAAGCATAGAGCAGAACTGCTCTCACCGACGAGTTGTAGATCCGACCTTTTACAGCCAGACTAACATCACGAAGGCGCCAAAGGTGGCCCAGATTGGCATAAGCCGCTCTGGCTTTCACTATTCGTGCATTGATCTCATCACTCACACCCCCACCAGCACTTATGCAGCTACCCAGATACACGAACTTCTCGACTACTTCTATCTGCTCACCATCCAGGGTGAGTACAGGATTAGGATCCTGCTAGTCTTGTAGAAGTACTTTGCACTTCGAAGGTGAAAAGCACATACCGTACCTACGGACACTGATTGCCAACTGATTAAGTGCGGATTGCATGGCTTGGGCATTATCGCACAGTAAGACAATATCATCCGCATACTCAAGGTCGAGAAGTTTTTCTCCAGGCAACAGATCCACACCACCATTACTTACATCCATCAGAGCTGTTTCCAGAATGTCATCGATGGCAAAGTTGAAGAGGAATGGTGAGATTGGGCAACCCTGTCTAATCCCAATGCTTGAATGGAACAATGGAGAAAGGTGGTTGTATGCCCTCACTCTACCTGAGGTGTTTGCATATAGGGCTTTTGAGATGTTAATAAACTTCTCAGGCACACCCTTCGTCAATAGACAATCCCAGAGAACAGTCCTGTCCAACGAATCGAAGGCAGCCCTGATGGCGAGAAACACTACGATTGTTGGCCTTTGATAAGTATAACGGTGTTCTAACATTTGGTGGAGAGTGAAGATATGATCAATACATCCTCGACCAGAACGAAAACCAGCCTGCTCCTCGCGAGTCAATCTTTCTCAGGTTTTGAACAACCTACGAAGTATGACGGAAGCCAATAGCTTGGACGCAATCGGAAGTAGACTTATCCCCCGATAGTTGTTACAGGAACGACGTGAACCCTTTTTAAAGACAGGGACAACTATCGATTCATTCCATGACGTTGGTGCACTCTCTAGCTCCCAAACCTTTGTAAACAACGTCGTCCATTCCTTAGTCAGAAAGTCACCGCCATCTTTAAAAAGAGCCAGAGGTAAGTCATCTGGAAACTACTTTACTTGCTTCAAATATAAACTCAGTATGCTTAAAATATAATGATTCATATCTCCGAGGCTGAGACTTGCGTTCTGGACTCAACTGGCTGGGCTAGACAGGGAAGCAGAACCAATCAGGACTCTAGGTTGTTCTCATGTGTTTAAGCGTCTTTGGTCCGATCGATAATTCGCTGCGCTCTAATCTGCTGTCACAAGTTATAACACCATCTGACAGTGGTTCAAAGTAAAATTACCTGATAGAATTGATTCTACGTCAAAACGTACTATCATTAAGTAAAAATTACAAAACTTTGATTACAGATATTGAACAGTGCCGTCTGAGAAAATTTCTCCTCAATTGAGTAGGCCAGTATCGAAAGATCGAGATGGGAAACTTTATGTTAACAAATCTCAACCGATTTAACCCGATGAAAGCACATCGTAAATCTTATCAATTCACTGATTTAATCCATAAGGAACAAAACTTACAATCACACTAAATAACTAGACACTTTGTATTACATGACTGATTTAAGTATAATAATGTATCATAGAACATAGTTCACACAATCAACATTGAACACAGACCACAAACTCAGTCAAATAGATAATCTTAATATACAACCACTTCCTACTGTACACCCATATATATGACAATATAATATAAATACTTTCACAGAAGTCAATAAAATACTTTAAAATAAATAATAAAGTCTATTAATTTACCAACAGTTATATCCATTGGATGTCGACAACCCAAAGTACGAAGTTTATACAGGCAACTTATTTGATATTGAAATTGTATAAAATGAACAAGATCTGTAAAAGAAAAAAAAATTATCAGCAAAAATTATTGCAGGAGATACAGGAATCTGGGAGACAATCACCATAAAAAATGTACAGTTCTTTCCAGTTGCTCAACATTTCTCAATAGAACATAGACTGTTAGAGAAGTAAGCAAAAGAAAGATATTAAAAAGCAACAGGGAAGAAAGGGGATAAATAAACGAATACGTGCTAAGGAACTGTTCGAAATTGAAAAAGAAAAATTAAACAGTAATATGCAGTGTGATTCCACGAACCAATTTTCGATTGTTAAAATAAAAAAACGTCGACTAATGCATAATATCCAATGAATGACACAATATGGCCAAGTGATAGTTGTTCATGAGACCGAATTATTAACGTAAGGCCTCGAACGATTTGAGATTACAAACAAGACCAGTCAGAAGAGTAGGAATTTTTTAACAAAATAATATGGTTCATTATAAATTATTAGCCGAAAAATAAATATAGTTAAATGTCCTAAACGATTAGAGGAAATCAGTTTTGCAGGTTACTCACTCTCCAATGAACTAAGACTTGTCAATTAAGCCCAATTCTTGCCCATTATATCAAACATAAACAAATAGTACAAGGCTCATATTATTCAAAAGAATGTTAATTACATCCACGATATATGGTACAATCTATTTTGGTTATATTACAGCTGATTAATGTACAGATATCTTAACTAAACACGGACTTATGACCGAAAAATTGTGATTACTATACAAACAACATCTCTTACGACGATGGTTTCTAATTCTGAATATATACATAATAAAATGAAATCGCTTCTTAGAATATTAACAATTTCCTATTTATTTCTAATAACTATCAAATCCATACCCCGCTTTATACATGACTGACCCAATACAAACAAGAAAATATCATTTAAAGTGAACCTATTTGTTTTTGTTCATCTGAAAATAGGAACTTTCAGTATTATTATCGATGATTTAATGGTTTAAAAAATTTGGGCATTGGGAGAGTGGTATTATCACTAGAAATTTGTATTATCCAACTGATGAAAAAACAAAGCGAAATTGTGTTCTTAACAACGTTTTGCTAATTAGTATAATGAATGGTACTCTGATAAAGTTATTAGCATTAAATAACGAAACACATGAGTAAAAACAATTCTGTTTTGTCTTTCCGCTGACTACAAAATATAATTTTTTAAGAATTATCAATGATTAACTAATTTTCAAAAAAGAAATGCGAATAAGAACACCACGCACTTAATGACAACAAAGCTGTGTGAACACCATTATCTCCTTCGGTACAACTTACTGATTAACAATCTAAGTCAGTATCTCAATCTATAAGGTACACTGACCGGACAGCAATAAAGAACACCAAACTGTTTTAATTAAAGTTGGTAGATTGCAATCTGAACGGCAGTCGGGAAAATAAATACATCAAAAGTACAATTGTAACTTGAGTATACCTTTTCTATGAGGTTAGGACATGTCTGATTTCATTTCAATCGGATCAGTAAGATGAAAATATATGTAAAATGATAAAGATTTTATTCACTAATACTAACGCAATGTAGTGCATCAAAATAGGATCACAACTTTAAAAATACTTTAGCGAACCAGATAATAGCGTGGACATGATCGCTATATATAGAAAACACACACGTCAACCATTTAAACTATCCACATGATGTATGATATCACGAGTGAATGGCCAAAAAATGTAATAGTCCTTCCTATGCTTAGTTGGTCATATGGTCAAGAAAATTTCAATAAAGGCGTTATTTACAAAGACTTCTTGCTGAAGAACGACGATAATGACAAAAACAGAAACACTCACTCAACAGTCAGTCATTATCAACATAGAGTCTAACACAGATGTGCGTTTGGTCAAGTTTCCATGCTGAATTAGCACGACAAGATGAAAATAACAAGATGACTGGCAAGAGATTTGAGGAATGTGGTGTCAATGGCAATGAGAAAGACAAGAGATTGAGAATAGGGTTCAAAAAGACGAAATGGGAAAGCATATATGAAGGAATAATTGAATATAAGATCTAGAAAAAGATAAGGAGTGAATCAGTCCGCGCGAATGTAAATGATTCTGAGCCGTGTGACTTACAGTTACCAATCACTGAATGTGAATGTCTTGCAGGCGCCGATCAAGCAGTCTGCACCAACTGACACGGCTTAGACCAACGGTTAATGACTTCACGGACTGACGACACTTTTTGATCTGACTGCCACTAGCTTTCGTTCAACTTACTCTTACTCCTAAACTAACAACCATCGATAGTCGATGTAGGCAGCGGTTAGGCACACGTAACATATATTCTGACCACTACAGTAGCTGAAGGTTTACAACCTCATAAATTGGTTTCCCACTTTTGTCAAGTGCCCTATACCTAACACCTCAGCATTCCTCACTCAGTCGTTCCACAAAACGCTAGCAATGTTTCGAAGACACCTATAGTCAAAAACCTGCTTCAAAAAATATATCTTCTACTCTTAGAGACCATGACGGAGGCAATAACATGATATAGTCCGGACTGCTGAACATTATACACGTCTATTGGCTACCAGATGGATATCTCGCCAACACCGAATATTCGACCTTCGGCAGATTCTGGAACATAGACATACTTTTCGACGTCAGACCATAATTATATTCTTTGGCCTTGAGGCAGCGTTACACTCTGTTGATCGTGAGGTTCTGTGGCAGTGTCTGTCATTAAAAGGCATACCAGAGAAGTACATTAACCTTGTGTAGGCTATCTACTGGAACACTACTAGTTGAGTCAGAGCTTATTATGATGAACGGTCATCGGAATTGGTTACTTTAAGTGGTATACGTCAAGGTTTTCCGCTTTACCCATTTTTATTTAACTCTGTTATAGACAACATTTTCATCATCCGATTTTCCTGAGGTTGATCTTATGCTAGTAAATTCACTTGTAGACTTAGAGTACACAAATAATATAGTTTTGTTTGGTTAAAACACTAACAAATTGCAGTCCCATGACCACATTAAGATATGATTTTCGCACCCCAAAAGCGAAATTTTGCTCCGGGACTAACTTGCATCAGCGCCTGAATTAATAACAGGAGGCAAAGTAGTCGAGCGTATCGACCGCCTCACTGATCTTGAGTCTCATCAGTACTTATGGCCTGGTGTCTGACAAAATCTCGGTACAGATACCAAAAGCACGATTGGCTCTTTCCAATTTGCATCACCTGTGGCGTAGGCAAAATATCCATCTCCCGACTAAAGGACGAATTCACTGTACAACAGTTTACTCTGTTCTACTTTGTGAGTGAGAAATATCACGAATAGATAACATTCGTAGATTACTAGTACTCAACCATAGGTGTCCTCAAAGCATTGTCCATGTACTTTTGGACCACCGAGTAACCAACGTTTGGGTCAGGAATAGGATACTAGGTAAAGATGGGAAGTCAATTGAGGTTATAAATATTTATCAACTGAGGTGGTTAGGACAGATGTTACGTGTGCCCAACCGCCAACTATCTCGACGAATGATTTTGTCTGGTATACGAGCAAGCTGGAAGAAAGCTAGGGGTGGTCAAACAGAAACGTGGCATCAGTTCATAGTCATTAACAACTAGACTGACTCGTTTTAATGGGTTTAGACTACTCTTTGAGGTCCAAGTGATTATCTTAACCGGTGGTTAGAGACTTTGAATGAAACGGCTCAAAACTGTTTGTAGTGGCACAGGTATATCTATTTTTTGGCTTCCCTCATATCCTAAGCTTTTCAATTCCTCGTAATCTTTTTGTCGCACTAATTTATATTTTATTCTTTAATAGTATTTTCGATGCCTAATCTTTTTAATCACTACTCATATTGTTAGTACCTTTACTATTCTGGGATTTGGTCTAACAACACCTCGCTCTGCTAATGGGGTGTGGAAACTTGGACTGACGTACATACGCACCAGATTCTACATTGCGACCGACTGACCAACACAAATAAAACTGACACAGGTTAGTCTTGAAACAACACCGTATTTGTTGAGTGAAAAATACACCGTAAACACTTATATACTGTTACTTGTTCACAAAACCGTACTTTCCAACCATTTCACTTAACAGGACTATATTCTCTGAGTATTCTGGATCCGTCTGAAAACAGCCCAGAAAGACAAGCGAGCAAAGAATTATATCCAGATGAATATCATCAGATTAAATCTCAAATTATTGAAATCATTACTTACTCAGGTATAAGCAAAAAAGCATGAACTGATCACGAAATTCATCATACGAACGAGATCTAGGCCTAGAATGTAATTAAAAGGATATGAAGATACGAGGATATAACTTAATTATAGATTGCAATTAGCCACACATTAACAACCAGTGAATCTGATATATAACCAAATGATCTAAATGTAAGGTATCTATCCCCTCCTGGATTAAGGATTAGATATTTGCTTGGAATATAATACAATTATCAGCGTTAACTAAAAATATATTTTTTAATTAACCAATATTATATTTTCTACCTTGAATAAAATTTAGTCCAACAGTTTACTAATCGACTTCTAATACGTAAGTATTCAGCGTCTAGCTACTAAGTTAAGCACTTTTATCTATTAACATCAGACATGATCAAATAAACAGAATAATCCATATAATTACACCAAACTACGATGACATAGAGCTTGAATGCATACAAAACATAGCCTTTCAAAGTAGATGGGAGAGAAATATTTTTATTAAGCGATCAATCGATAGTTTACAACTAACTCGAATACCACTCACCAGATAAGCATAATACCAGAATAGGCTGTTGACATAAAATGAGATATATTCCACCACCCTTTAATGCGTGACCCATTGGCAATAAGAATGCGTTCGCGAATAGTTAGTGTGCAATAGTACCATACCAATAGAAAATGAAAAATAGTATCCACAATTCTAAAAACAAATGACAAATTGACAGCAAGATAATTAATTGCACATATGATTAACTCATTTACCAAATACTCTGGTACACATGTCCACCAAGTTTTAACGTTGGCTATGAATAATTGTCAACGAAGTCATTACTTTCAACTGAACTGAGTATAGGATCATACATTATTCAGAAACATAAACCTTTGTACAGTAGAGAGATATTGCAGTATGTCAAATTTAACAGATGAAAATAAGTGAAAAATACCAAACTATACAGAAAACCGTATTATGATATAGGAATTATGGATAACTTTAAATGCTCTCCACAACATACTAGGAAAACTCATACCTCAAGTGACTAGGGATGCATAAGTTACGCTAAAAAGTTAGCTTCTCTTCCTTTTTTGACGTTCAACATTTTAAGCAGATTCCCCTATCAATGAAGATTTAAATTTAGATTCAATGTAGATTTAATACCCATTCTACCTTATTGTGTTTTGAAGCCTCATATTGTTTATAGTCCTCATGCAGTGTGGTTGGAAGTCAGGCACATTAGTGGATACACTGTAGTTGGTTTTAAGGCTACCTGAACATCAACACTTAGACAGGTGAAAAGCGAACTCGGTCTCCAAGACAGCAGAAAGTTTCCAGACTTCTAAAATCATCTACTTACGACACCCAGGTCACATACCTGCACAATAACACGGTAGAGAATGCTGTACAGCATTTGTCAGAATGTTCCTAGGTTTTATGAGAAGTAAAATTAAAAAGTGAAGGTCGACATCATTGTCCAAAACTACTGGTTGTCATCAGCTTAAATGACTCGCCATGATCCAGTCACGACGACGCAAGTTCGAAGATATTTTACTACATAGTTATCCTTAAATCCTACCTATATCAGTGGGTCCAAAATCTTTGTATCAGCAGAGTTTAATGACAAATTAAGGTCATAGTGGAGTATACAACCAAGTAGTACTTGTGAGCTCTAACTAAGAAGATTAGCACTTACTGCCATCAGAACCTGTTGAAACCCTTTTTCTTAAAATTCGACAGGTGCTTATAAGCTAATAAGTCTCGGAAGTATTTGCTGAACCAGGATCTAGGCAACGGGACGAACAAAGACTTTAATTAGCGACCTTCGTGATAGGTAGTCAGATTTCGGCACTCAATGTTGTAGAGATTTATGCAGAAAAGTTTTAAGATTTGAACCTATTGAACAGCTTGTACATAAACGCTTCTGACCTTGGAAATGTTCGGTAAAGTAAGTGTTGAGACAATAACTATGTCCGATGATTTTTTGCCATTACTTGAACAACTATTGCATGTAATCCGATCATAACTTTGGAGTTAACAAGATATCGTCATCCACTCAGTGACAGAACTAAACATTACAAAGGAGATTAAACTTAATTTTATCAGAAGGACCGTAATGAACCATGCTTCCTCAATTATAAATTCCTTGTAGCGGAGATATTTAAGGTGATGTTATGAAGTCAATTCTTAAGGTTGGGTATTTATTATTGATGCATCCTAATGTGACCCAGTCTATTCAGTCAGTGATTTTACATAAGAATCCTATAGACGCTGTCATCAGAATAATTGATGCCTAACGAAAGAGGATCTTGATACACCATATAAGCATCTGAAAATGTCCGCTGAAGAATTAACGGTGTGATATTTTCCTATGAATAACTGAGAGATTATTTTAACAAAAGGACTTCAAACCACGTCTTTCGAACATCAACTGGAGGCTTTTGCAATTAGATTACATAATAGGGCGTGAGAGTGACGATGTGCTTAACACTTCTTCAGACCGCAAAGTGGTCACACAGTATTATTATCAAAGTTTAAGAGTTGCAACAGCGTACAGCCAGAATTATCTTTTTCCAAACACTTGATGCGAAAAAGTCATGATTATTTGACAATAGTGAAATACATATACTATCTTTAATAACATAACGACGAACTCACCTATTCTGAACGTAAAAGTATAGCAGAAACGCCAAAAATGCACATATTCCCGAAATAATGATTTTAAACCGTTCGTAATCATTCTTGTATCTGAATCTGAGCACATTACTAAAACCTAGTTATTACTTGTCCTCCTTGTTAGCAAACGATATATTAAGAGCTCCAAGTACGACACGCAAATACAAACTATCTAAATAAATCCGCAGAGAGTCTACATACCCTGGTGTGCGAGGTAAAACATCTTCAATATCCCGTAAAACATACTCTTTCTTAAGAATATCGATTTTGGCTTTTTCAAGTATGGTAATCTCATCACCCGTAGCATTCTTTTGAAGACTGCCAATTTTAGATAAAGACAGATTACCTTGCAATTTCATGCTTCAAAAGTTTCATATAGTTTCTACAATGTTTAACACTACGGACGCAACTTGTCTCTTCCTCCTTGAGTTTGTACAGTGACATAACTAGTGATGAGTGCTTTTCCTAAAAAAATTACCAGAATGTGGTTTATAACGCAGTTGTAAATATACTTGCAACTGTAACCAGTCCTTTTGGAAGCTATTTATTGCACCCTGAAATTCTTCCATCAGTCTATCACCTGTGTAGACGCGAACAGATCTGTCGGCTTCAAGAAACACAACCTGTGGTTCCAAATTGCCCTCCCTGAAATCAAGGAGAAATATCCGTCCCAACTCGTGATTGGTTGATTGACGTACGTTTAAGTGTGCATTGAAGGTTTCAAATAGTTCTGGACGGAATAGAAGAAGCTTTCACTTAATAGGCCTCCATATCTAGTAGTAGTGGACCACCGATTCTGCCAGGCAGGAACCTAGATATATTAAACAATAAAGTAAAAAAAAATTATAGCGAGATACTGTCATTAGTCCTTATGAATATGTCAAGTTTGCTCTTAAAGGATTCCTGCGAAGTTTCTTGGACTGGTACAGTCGGTGGATGATTCTAGAATTTTACCACTCTTAAGGATTAGGTGTGTCTGCAGTCCTTTATGTTATGTTATTCCTCGTTTATGGGTGTTACCCCTAAGTTTTGTGTTGGGACTGCGCATTAGTAGGTATTCGAAAGTGCCCAGGAATGTTTAGGGTGCTATAAGTCGTCAGAAGGTCACCTCTAACAGGTAAAGGCTCAGTGATTTGAGGTGCTCTTCAAAAGGCTTGAATTTGGGTCCCCTGCTTGATTTCGTAGCTCGTCATTGAATATATTCCAATGTATCCTTATCCTTTTGGAGTGAGAAGAAAAAACTGTGTTTCCATACTCTAAATGAGGACGAATGAAACTGTTGAAGATTAGGCGGAAATTTCTGTTCCTCAAAGATACCAGTGCAAGATTTACTCGGAGGCCTTTCTTTGTCGCAATTAGCGTGCGACTTCAGATCATAGGATACCGGAACTCGTAGATCATTTTCAAACTGGGTACCTCTAGAGGGGAGATGCCTAAGTTGTATTCGTAGTCTACAACATGTCTCGGATGAACTAGTTTACACTTTGGAGAGTTGTTGTTCGCCCGACTTTGAAGTCAAGTTCGATCATCCTGAAGTGCCAGCTTATCATCCTGGTGCCAAACTTCCCTCTAGAGTTCCACATTATCAGTGAAAAACAAACAATTAAACAATACCTGCTGACGAAAGTTGTTTTCATAAACTGGGAAAAAACAGGTCCTGGTGAGGAATCTTGAGGGACCCCACTAGGAAATTCTATAGCCCGAGAAAAATTACAGTTTATGCCGACCGTAAGGAGCCAGTTATTTAGATATGAAGTTGGCCAATCAATTAACGGTGACTTGATACCCAATCGGTTGACCTTATCAACAATACACAAATGACTGACAGTCTCAAAGGCTTCTGAGAAGTCAAGGTGTGTGACACGAACCTTCCCCTTGAGATCAAGGACAGTTGCCCATTCCTCTACCGCAGTCAGCAGGTCGGTTATTAAAGAACAACCCTTCCCGAAATCGTGCTATCGCAATGAAAATAAGTTTATGGGTGACAAGTAGTCACGTAGACTGTCGTATACAAGGACTACACAATTTCCTAGGGCACTGAAAGAAGTGCTGCCGGTCGGCAGCTTGAAGGTTCTCTAAGTCGATCCCCTTTCAAAACTGCGATGATGTGAGCCAGCTCCCAAATTTCTGGTACTGTGCCTTGGTGCCTTGGAAACAGTTAACATAAACTTATTTTGTGACTAGTCTTTGTTGTTATTAACATGTTTTTTCTTAAGTTCGCTTAATTTGTACACTTATCACCATTGACTGTAAAATCGTTTAAAAATTTGACCTTGGCCTTCTGTTCCTCTTTTGAATTCTCATGGCGTGACATCGATTATCGCCCATAAATGCGCTGCTGAACACATATACTTCTCTTTCTCATTTACCAGATGTCACAATAAAAGAACTCTAATATATCTACTGTTTGCCAGTCGCACTGATATTCGCATTACGTGATTACTCTTGATTCACATCTTGGACCATACCAGTCATATTTGGAATCAATGACAATTTATGACTGTGGATTACGAGACCAAAAAATTAACTCTAACAAGCTTCCTTCAGACAATTTAATTAACGTCCAGTATCTTTCTTTGTATATAACTTATATTTCGATATATTACCAGGCGAACCATTTTTCGTAAAAGCTTTACCATTACTTTGAAATTGATGTATTCCTTCCATCACAATTATTTGGTGAACGTTAATTTTGTTCGACATAATGATTGTTGTACCAGCGCTGTATAATTTATGTTTCTAATAATCTTGATAAAATTTAGCGTTCTCCTGCAAAAGTCTCCTCTGAACTACTCTACATATCTGAACTCACAACAACCATGCTTAATGCAATTTGGCAGTTCACACTATCAAAATACGGGGTAAATAACCTAAATATTTGGTTTTTGCAGTTGGAAGCTTTGCTTCGGCATGGGATATCCGGTCACAAGCAACTAAACTATGTGCGCGTAGTAGGTGCACTTCCGGCTGAAATCGCTACAGAATTCGGGGACATAACCTATTAGGTTCCGGAACAGGACCCGTATGGTGAACACAGAGTAGCAGTTATCCAATATAAATCAGCTTCTGATTAATAGAAGACTACAAACGTCCATTAACAACATGTGATGAAGCAATCAGTCAGCTCATATAAATTAGATGAAGGTTTATTTAAACAAACGTGGCTATAATGGTCTCTCCATAACGCGAGACATTCTTCGTGCGTCAGGAGAACTAATTACTCTGGAGGATCTGGGAGATATGACAAATCAGATGATAGAAGTCAACCCAGAGTACACAGTATAAATGCAGTACGAGCTACTGAGAGAGCGCATAATAATGACATGAGGGCATTTCAACAGCAGTTATTTAATATGACTAAAAAGCTGGCAGTACTACAAGCAACTATATCTACAGTACACGTGAGATGAACTATATAGTGTTTCAGAAAAATCCATTTTCGAGGCAGTATTCTAAATCACCTATACCACCCCGGAAATCTGACCATATTGCGAGCATTACGGAACTACGGCACGGCAGTTCGCAAGATCGTACAAATGCATCTGCAAAAACCGTGGGAACCAAGGAAATGAGCCGACCAAACAGCAATGACAGCAAATGTTTCTGGACAACTAACAAGCCGTTTCCTGCATATAGGGGATAATATTTCTGCTTCGGACGTTTAAGTTCAAACAGAAGCAGAGATCAGCATGATTCCGCTGACATTATCACCATGGCGACACAAGTCATTTAGCACAGCATTACCACAGGTGGCCAAGGAAGCCGTTATCCAAATGTATGGATCTTTGGGTTTATTAGAAATTCGTAGTATCTAATGCTAAGACGTTTTTCTATGTAGTAAAACACTCTTTTCACTGATCATAAAGTTTCATGACCTTGGCTGCTGCTGGACATCTTGCGTCGTTGTTCAAGCCGTAGATTATAAAACCCTATAGACAACTGCGTACCGATGCTTTGGGCAAGTTGATATTATATAATTTTTGTGTCTTTTTACCCTCATGATTAACCTTCAGCATGGCACTATTGAAGACAATTATTCAATCTAACAATATTGGTCATGAAGGAAAATGATGAATGCAACTAATTTATAAAAGAAACAATGTTAGTCCGATGAATATACTGTAAGGACTTTTGTTCGACGCTCTCTTCTGGTCACACTACCTAGTGTCAATATATTTGTCTACGTTCAACAAAGAGATATTGTGAATCCAGAAATTTCATGTCAGTTATTTCGAAAATCAATTGCTGGAATTGCGTAAATACAATGTGTGATATGCGGTGAACGAAGAATAATAAAGAGTCATTTATATTGAGGTTCTACGTCCATGAATTGAGGTTCACTACATTCGTTTTAATGATTAAACTCCTGCAACTACGATACACTGGACTTGTTCAAAGACGGCATGTGTTATATGTGATTAGTAAAGTTACACGTTGAGCGTATTTATAGAATTTTGGATGCCATATTTTGTTCAGTTAATCATACAGAACCTTTATCTTGAACGAAATGATCCACCAACCATGGCATTTGAAAATACTTAATTCAAGTATAATTGGTCTAGTAGTGACTTGAATTATTGGATAAAGTATGGGGCGGAAATTTGGAGAACTACGAAAACCATCATCCAGAAGATACAGGTGTTTATTAACAGTTGTCTACACAAAATACTTCGGATCCGTTGGCCGGACACTATTAGCAACAACGTACTGTGGGAGAGAACAAACCAGATCCCAGTGGAGGAAGAAATCAGGAAGAAGCGCTGGAAGTGGATAGGACACACATTGAGGAAAGCACCCAACTGCGTCACAAGACAAGCCCTCACATGGAATCCTCAAGGCCAAAGGAAAAGAGGAAGACCAAAGAACACACTACGCCGGGAAATGGAGATAGACATGAGAAAAATGAACAAGAATTGGATGGAACTAGAAAAGAAGGCCCAGGACAGAGTGGGTTTGAGAATGCTGGTCGACGGCCCATGCTCCATTAGGAGTAACAGGCGTAAGTAAGTAAGTAATATTGAAACCAGGTAAAATGCCTTTCTTCTAGATGAGTTCAGAACATAGCGATTGCAAGTGGGCGCGCTGGTTTATTTTTTATTTGTCTCTATCGCCATGCATTTTTCAAATTTTACGTGAGAAGTTGAGATTGTTGTTGGCAGGGCTGCTACATAACTACTGCAGATAAAATTACGATACTCAGACACGTTTAGTGGACGTTACAAAAATGAAGTGCATTATGCATTCGTTAATTTGCAGTTATTGTAATGGAAAGAACATGCAGAATTTCATTGGACAGTATTGTCACTAATTTGTTTCTTATCCCTGTATTGTATTTCAACCTTTATTCAGGTCCCTCGTAACCACGCATTATGTTCTTCAATCTTCCTCGTCTGAGCTTTCTATATGGTTTTAGTTAAAGACTTACTGTTTATTACTTTATTTTGCTTTTGCATATTGCCGAACTATTAACAATAAGGCAGTACGTGACTAAAGTCAAGGTCATGGTTTGGTTCATTTAGTTCTGCTCTCAAACCGAATATTGGCATTTTTGTCGTCACAGTCATTCTCAAGAATTCTCCTCTCAGATAGCTTAAAATGTTACACACGAAGTCTGTAGGCTAGGCCGATTTCAACCGTGTTGCTGAACCGGATGAAAGATTCAGTAGACGTCCAGCTTCGAGATCAACACGATGTAACTTCCCAATCTATGTGATCTTGCGTGCAAGTCACATTATATTCTACACTGGCTGGTCGTATCGTAACAATCTCCAACATATGATGGAGAACACATTTAGGTTGGAGATAGAACATTATGTTCACCATGAATAAAATTGATGTCAAATAAGTATAACTACGCCTGCAAAACCGAGCAATGCTATCTGATGAATTTCATTTCCGGGTGAATGTTACTGCGTCCACCATCACTGACCTTCTCTTAGTGAGATTCTCTGTCAGGACTTACTATCAAGCAGTCATCAACATACGTATGTACGAAGTTGAAACCTCGAAAAACGTCATCTGCGAACCTTCAGAATGTTTGGGCAGCATTACTTAAGCCGAAGGGAATGCGTAAAAATTTGCAAAGATTGAAAGGAGTTATAATACTGGTTTTTGGAATGTCATCAGTGGCCATGGGAATTTGGTTACAGGCCTCAACCAAGTCGATTTTTGAAGGGACAGTTGTACCTTTCAAGGTGGCTGAATGTGTGATAACGGGTAACGATCAGGAATGGTTTCCGCATTCAATCTCCGATAATCACCAGTTGGAGGTCAGTCGTTGCTGTCCTTTTTAGGGACCATTTGCAAGGGAAATACCCACGGGCTGTTTGATGGCCGAATGATCCCTAAATCTGTCATGTGATCGAATTCGTTCTTAGCAAACCTCATCTTTTCGGGAGCCAGTCGGCGTGCTTTCGAGAATACAGATGATCCTGTAGTCGTGATGTGATGTGTAACATTGTTGATTACACACGTCAATTTCGGTTGCTGTTGGCATATCCCAGGGTACTTATCGAGTAATTGTTGATAGGATGAATCTATCGTGTGCCTAACCGTAACCGGAGATAATCTTCAACCGGAAAAAGAAGTTGCGCAAACAGATAAATCAATGTTTCTGTCTACAAGCCTGTGCTTGCGTGAATCGATGAGTAGATTGTGGTGCTGTAGCAGGTCTATATCAATGACTGGCATAAAAACATCTTCAACGACGAAAATCCAGTGGATGTGTTTGCGTAAACACACGTTAAGATAGACGTATCGTTTACCATATGTGGCGATAGGCTTTCCGTTTGCCGCCTGCAAGTTTAAAATAGATTCGTGAAGCCGGTCTTCAGAATGTGCTGGAAGAACGCTTACTTCAACGCCAGTATCGACGAGGTAGCAAACGTTCGTTATCCCCTCTGCGACGTATAACAAACAGCTGTGTTCGCCGGCTACGGTCGCCGTTAACGCATGCCGGCTGGTAAGTTTATTGAGTTGTTTTTCGTGTAGGTCCGTTTTGAGTTCGGAAAATTGCAGGGGTTTCTGCGATTTCTAGAAGAATTTCCGTACTTGTTATGATACCAGCACCAGTCGAGTTTATCTTTCTCTTGTGGTCTAAAGGCAGATCGCTTACATGAAGTACTTGTTCGTGGGGTCTGCGACCGTTTAGGGTCATTGAGATTGCAAAAGTAACGTGTCAGCGTATGGCATAGTTTCGTAATGTCATTCTGTATCGCTTGAGACTTTTCTTTGACTGAAAAAACTCAACGTTGGAGAACTTGGTGACCCCTAAAATGCTGTCGGCAGATTCAGCTAGCTCGTCTACGACGCTGTTTTGAAATGGGACAAGCACAGCTTGTACCTGTTGAGGAAGATCAAATAAAAAACGTTGTCCAAACAAGCCATCATCGAAAGGTTTTTGGCCAGTCACCTCTGTCATTTTTGGTACTATGTCTGTCACTGAACCGTGTTGCAGATCTATATTATTAAGGAGTTGATCTAACCTTAATCTATCAGTCAAGTCTCCGCGTTCTGAGAACAGATCGTTTCGGAGTTTTTCAAGGTCCCGAAACATCACTAGTAAACACACTAGGTGTGACGTACCCCTTAAAGTCGCGCGGTAGTGTCTTTACTACCTAGAGAAATTGTGCACGTGTGTCATTCACGCCTCCGCGTAGCGAAACCAGACTTTGATGTTGTCTGGCCAAAAGGGCATTAGTTGAAATGAAGGTGGAGACATAGTCTTTGAGTTAAGTAACTTAGGTGTCTGTTCCGTCATGGCAAGTATAAAAAACAAGAATAAACGTGGAAAAATATCCAAAAATTCGAAAAAAATCACAATATATAAGAATTAAAATAAAGCAGGAATTTGTGAAATTACAAAAAGTAACAGATTCACAGTTTGCAAGTTGGTGTATCAGATCACGTCGTCCCCACCAATGAAGGTGTCACAGGTATTGGGAGTTTGACAACGCATTGAACAGTAACACCTACTATGAATCGTGCCCACCTAATGAACTCTACAGTCAGAAGCCAGGTGGTCCGAAGATATTTTTGATAGCCTTTCAATATATCGTGGATCTTTCGTGCCTTAAGGTAACCCTCGTGTTATTGATAGAAGAAACCAGACAAGTAGTGAATAGGTCTTTATTTAGATCTTCGCGCAGTCACGGTGGAGCGTGGGATTATTTGTTCAGACAAACATAACCTCTCAACATTCAATATAAGATAGTAGGAAATATAACGCCTATGCAAAATAAGGAAGTGAATGAATACTTGAACTTTACTGTTTTGGCATATGATTGGTTGTTTGAGGTCAAATCTCAACCAACTGATCTATGCTGTTACATTAGCTTCCCCCTAGAATCGACCTCCGTAGGAACGTCGGTTCGATTAACCTAGCTATCAAAAACACCTTAGTTTTGTTTTATCGGCTCAAGCGAAAATTATGAACTCGCTCACTCTTTGACTTCCGATCAATGACGACTGATTCCGTCAGCAATCAACGATAGTCCATGGATGTCTCCTCATTTGCTAACCTGTCATCTTTTGTGTAGCATGTGATTTCTTCTACAACTATCGCTGACGGTTTGCTACGTCCTCTCAAGAGAAAGAGTGTGAGAATATGGAACAAGAATATCTGAGGAAGTTCCGCGAGCGGGCTACTCAACACCATGTTGGTGAGGTACGATTTTTCCATGCTTAGACCGGCTATCAAGTGTTTACTCACCTGCCTCTTGAGTCGCCCTCAAGTAAAAAGTAAAGAAGAATCTACTTCAAAGGTAATGGTGAAAACCAATCAAACCTGAAAAAATGCTCCACCGCCTGCATGAAATAACAAGATACAAAATGGAAATATATAAATATAATTGATAATTGTTCGGTTCCACGTAAGTGCTTGGCCTCCAGAAGTGATTGGTATTCTGGGTTGCTTTTTGAATTCGTTGTATCCGCCAGTGTTAGCTGTATGAGTTTGATTAAAATCCTCAGCCATCGTTACGGAATATTTGGCTTATGTGTCCAGTATTTAAAAAAATTTAACATAACACTTATATATCAAAAGTAAAAGGTCTGGGGAGTTGTAGGTGAGGTGGCATGAGGAAATTTTTTTTAAGTAAATGCAGGGTCTGATTAGCTATGTGGTTAGATTTTATCCTGCAGCCAAAACTGTCAACATCCTTGACTGACTAATCGGATGTGCCCAGCGAACCGTTTTAGTCATTTGTAAAGATTTATCATTTTTACATTTCGATTCCGTAATGGATTTGTCAGTTAAACTATCTAACAACACGTATGGTGGTTCATGATCTAAATAAGCCGGTTTTAGCCTAAAAATACTTACTGTGTCGATGGTTCCATGTTTTTCTATCACGAAATATTTAGATTTTCTTGAGACGACTTTGAAAGGACCTTCAAATGGAGGGCTAAGTGGTGCTTTTATTTTGTCACATCTTATCCAGACGTGCGTGCAATTGCTTAGGTCTTTAGGTACATATATGGCACGCGATTGTTCACGAGTATTAATCGGCTTAATTTTAGACATGTGGTCCCGTAGTTGATCTACATAATTTTCTAAATTAAGTCTTTGACTGTTAATATTAGGGTTAACAAATTCACCGGATAGTCTCAGAGTTGTTCCGAAAACCAGTTCTGCAGCTGGACACTGTGCGTCAGTTTTGACAGATGTTCGTATTCCCAACATAACTAACGGTAGGAATTCTGTCCACTGATTGGGGTTCGAGTGAGATATAAGGGCGGTTTTCAGCTGACGGTGAAAACGTTCGACCATCCCATTAGCCTGAGGATGATATGCAGTGCAGCGTATCCTATTGGAGCCTAGAAGTTTAGTCAAGTTATTGAATAGTTCAGGTTCAAATTGCGCTCCTCTATCCACCGTCATTGTTATAGGAGTGCCAAAAATGGTCATCCAGTTCTGCATGAAAACCTTGGCTACTGTTTCCGCTGTGATGTCCGCTATCGGGATGGCTATAGGGAATCTGGTAAATCAATCTGTGCATGTAAAAAGATAATTAAAACCGCTCAAATGTGGTAAAGGACCTATCAAGTCGATGTGCACATGGGCGAAACGTGCATCTGGTTGCGAGAAAACACCTATGGGTGAATTCGTGTGACGATTAATCTTCGATTGTTGGCATGCTGAACACTCTCTAACCCACTTGTGTACATCCGTCTGTTAATTCGGCCATATATATCTGGCATTGATTAGTTTAGTTGAAGCTTTTGCGCCAGGATGAGACAAAGAATGAAAGTTATTATATATCAAATTTCGCATACTTTTGGGAACGAAAGGTCGCGGCATTGCCTTGGTCGTGTCACAGTAGATTAGAATACCATCAATGGGTGATGGTAACTGTTTTAGATTAAGACTTGAATTGTTTGATTTAAGTAGGTTTTGTAATTCTAGATCCTGCTCTTGTTCGTTTCTCAACGTCTCGAAGTTTACTGTAGACTGCTGTAGCACGTTCATTTCTAGCCTAGATAAAGCATCTGCCGCCTGATTGTCCTGACCTTTGACATGTCGGATATCGCTTGTGAACTGTGACATATAGTCAAGGTGTCGGACTTCTCGAGGTGAGTATTTATCAGCTCTCGCTTTTAGTGCATTCGTTAGTGGTTTGTGATCCGTAAAGACTATAAATTCCCTGCCTTCTAACATGTGTCGGAAGTATTTAATGGTTAGGTAGATTGCAAGACGTACTCGCCCGAAGGTAGAATACCTTGTCTCTGCTGGAGCGAGTCTTTTTGAGAAGAAAGCAATTGGTTTCCATGCGTTTTTAACCAGTTGGTTAAGGGTACCGCCTACAGCTTTATCTGAAGCATCCACCATCAAAGCAAGTGGGGAAAGAGAATTCGGATACATCAACGTAGTTGCTTGAGCCAGTTTGTCTTTAAGTTGTTTAATAGCTTCGACGGCGTCAGAAGATAGTTTGAACTCTTTTGGTTTTCCTTTGGGTGAATCTGTCAAAGGTCGCATTAATTGTGCACAACCTGGTGCGAATCTGCGATAAAAGTTAATTAGACCTAGAAGAATGCTCAGTTGTGTTAGAGAACTAGGTATGGGGTATTGTTTGATAGTGTCTACTTCTTCTTTGATCGGTTTAATCCCTTCTGGGCTTATTGTGTGACCGAGAAATTCTAAAGTTTGAACACCGAAAACACACTTACTTTGATGTATGTTTATTCCATGTTCATTCAGTCTTTTCAACACTGCTCGTACATGCTGTTCGTGTGATTGTAAATCGGGGCTGGCAATTAACAAATCGTCTATATATCCCTGTGCAAATGGCATATCTCGAAGTAGGTTATCTATGAATCTTTGAAATGTCTGTGCCGCATTTCTCAGGCCGAATGGCATGCATAAAAACTCTAATAAGCCAAAAGGTGTAGTAATAGTTGTCTTGGGGATATCTTCATCAGCTACCGGGATATTGTGATATGCCTTGACTAAGTCAGTTTTGGTTAATATGTTCATACCCTGTAAACCGTTTGTGAAATCTTGGATATGAGGTATTGGGTACCTATCTGGTACGGTTTGACGGTTTAGGGCTCTGTAATCCCCGCACAGTCGCCAGTCGCCTTCATTCTTCTTTGGGACCATATGCAAAGGGGATGCCCATTAACTATGAGAGGGACGGATAATACCCAGGTGTATCTTATAATCAAACTCGGCTCTGGCGACTTTGAGCTTATCTGGTGCTAGTCTCCTGGGTTTTGCAAACACCCGTGCACCTTCGATTTTGATAGTATGGCTTACTTTTAGTTTGTCTTTGGAAGGCTGTGGATTCGCTCTAGGTAAGTTTGGAAATTCCGCGAGTATATCTTGGAATTTCGCTGTTGTTACTGGAGGAGTTTGAATCAAGTTAAGAGATCTGATGTAACTTTCTTTGCCTTTTGTGTAATTCGAGGTTTCTTTCAGTGTTAAGCGCCGCTTTTTAACGTCAACTAGAAATTCGTATCTCTCTAGAAAGTCCATTCCTAGTATTGCCAGATCTAAGTCCGCTACTGTGAAAACCCAAGGAAACTGCCTCCTGAACCTCAAATCTAGGGTCAAAGTCTCCTGCCCAAATGTCGAGATTTTAGTTTTATTTGCAGCTTGAAGTGTAATCGCGGATGGTTCTCGACTCAGCTCAGTTTTATTTTGATGGATGATACTAAGAGCAGCGCCAGTATCCACCGAGAAATTCAAGCCAGAGTTTCTGTCTCTAACATAAAACAAGTGACTGTTTAGGCGCCTCTCCTCAGTCGTCGCGACCTGGGGGGGTTACTCGTTTCCCGCTGTCTTGGAACTATGCTTAGGCCAGGCGCATGGTTGCATGCACTTGGTTGAGTTGAAACCAAACTTCCAGTGGTACCAACAAAACTTCTTATATTGTCTGGACATTTGTGACTTCGATCGTGGTCGTTGTGGTGACATGCTCCTGTTTCTATGACCCATTTGCATTCTGGCGACAGCCTCAGTGAGACTCTTAACACTCGCAATGAGTCCTTCTATGATGGAATCTTTTGCTGATTCTACTTTTTGTGTGTGGTTTATCGTGCCTGATCCAGTTGGTGGACCTCTTTCCATTATTCTATCGGCTATACGCGCTAAATGAGATAATGAAGTTTCACGATCTTGTGTATCCAAACTGTGTTGGACGCAGCATGGCGGAGCTTGTATCCATCCTTGTTTTAGAACTGCTTCACCCACTGTGTTATCACCCACTAAGACTTGGGGGTGATGTAAAAACTGTGACGGCGACCTGTCACCTAATGTTTCTCCTTGGAAAAGTCTTCGGATTCTTTGACTATCTGATAATGATAAACGGTTCATTATCTCTCGTCTTAAGTTGGTGTATGGTTGTGGTGATGGTGGACTTAAAATCAAGTCACGGACTTCTTTGGCGACTGAAGGAGGAAGGATAGAACACAAGTTTCTATCGCGAATTTCTTAAGATTTAATGTTATGTCTCGTGAAATAATGCTCTAGTTGAGCAAACCACAACTCAGGATCACTACGATCAAATTCTAGAAGTCGGGATTTCGTAGTCATAACAGTGTCTATCTCCACTGGTGACAAATCCCCAAGATTGTGGGTTTCTATTGAGTCTGACATGAGATATGTGACGAATATAGCAATAAAATTAGCACGAAAAATGGTTACTATAACACGAATAACGTAAGATAATAAAAAATAAACTATTTATATACCCAACTTAGTTTACGGATAATCAGGTCTTCTTTTACGATTAAGTAAATAAATAATGTTAATAACAGAAATGAGGTTAAATTTGTGTTCAAAAGAGCCCACCAGTTTCGTGCCTTAAGGTAACCCTCGTGCTATTGATAGAAGAAACCAGACAAGTAGTGAATAGGTCTTTATTTAGATCTTCGCGCAGTCACGGTGGAGCGTGGGATTATTTGTTCAGACAAACATAACCTCTCAACATTCAATATAAGATAGTAGGAAATATAACGCCTATGCAAAATAAGGAAGTGAATGAATACTTGAACTTTACTGTTTTGGCATATGATTGGTTGTTTGAGGTCAAATCTCAACCAACCAACCTAAACTGTTACAGATCCACTGATCTAAAGTGGCTAGCGATTTCAGGTGATGTTGAGCATGGTGTGTCCACTCGTCATCCGGTGTAGATGCATGACCGAGCGCCTTCAGCTAGGTGAGTCCATCAAAACTAATACGGTAGGTATCCAATGTCGAAGACTTACAAAGATATTTCTTCTGGAGATTTATTCACCGCTGAGGCCTATTTGGCTACTTGGTCTGCAGAGCTTCAATAAGGTGACCCCATAGATACCTTGAGGTATTATCTGGGTAAATGAATCTTTAATGAACCCAATTTCATGCTCAAAGCGGGTTTTGGGTCCTGTGGTTTCACACCTCATGACTCTATGAAGGACGAATGACCTGTCATTATGACCAACTTTCGGTCTCACAACTACTCATTTAGGGAATGGATTTTCCTTTATGACATAATATTGTTTTTTTTCTTAGTTTATATACACTAGTCAGACTTCACTATAGTAGAGATTACAGTCGCGTTACATAGATTTTGAGGTCCTGAATGGTTGTTGATTACTAAATTGGCCAGCGTTTTGTTTTTCCCTGTAGAAACAATCCTAATCCAACGATTAGGTTTTCTAGACGTTTCCTGACTTCTATTTGAAGGAAGGAAGAAAAAAAGCCACCTTTCTTCAGTTTATCATATATATAATTATATATACCGACAGAGATGAAACTTTCATCGTAAAACCAGTCTATGAAGCTTCAGCAGCGAGTTTTGAACACTGTAATAATAGAAAAACCCGGTCGCACCTCACTTTATCCTTACGCAACAAATGAAGGTTGATTTTTTAAGGCTTACTGTGTCTCTAAATTATCCATTATGGTCTTCAGCTCAGTTTTCTTTGATATCAGATGTTCATTACTTGTCAATCCAGAAAACGTATACAACTTGAGTATCGAAGATCTAACCTAAATACACTTAAATGAAAACCTAGCTGACAATCCCAAGCAACCAATAAAGGGGAAAATGAGTTGGAAAATAAAGGGGAAACGGGAAAAAATGTCTGCTTTTTCGCCTGTCCGGGGGAAATAATGCGGATTCCTTCCTTTTGTCTCTCTGTAGGCGCAATTGTCTACTTTTCGCCTAAATATCCACTGGATTGTCTACTTTTCGCCTAACTATCAACTGAATTGTCTACTTTCGCTACAACTTTTAAAACACCATTAGCATAACCATAGTCTTCATCTTCACAACAAACCACATTAAAACCACAATCCATGAAAAAAAGGTTTATGTTTAAATAAATTTATCGAAAACGAAAAGCAGAAGCTTGGGCACCAGTCGTTCTGTATTTTCATAGTAACTGCCAATTCATTGTTATTTGAAAAGATCTGCAAAAGAAGAAACAGGTAAGCTCATTTACAAAATAATGTTTGTTGAAAAGTAAGTAGAACATAAAAAACATTTCGCGGATTACTTCCTTTAGCCACGCATGATCAGCTATTGAGAATCAAAATAGTCTTCCTGTGAATTCTGAAGTGCAGAGAACGAGAGAAGCTACAACGAAATCTGAATGACATGTTTTGGCTTAGCCAGATACTTGAAGCTTCACTTACGGTTATGCTAGTTAACACTGTTGACTGTAACTATATAGCAGTAGGGAAGTTATCACTTTAAATTTGGACGTACCTGCTCTTGTTTCCTCCTATTACGCTTTATCAATTTGTCTCGGACGTCGTGAAAAAAACCTTGTGTCGCTGTATCGTACAGCTTAGCAAGGTCTTTTTCGTTTATAGAGGATGACAGGAAGCGGTTTTTTAAGGCACCTGAAGTTTAAATAATAGATATACGTTACTTCGTATGCAGCCATAAAACCGGCGTTTCTGAATTGCTCGTTTTGAAGTGCCAAGTAACGTGAAATTACTGGCAACCTCGTGTCATGAGGTACGACAAAACATATCACATCGAGGTTTTCGGATCATTATCTATTATCCTCGTCACCGTGGCCATCTGTAATATGAATAATCTATAAAAGTTAATGTTGTTGACTTACAAATCTATTCCTGGTTTCTTTCTGCTGCAAACCAGTGTCCAGCGTCTGCAGTTCCACTTCAGATGACGAAGGGAACTGCTGACTTGATAGTCCGCAATCGAATTGATGCGGATGTTCGCGTTCACTGAACTTCTCTAGTAGCAGCTCTACATTTGTACTCAAGTCAGTAATAGCTGAAAACATGTTCTGCATCATTGTATACAACCTATTAAATCTGAAAAACTTCACTCGGTCGTACAGGAGACTTACTGGGCCGCTGAAGCACAGCCTACATGCTTAGATTCTAATGTTGAAGGTGATGTATCTAATTGTGTCCTCATGACACTTCTGATGCTCCTCGGTAAGTCCGGTACAAGAACTTGGAAACCATTCAGAATCCGATCAGCATCTCTGGCGCTCAGAGAGGTTGTTGTAAGTAGATCGTTGATATGCTCCTTACGATTTACTAAATTCCGAGAGCACAAATTAACGCCATTACATCCTATAAGAAATATATTAACGTATTCACTTCATATACATACAATTATTATCTAGAAGCCTTTGATTGCTGTAGCTAGTGGATGGCGTGACAGTTGAAGGACTCTCATTACAGTTAGTTTCTCTCTCGACTGCCATCAACTTAACATAAACCACTGTTAAAGTCAGTTACCTTTGATTGTGCTTTCATTGCCAAACTGACTAAACGAGAGCAAGTTATGTTTTTTCATGAGTGTTATACGTAATTTATTCCACCGTCTATTCTAAGTCGATCTATGACAGCCAGGGACGCTTGACAAGTAAATAGTGGCCCTACGTCTACGAGCTCTCTGTGACTTCAATTGAACAGGGTAATAAGTTATAATGAACATTAAAAACGGAGAGCACGCCACTCACATGCATCACGTTAGCTATTTGTGATGCCTACCAAGTATAACAGAACAATTTAGATTAACAAAAGACGAAGTCAGTGTATGTGTGTATCAGCCAAATCCCTGTGTCCGCATTTTGTTACTAGTGTTTATGACAATAGTTTTTTTTTTATTAAGCAGTGCCTTATTGTATCGACGTTTATGAAAACATCAGTACGGGATGCGGCATATTCAAACATGGTACGTAACGTATGTTTGTTGACGAATATCTCCCAAATACATGATGTGAGTGGGAAAAATCGACATTTCCCCAAAATAACCGACGTAAAGGCGAAAAAGCGACATTTCCCCTTTATTTACGCTTTCGTCCGCTTCATTTCCCCTTCTTTCGCCTTTATTTCCCCTATATTGGTTGCTTGGGGATTCTGAGGAAATATTGGGGAATACCCCCCAAAACGGGTAAAATGTTCCCAAAAGTTGGAAGTAGGTAATACTCTCCTACCGATAACTTCATATTTGCAGAAAATGTTGCGAGCCAGACGCTTTTCGTAAATGTTCACATTTGTTAGGAAGGCCATTTCGCTGCCTAGTCTATTGCTACGGTAATATCTCATAGACTTATATATATATATATATATAAGCAGAAGTCAGGCTATCACCATTTTCCAGAGTTTTTGCGCATACATTTTCATTGCTTGTGAATTCTCGTTTGCATCCTCTGTTACTAGTAACAACTTACGATGGAAGCTTCCATCGTACATTTAAGCGTAAGTTGTAGAATCCATGATTTTCTGGTATTTTGGATGTAAATACATGTTAAGCGTCTTCCTACCATTTACCGATGTTGGTTCATGTACTCGTCATTGCCGACCTCATTATAAATGCTATAATAAGTCCTAAAATTGATATTATATTTATCCAGCAATCATGTAGTCTAGATCATATCAATTGTAATCCTAAGTAGTTTCATTTCACAAGCTAGCCCCAAACTTTACGATCTTGTGAGGCCTCCACAATCTACACTGTCCTGGAAAAAAACACGTTGTTTCTATGTGTTTTCATTAGAATTCTTTGAGTTCTTGTAGGTTTTTCCACTATTAATTTCTTTAATTGCTTAGAAAGGCGAGGGATGGTTTTTAGTGGTTACTGACTGCGTACTCATAAAGAGCATTTGATGAAACCATAATTTATGAACGCACTTTGAGCGACGCCAAAGTGACTTTGAGAGTATCTACCTACTTACTAAGGCTAAGTGAGGGTTGTAAAGCAGTTTGAAGAATAAGAATTATGATTCACAGTTGATGGTTAGGGTTAGGAATTAGACTTACGGTTTTTCTTCACGAGCTGACGGCTAAAATTCCCAGACGCTATTTGGTCAAATGGGTGAGTAAATTTCACTCCAAAATCCAATACCTGTTATCTTAAATCTCATTGGTTCGTCCATGAATTATAATCTTGCCAAGCATTTTTTCAGCTACTATGTTCTGAATTAAAGGTGCAGAACTAATTTGAACTCACCCATTTAGTGTAAACTAAGGACTAAAACTGTGGTCGATGAAATGCCAACAATAATATGAAAACCGTAATGGATATTTGCCGTCTTGCCGTACCTACCGTCATTCAATTAAATATGTGCTAGTCGGATGTGTGTTTTGGTACTTACTTTTGTTCTACCATTAGGCTAGTAATAACGACAAGCATGGAAGTATTTTAATATGGTAAAGTGGATGAATGTTTGCGTGTCATTAGATGTAAGAATCCTAAAAGAAAGATTTTAAAACGCAGAGGCATGTTAGAGAATTAATATCGTTGTCAAAGTTACTTAATAACGATTGACTTTTTACCACTTTATAATATCTCCATGCTTGTTGTCGTTGTTGTACTAGCCTTCACTAATACAGAATAATGTACGTTAGTTACTAATAATTTTTACTGTCCTCCGTAGGTTGCAAGCTGCTGACGAGAATCCACGAAGTAAATGAACTCACCTTTGCTACTCTTGTTGTTCTTGCTTGGTTCAAATTTACCAATGCGAAGAATTGTATGAAGAAATTAACAAGTTAAAAGTCGGGAAAATGTAATAGTAATGGTTTTTTGTTACTTTCTTTCTCTTCTTGTAATTATAGAAAAATTAAAAACGAAAACGTATCTTTTATTGACATTTTTTTGGACGAAAACGTAAGGCGTATCTTTCCCTACTGTTACTGAAAGTAAGTAATGTTGGGTTCGATTAAGGACAAATATGAAACGATTTACTGTCTGATTTTATGGAATTTTCAGGTAGGAGTAAAGTAAAGAAACCCCAGTAAAAGAGTAACAATAACTTAGAACGTAGGAGGGATGGGTATATGTTCAAGTTACCGCACTTTCTGGTTTCTTTTGTGATTACTCTTGATTTCTTTTAATTGCACCATTTTGAAATGTAGCAACTTATTATATTTATGTCATTGTTTTATGAAGTACAGGTTTGGGTACTTAATTCTCAGAGACTGTACGTTTATTGTACTACCTGGGTTACCCAAAATGTGGTGGTTGAAGTGGTGTTCAAACCTGGAGCTAATCAGTTCTAAGTAAAGTACTTTAACCATTAAACCACCACTCTACATTAGCATTTTGAATCAGTTCATGATTTTGATTAATTTTGTTTTGTTTAATTCAACCGGTATTACGTCTTTCACTGTGAAATAGTATGCATTTTTATCTTCTGAATATTCTTGCACCTAGTCATGACTCTTCTCCTACTTTCCGTGGGATATTTTAATGTTGAGTAGTAAAACTCTTTAATGTTTCAGATAATGGCGTTGTCAACACATCAGTCAGTCAGTAACAACGTAGAACTTCGTACGTACGTACATTACTTCGAGTTGCCATACCACATTGGTACAGAGATGCAGTTGTTGATCCAAATCCCGTAGTGGTAGAGGTGGTAAGAGTATAAGCAGTAATCGGAAAGATTAGGATTTGAAGATGTTATTCAAGGATTATAATAGTGAAATAAATTTAGAAAGAAGAAGGAAGGGACATGACAAACTCAGAAGATTAGAATTTGGGAGAACACAAAGAGTGGATGCACCTGCGCCATTGCGAACGATTTTGAGCCATGTCATTCAGGGTATCTAACCATCGGTTGCTATCATCTCGCGGTCCCCAATTACGTAGTCTATACGTACCAACATGGCTCAGTTCACTTGTCAGTGACTTCGTGGATTTGTGCGATGTTTTGGTCTGGTCGCTCCTAGCTTTCTCCCAACCTACTCCTACACCATAAAACATCGCTCGTCGGGGTATTCGGTGGTTGGGCATACGTAACACGTGTCCCAGCCATCCCAACTGATGAAGTTTCACTACTTCATCAATTGATTTGCCATCCTTACCTAGTACCCGTTTCCTAACAACTGCATTACTTACTCGATGGTCCTAGGATATACGAGCAATATTTCGAAGACACCTATGATCAAATACTAGTAACCTACGAATATCCTCTACTCTTACCGGCCATGTTTCACTGCCATAAAGTAGGACGGAACGAACTGCTGCGCAGTGAACACGTCCTTTGATTGATAGACGGGTATCTCGCCTACGCCATAAATGACGCAAGTTGGCAAGAACTAGTTGAGCCTTCTGTATCCGTGCTGAGATTTCGTCACACACCAGACCACAAGGGCTGATGAGACTTCCAAGATGAGTAAAGCGGTCGACACACTCAACTACTTCACTCCCTATAATTAGTTCGGGTGTCGATGCAACCCAATCCTGAAGCAACATTTTGCATTTCGTTGGGGAGAATCGCATGCCGAACATGCTTGCATTGTTGCTTAGAGTGATCAGAAGACTGCATTTTGTCAGCGTCTTCATTAAATAGAACTATGTCATCAGCATATTCTATGTCAAAAAGTGAATTTTCCGGTAGAAGTTCAACCCCTGGAAATTTAGATGAGGAGAGTGTTATCTCTAAAAGTACGTCAATGACAAAGTTGAACAAGAATGGGGAGAGTGGACAGCCCTGACGAACACCACTTGAGGTAATCAATTCTGATGACAGTTCGCCATAAGCTCTCACTCTACCAGTTGTGTTCGAGTAGAGAGCCTTTATAAGGTTAATGTACTACTTTGGTACTCCTTTTAGTGACAAACACTGCCATAGAACCTTACGATCAATAGAGTCGAATGCTGCCTTAAGGTCGAGAAATACTACGACTGTGGGGCGTCTGAATGTGTGTCTATGTTCTAGGACCTGATGTAGTGTGACTATCTGGTCTAAACAACCACGTCCAGGTCGAAAACCAGCCTGTTTTTCTCTAATCTGCTCTTCACGAGCTCTAGTTAGGCGTCGAAGTATTGTTGAAACTAATATTCTAAACACTATGTTAGTCGAATTGATTCCTCTGTGATTGTCACGAAAGGACTTTTTTCCTTTCTTATAGATGGGCACAATCAGTGATTGAGGCCAGTCAAATGGGATTACGTCCAGCTCCCAAATTCTACCTAAGACTTCAGTTAATCTCACTGGTAATACTGAACCATCATGCTTAAAAATCTCAGGAGTAAACCTGTCAGGGCCTGCTGTTCTCCCTCGCTTCAGATTTTCAACTTCGTAAAGAGACGGAGGACCTACATTAACTTGCCATTCAGGTTGACTGGAGATCGTGGAAAACCAAAGTGTGGCTGTAGGCCAGTTGAACTGATCCCTAAAGTGTTCTGCCCATCGATCCAATCTCCTGGATTGAGAATGTATAATATATCCATCTTTCTCTGAGAGTGTTTCGCTAACAGTCGGTTTCCTAATACCGGTTTCCTTAACAAGTCTGAACAATTGTCTGCTATTACCTATTGCCGCTGCCTTTTCCATCTCTCTTGCTTTTGCTACCCACCACTGTTCGCGATCATTGCGTAGGCTTCTTGTCAGCTTGCGCTTAAGCAGACTCCTCTCTTCGTTACGTTCAGAGCCAGGTGGAATGAGTTTCCGAGCATCTATCAGTGCGATAGACGCTGCTGAGATCCAGTGTTGCTCCCTAACCTTGTGGTTTACCTTACTAGCAGATATCACTGCTATTTCCACAGCTTTTCGGACATCATTCCATGCTGCCTCGGGGTGGGCATCACATACATGGCTGCCTAACTGTTTTCCTAGTTGTTCCTGAAATATACTCTTAGCTTGACTATCATTAAGTAAGGCCCTAAGAGGTTTCCTTGCAGGATCTTTCCTACGTCCAATAAGACGCAAGCAAATACGCGCTCGCACTAGAGCATGATCTGAATCTAGGCATGTGCTCCAGAATGAGCGACAGTCTTCTATCGAGCCCCTCCATCGGTGGCTGATAGCGATGTGATATATTTGGGTCCAACGTTGGGACGAGTTCGGGGGTCGCCATGTCAAAAGATGTTTTTGCTTATGCTCAGAGTTAGTATTTGCAAGAAAGAGGCGGTTATCTGAACATAGCTGCAATGGACGGTCGCCATCATCTGTTCTTTGAGCCACGACACTATAAGATCCACCCAGGAGTCTTTACCTTAGCATTAAAGTTACCAGCCACTATTACTACATCAGAATGCCTAGATTTTCGGAGGTCGGAAAACTTTCTGCAAATCTCATCTGTTACATCATCTGAGCTGCAGTCAGTGGGAGAATAGGCAGAGACGACGAAGAGGCAACGACGAGTGTCCCTATCTTTCCGGATTCTTACTGTTCCGTTCAGTCGGACAGCGCACAAACGACTGTCTACTGGGATCCAGTCTAAGAGAGCTAGTTCTGAATGTGACCAACTTGGTCTCGTGTGCTGTTACAGGTATATGGGCCGACATCACTTCCCGGCTGCCCACACCGTAGAGGGGTATTTCTTGAGGAACCTGAAAAAGAAATCGGATTAGTGTTTGTCTTGACGACCTGGGAGCGCGACCCCAGAGCCCAAGGTATAACTGCTTGATGCCGGCCATTTTGTGGGAAGTTTTTAACGTGTTAGCTCCGTTCTTCAAAGGGCCTTACCACTGGAGACGGAAATCCGTGAGGTAAGGTGGTGTGACGTTTTTAAGGTCAGCCTTTTCTAACCCCTTCCTTCATCTGCAGCATCGCTGCAGATGCTGGTTGTCCGAGGAGAACTCCTTACTGCTGTCACACCCCTCCACAATCAGCAGTACGACTTCGCCCTCAGACCTTGAGTTGCTGCTTTTAGTCTTACCGTTCTCCAATCGACCTGCCTGGCATGGTAGAACCTACAGGAACATATGTTCCAGCCAGTATAGCTCGGTTGGGTCATCACGATAGGCAAGCCCGACCACCGCGTCAAGGTAGCAGCTACGGTCGAGTGAATATTCCGTTCTATTTGCGATATGTTATTCCACACATTTATTTCTACATTACTGATTTACATTTATCTAAATGCTTTGTGAATATTCGTCCAAGTTAAAGATGATTTTCGTTTTTAGCTGAAAACCACAAAACAGTAGTCAGTTATAGAGATCGTATGGTCCGCTTCAAATATGTACTGATCTACTTTGCCAAATCCAGGAATTTTATTTCAGGTTTATAACTTATCATCAGTACTCACTTGTGATCGCATATGGGATCCAGCTTAAAACCTTCAGGTTTTGTGGAAAGGGCAATTCTTTTAGCGTACTGAGTTGAAGTTTGGTGGTTCACACTTTGAAACTCCTTCAGTTTACAATATGACTGGATCACTACCTAGTTTAATCGGTAATTGTCCCTTCAAATTGATTGTTTGTTATAAATTACTTATTCAAATCAAGTATAAGTTAAATACAGTTTGTTCAGTATTTATTTTGTTACCTTCCGTATATCGTTCTTTTAAAACGTCATTCTTAGTTGCAAACTAAGTTCCAAAAGGCTTTAAGTACATTTGATTGGTAATCATTTATATTGTATCCAAATCTAAATTATGCTAGCTAAATTTAACAGTTTTGCGTTTATTTTTTCTGTGTATTATCTTCACAGATCTCATTATTTGGTTAGTTACATATGTCATCAAAGAAACCACCCAAAGCATTGTACGTTCCACCAGCTTTAAGAGCAAACAAAAATGCGAGCGAAGTCAAAAAAGAGTTATCCTTTTTAGAATCTCCAATATCATATGCTTCTGTGAATGAACAAACTGATGTAGAACAACAATTAAAATCACTTACACTTTCTGACAACTGTACTGATGATGACGAATGTGTACTCAAAAAAAAACTCTTTAATCAAAAGCTGTCACATAATGATAGCAACAGTGAACCAGTCATAAGGTTGAAAGATTTCCAACATATTTTAGAGTTATATAACTTTTCAAAAGACTTTCAAAATTTTCACTTGGAAGCGGAACTCACAGGATTTGAAGATAGTGGATTTTACCTTAAATGGGTCGATGATACTCATTGTTTAGCTGTATTTTCTTCAAATGATGAAGCGAATCGTGCATTGGCTCAAATATCAGGACTTTTCATGAAGGTATACCCTTCTTTACTAACTACCTTTTTTGTATTTAAAGCTACCGATATTTTAAGTGTTTCTTGATGAACGTTTGTTTGAGTTTATCTCTTCATAAAGTGGTTTAAGCAGCCTCAGCAGCAGTAGGTCTCAATATACACAAAGGGAAAAGCAAAATTCTCCGATACAATACGACATGCAACAACCGAGTCACACTTGACGGAGAAGATTTGGAAGATGTAAAAAGGTTTACATATTTGGGCAGCATCATCGATGAACACGGTGGATCTGATGCAGATGTGAAGGCGCGGATCGACAGAGCAAGAGCAGCATATTTACAACTGAGGAACATCTGGAACTCAAAGCAACTGTCAACCAACACCAAGGTCAGGATTTTCAATACAAATGTCAAGACAGTTCTACTGTATGGGGCGGAAACATGGAGAACTACGAAAACCATCATCCAGAACATACAAGTGTTTATTAACAGTTGTCTACACAAAATACTTCGGATCCGTTGGCCGGACACTATTAGCAACAACGTACTGTGGGAGAGAACAAACCAGATCCCAGTGGAGGAAGAAATCAGGAAGAAGCGCTGGAAGTGGATAGGACACACATTGAGGAAAGCACCCAACTGCGTCACAAGACAAGCCCTCACATGGAATCCTCAAGGCCAAAGGAAAAGAGGAAGACCAAAGAACACACTACGCCGGGAAATGGAAATAGACATGAGAAAAATGAACAAGAATTGGATGGAACTAGAAAAGAAGGCCCAGGACAGAGTGGGTTTGAGAATGTTGGTCGGCGGCCTATGCTCCATTAGGAGTAACAGGCGTAAGTAAAAAGTAAAAAATGTGGTTTAGGTATTATAATAAAAGCTACAAAGAAATCTTGAAAATAAGTTTTCTGTTAGTTAGACTGCACATATTTTGCTAACCGATAACAGAATCATATTTTGGGATTTTTAATACTAATTATGGGTAAATAAAGTTGGTGCAATTCAACAACTAATTACAATATCATGTACTAGGTTTTTGTCATGGATTGCTTATCTCAGATAATACAATTAAGAAATCGTTCTTAAGATTGACTTATGGATTGAAGTAAACTCGGTTCACTAACTTTCAACGTGTTTCAGTCAGTATCGATCTATTCAGCACAAATTTATTTTATTTTATTTTTAATACATCTTCATTTTTAGTGTAGGGGGCTTTTAGGTATTACTGAATTTTCAGTGTACATTATTGTATTCAGCGATTGCTCAATCTGATAAATCTTGTAATTAATAATAGTTAAATATTTGATTTGAAATTTACGTAAACTGGGACGTAAATTATTCTCTAGTATCTACCAAGAAAAACTTTTGTACAAGATTTCGTTTATCCATTGCAGTCTCTCTGAGGGTAATCGTTAATTTGTTGTGTATTATTCGTCCGGTATAGATCCCGGTTCCTATTAGAAGACTCTCGGTTGTTCATAATTTCGAAATATGGAACTCAATCTTAATTCAAAATATCAAGTAATATGAATTTTACAAATATTTTAACAAATTAATTTCATCTTTAGGCTCGTAAAATTAATGACGCTTCTTTGGCTAGCAAGTTGAAGATTGCTCGTTCACCTGGTGACTGGACTATGCCCTATAAAAAACGACCAGTTACGACTAGCTCAACAGCTCGAAGATTAATTTCCAATCATTTGGGTATTGTTCCTACTAAAATCAAATCTCCTGAGGAAACTATGAAAGAGGAACAAGATAAAGCTCTTTTACGAGAAGCACGTGGTAAATTATATAAGTGTTTTCCATATTGTTTCTTTTGTTTACTTTTCATGACACCACTAGTTTTCAGAACATTATCCAATGATGTTTTAAATTTGGTGTTACACTTTACAAGTAATCTTATATTTCTGTGTTAAACGGTCTTAGTCAATTATGGATTGGAATGCTTATTTTTGTTTCCGTTTAGAACTCGATTAAGATTTGTTAATTATTCAAGTAAATGTACTAAAGTTTTTATGTCGAAGTCAATTATGTTAACATAGGAAGGAACCAACTTGCCCACATCAATTACCCCTTATTAATAATAAGCCCGCAAGGGAAAATGTATTGCCTAAATTCTATGCTTCCAATTAAAACTGTATGGAATGATTTTATAGATTTTTAAATTATTCTTATTTGCCTTTAATTTTTAAGTTTTTGTATTTAAGGAAGATATCGAATGCCCATTTTCCGTCATCTTTTTTTATTATTATGTACATGTATACTTTCAGTAGGATATAATTAGCTTTAGTTGAGCACTTTTAAATACATGTAGTTATAAACCTGTGTTAGTGATTGGTTTATGATATACATTAAAAAGTGAGTCGGTCTTTTTAGTCACTGTTTATTTTTATTTCGGTTGGTTTGGAAATAGGATTTCGAAAATCTACTTTTTATTTTCCATCAGTGTATACTTAATGGTGTATTCATGTGTTTAAATTGAGTTTTATGATGGTTTAATAGTTTTATTACATATGTAAGGCTATGATATCTTCAACAGGAAGATTGCAAAATGTTACTTAAAACTAGTCAACAATTTCTTCACGGTTTGTAGATTACCCTTGATAATCAGTCCAGAAATTGGTGAAATCTAGGTTCAAGGGTTTTATTTGTTGTTAGAAGCTAATAATTATTTAACACCGAATAACAGAAAATTATAAGGTCAATATCCATATATATCTCTTTGGTATAATCCCATACATTAGTTGTTCGATTTGAGAAGTTGAATATAACATTTGTTTTTATATTATTAACTATTTCGTGTATATTACGAAATAGAGAATGTTAATTACCAACATTTTATCGCTGGTTAGTCATTCTGATCTAATCCCACTTGGAAATCCCAGTTAGGAGTCATGTGAAGAAAGACAGCGTTTGATTAATAAATCTCAATCGTTCACTTGTTAGATAAGTATGTAAAATACTCTCCATGTAGTTTTATTAAGTAGTGAATGAAACTTTCAAATTTCAATAATCTAACAAATAATTAGCGTTATTTCTTGCACGTGATTTGCTGTTATTATTTATTGATTTTATTTTCAGTCCTTTGTTAAATGAATCAATAGTTTCATTTCTTCAAGAGTTGATCATTACACCAGTTTAACTAATTCTAGTGTTCGTGCAGATATACGTATATTCTTATCATATGTAATGATGTTTTCTAAGGTGTATTTTATTTGATAACTACTTTTTTCTTATATTTCAGCTCGTGCGGAAGCTATTCGTCAGGCACAGAAATCTCTATGGGAAGACGAATAATGTGACAATTACAATTATGTTTTAGAATTATTCCTGTAAAAAGAGTGATTTTTTTGCCTTTGGAATCCTTTTTATTTATAGTGAGAAAAAATATCTTTGCATTTGACCAAAAATTCATATCATAATCATTAGTTAGTATCATGAGTAATATCTAAATTATATTTTTTCCAACACTGACTTGTTAATTTTTCATCTTTCTACTCTGTCTATCTGTTTACATGCGAACACTTTATGCTTTTCGCTTGTGTAGTGTAAATTGAATGTATCATTAATAAATCATGGAACTTTCTTCATCATGTGTATCTATTGGACATGCTTCTTGTTACTTTTGCAAATCATCTAATTGTATTTTTAATATGTTTCTTTCTTGTTCTATATATGCGTTTATTGTAATTTGTTATTTTCTGGTGTTAAGTATGCTTTTTTATTTCACTAGGCTTCGGATTGTATTTTTTTCGGTTTATATTGATCTTAGAAACAAAAAATACGACAGGGCGTTGTCATTTTTGCTTTGAATATTTCTGCTGGTTGGAAGAGAGCTAGGGATAAGCAGTTAGTCATGCCATCTACAATGTAGGGAACAATTTCCTACAGGTTTAATTCAGAGCTATTCTCTAGACCGTTGAATACAGAGTCTTGGTTTGGCCAAAGTCAGAACAAGCAAACTATTTGGCTAGATAAACTTCAACTGACTCATGATTTCAATCTGTGAAACTTTATCTGTTTCGAACAGTAGCCAGAGAATAGGAAAAATGAGTCAACAAGCAAATATTGTTTTACAATGAACATCAAACTGTGATTGGTTAATAAAGAGATACAGTAGTACAAGGTCAAAGGGAGTTAATGTGGTGGTGGGCGTTTCTCTTTATTATTGGTGAGTTCGTCTATCGATCACATTTTACATACAGCGTAAGACCAGGCACATATGTGCATCGATCCAAGTTGCCATACCTCATTAGCACAACAAGATGAACACCAAATTCATAGAATTAGTTACTCCAGTGGTAGTTAAAAAAACATTTCATATAGAGATGTGATACAGGGAGAAAAAATTAGTTCGTACAAATAAAAATATAAAGTAATTCTAATCTCACGGTTTAAGGGAAGACAAAGAGTGTATACGCATACGCCATCGTGATTGATTCTGAGCCATATCACCCAGAGTCTCCAACCATTGGTTGCAATAGTCACACAGACTCCAACCAATTAGGTTGCATCTACCAACATGGCTCAGACCAGAAGTTAATGACTTCAAGGACTGATGCCACGTTTTGGTTTGGCCTCCCCTAACTTTCTTCCAACCATCTCCAACACTAGTCAGCATTTCGCGTCGTGGTAGTCGGTGTTTAAGCATACGTAACACGTGGCCCAACCATCTCAGTCGGTGAAGATTCACAACCTCATTAACTGATTTGCCGTCATTCCCTAACACCCTGCGTCTAACTTCAATATTACGTACCCGGTGATCCCAACAGGTGCGAGCAATATTTCTAAGACATTTGTGATCAAATACTAGTATCCTCTACTCCTAATAGCCACGTTTCGCAGTTGTAAAGTAAAACAGAAAGGATTGCTGCCTTTTAATTGATAGACGGATATCTCACCTTCGCTATAGGTGACGTAGCTTTTCAAAAGCCAAATGAGCTTTTCGAGTGCGTGCAGAGATTTCATCAGACACCAACCCATTACTACTGATCAGACTTCCAAGTGAAGTTGTTGACTTCACTTCCTATCCTTATTTCAGGCGTTGACGCAGACCACTTCTGAAGCGACTGTTTACATCTAGAAGGGGGGGAAACGCATCTCAAACATCCTGGCATTGCTGTTCAGTGCTACCAAAAGACTGCATTTCATGTGTGCATTCTAAGTCAATAAGTGGACCGCCTGGAAGGCGGTGGATTCCAGAAAATTTAATAGGTCCACGATGAAATTGAACAAAAGCGGAGATAGTAAATATTCTGTATGGATGTTCTGTATGGGCGTTTATAGTTAAGTACGGACTGACTGAAATGAAATACTGTCAAATATTTCTATCTTCAAACATTAGTATGTGATGAAATCTACCGTAACAATGAGAAGTCTATTTAAGCTACTTGGGTAAGTATTAAGTAGTACATTGACACCCCAAGTAATTATTCAAGCACGTTGAACAAATACCACTAAAAAATTATCTACTTTTTGAGTCCAACGAAAATCTATTTAGTAAACATATCAGACTTTTAGATTAACAGCATGAGTACAACTATTCATTAAGATCCAATGCATTAGTGAAGCAACTAGTGAGACAAGACTCCGAATCCATCGTCTCCATGGATAAACGGGTGATGAACGTATTCACTGTTTCCTTGGGGTGCTAAAATATGGCTCATGTCAGAAGTGAATGTCAAATTTCTGTATCTACTTTTCAAGTTTACAAATTGAAGGTTGTAATTTTGAACATTACGAGTAGTTTTAGAATTCAGTTAATCTGTCTAAGAGTTATTTGCAATGTCTTATTGTTTGTAGTTTTCTCCATGTACATACTACTGGAAAAAAAACTACCCTAAATTTACAGTGTTTGCAATTTAAGTTGTTAAATAGCTGTAGCTAAACTGCTATTTAAAACCAGGATCCACCAAACAATTGTGTTGTCCTAGTATAGAGCTCTATAGTTTTATTCCAATTAACTCCTAACAATTAAAATCATATTATCTTCACCGATCTTCTTTAATGATCATAATATCATCTCACTGATAAATACTTAAGATCAATTACTTACAGATTTCTTTCTTACCTTTAAGAATACATCATATATTATACCGTATTCATCATCTTTTTAAAACTAGTCAAATAAATATCAACTTTTTATCATTACTATTTGAACTTCAATGTTTAAGATTATGAAGGAAATCAGATTAACAAATCACTTGAGATAATATCTTATCAACACATCCAAATAAAGACAGATCAAGCACATGTAAAATCAGTGTAACCTTTTTTATACAAAAAAGGGTAATGCTCGTCTACAATTTGCATATAATTGCAGGAAATCATTATCATTTTTAAACAACAGATTTTAAAGAATAAAAGAAAGAAATTCTTATTGCTGCAAACAGACTACCAGTTCAACGAAATTCTTTATCCATCAGGTAAACAGCACTATTATCCAAATGTAGTCGAGCACGCATTTCTCTTAGTTTACTAACAGAATTCACCTGTTCTTGTAGAAAATCGTCCAAAAAATCTTGTGTCTATGTAAATATACAAAATATTTGTAGTAATATTTAATTATTTACTTAACAACTTGTACACAGGAAATAAATCATTCTAAGCTTTAGTGAATTAATTTAACTGAGCTGATTTATTGACATTATGCGATCAGTCATTCTTAACAGTAAAGATAAGTTAACATAAGCAACGTTATTATACCACTGACTACTTAGACTTTGGTAATATTAGACAGAAATTCTTTGACTTAATCACTCCAAGGTCAATATGATTAAAACTAAGTACGGATGAATATTTTTAGACTTATTATTCTTTGCAATTGAGTGCATAAATATTACTGAAATCTCCTTAACTTTATGATGAAAAATCTAGTCAGTATTCCTTATTTCTACCAATTCTTGAACTGGTATATGAATTAACTATCAAAATAGACCATACATTTTGCGTTTATAAACAGGTAGCAGTTTCCTCTATTACTCTCCATTTTTCAATTGATCATAAGGCTCATCTCAAAGTTGTTAAGAAAAAACACCCTTGTTTTTATCTTAGGCGAATGAGTAGAATAATTTTGAGTACTTCTAGTGTATTCTGACTCATCACATTCGAGTTCCATATATATATAATGTGGTTTAGAAATGTATACTTTGAGAAAATTGTTTACAATAATGTTTAAAAAAATTATTTTGTCATGATGATGAACTTTTGCTGAATAGAGAAAAGATACAATACCTTATACATTGATGAGAAGAAATCAAACTACATACATCTTATCATAGGATGGTTAAAACCATTCTCATTTTCAATAGGAATTTCAACAAATCCAAATATAAATCATTAAAATGATCCATAAAATGTCAACGACGACACAAATGATTTCTTTCTGTTTTAATAGATATTAAAGTTCAACTAGGGTCTAATGGTTTAAAAATCAATAAATGAAATGTATTTTCAATATCTTATATATTTGTTTATTTAGTTTATTAAACTTAACAGGTGAAAAGTTCATGTTAAATTTATTCAACAGCGTGCTCTAGTGTGTATTTATATCAGATTATAAGCTGTTTATGATTGACTGATTGGGAAGAGTTATTATTATACGATATTCGAATGTAAATAGACATTAATGAATTGTAGATATTTGGTAACTTTTCAAGGCGAATTCTTCTTAGTGAGTTGATTAATAGTTAGTTATTCAATTATAGACGACATTAGTGTCTTTAATATTCCCAATGTAACATTGAAAATATGAGTTAAGCGGAGAAATACTAGTTTCTTGGTATAGATATTCAATAATAAATAGGTTTCACAACTAAGTATTAGGTCACTTAATAAATGGCGTTTGATCAATCAATATATCTCAATATTTTCCCCAAAGACATTAAGCAGTTAGTAACTTAGCTGGTGCGAATTTAAGATGACATTACATAATCGGTTAATTCTAGCAAGTTGTTGCGTAAGATCAAAAGCAGGAATTGATTAAGTTGTGAATTAACTAGCTGAATGAAAATGTTTGGTGTTATTTTTAATAACGGTGATGAGTAATTAAAAAGACAGATGGAAAGGGAATTGGTCAGTCAGATTATGTAAACAGATTACGTTAGAAAAAAATAAGAAAAAATCCAAATAAATACAATATCATTAGATAAAGGAATAGCTAACGTAACTCATTAATCGGTTCATGATCTCAATCAAAAACTTAACAATCTCCACAACCACTATACTGATAACTCATTAGTTTGAAAAGATAGTATAAATCGATCGGTTCTGGTTTGAATATCAGTGAGAATTTCATCATTCACCTGGATATCCGTAAAACTCGAATGAAACTGGATACACGGTCCGGATTCATTTTTTTTACTACCGACTACTAAACTAATTTTCAATAGCCTTTTACTCATTCTTAGAATAATATCAGGATTATCGGTAGAATTTCAAGGGTTTTTTTGACTTCCTAACTCATCCAGGTAAAAATTGAGACTAATCAGTCTTACCTTTTTTTAATCTAATATAAATAACATTACGAAAGTAGTTAAAGATAACTTTTATTTACCGAATTGAAACCCTATGTCAGTTATTATTGACATCAAAAAGAAGAACTCTAATAACTTGTACCTTAAGTCATCTTTCAACATCAAAACTGTTAACTTTAAGTCTGATAGAAAAGATGCCATTTTAAATCTTTCAGTTGAAATCCAATGATCGATATATATTTGTATTTTCAAACAAAATTATCAACTTTTAGATAAACAGTTGATCATTCGATGAAGAATGAATAAAATATTTATTTAAAATCTATTAGATTGGAAGATTGTAAGTGAAAGAAGCATAACCAACATAAAATGTTATCAAAATTAATAAAATCATCTGAAATAATCAAAACTCACAATCGCATCATTCATTTGCGATGCTAATTTATGCAGTTCATTGATGTGTGCAGTGACTTGAAGTTCTTTTCTAATTGCTGTATCAATTACTTCATGAATATTTTTAAAATCCATTGGTACGCCTGAAGATGCAAGCTAAATTATGAATGGAGTAAAATCAAACAAAAAAGTGGCATGTAGATTTCTTGGTAAATTTGTAAATTATATAGGTTTTGGTATATGTATTACCAGGATTCATATAATGAAGTCCATTATGTCATAGAATACGTTGAAAGCAAGAAATAATATAACATTTTAGCTAATTTCTTGAAAACAATCAAAATGTATTTACCGATCAGTTCATCTAAAAATTTTCAATTACGTAAATAGTTATTGTGATATTTATGCATGAAGTTGAATCAAACTAGTGACTTATAGCTAACATGAGTAGATTTCAACGAATTCAAGATTATATAAATTAAAAAGGTATATTTTAACCTTTGACTAATTAAATTATGTATTCAAAAATAAATAAACGAATTGAATTTCGGAAAAAGAATACTATTACTGTCATAAACCATTCTTACGTAACAGGGTTAAAAATTATTTGAATCTAAATGTTAGTCATGTGAATAGTTACTACCGACACATGCCTATGATTCAATCAGGATATAATAGTCTGTTTGTCGATTGCTTTATCACAATTTCTATGTTTTACAGTAAGAAACTTTTTTTTAATTTAATGAATTTAGTTGGTATTTGTAAAATATTTGTTGCGAAAGGATTTATTCTGAACTGATGTTAAGCAGATTTTTTCACTATTTGTAAATGCTTCGAGTTGAACAAATGAATGACGTAATATTACTGTCAACAAAATTTTAAATAAATACCGACTAATTAAGTTGAGCTAGTCATCATTAACATATCACAGGGCAGAAATGCATAGAAGTGGAACAAGTCGCGATATCTTATCAACACAATAAGATCAAATTAGGGAAGATCAACAGTTAGGAAGTTAAGGTCATGGTAACATTAATAATAGTAAAAGGGAATAAACATCAACAGAACTGTTACAATTGAACAAATAAAGATAGTGACAGGCAAAGTTATTAGATTTCTAATTTGATTTCAGTTCTACAACAGACTAGTCACTGACTGGATAGCTTGGTGGTGACATTTGACTGGAATACCGAATTAACCGGGTCCCAATCTCATAAGGCATACCGGCTTTTTCAATGGACCTTAATAATAAATACCAACCAGAACAAAACTAGTCCAAGGAGAGCTTCTCACGTTTTGTCTCAAACCACAAAAATACATCAAAACGTTGTGTAACACTATATTCAGTCATTCAGTGACTAAACTGCAACTTGACTGCTAGGATTCGATCAGCACTACTTAGCAAACAAGCGTGATGTTACCTCATATTCGACGATTAGTCAATACAGAAATAATTTTTAACCAAAATTAGTAACTAAAAAGTGGTCAGTTGTAATTGGTTTCGTCACTACCTTTAAAGAAAATTTGTTCAGCAAGTTTTTGTACTAAGATACTGACTATTTATGTTGTATGTAATATAATAAACTAACATTTATCGTTAAAGTAAAAATTGTGGTTTTTATTTTTCTCATGATAGTTCCATACAAATAAATTTGCAGTGATCTTGATGACTGAGTGTTCTCACTTTCCTTTTTGGTTCATCATGGTACTAATGATTAATACTTAATTGCAAACACTTGTCAGTGGAGTAGTCAGTTGGTAAAGTAGGGAATATGATATAAAGATTCCCCATAAAAAAGACTAATAATTATCAATCTCATATTTTTATCATCCGAGTTTTAGTTCTTAATAATTAAAATCATAAAACACTTATAAGGGAATATAGGATAGAACAGTAAACCGAATAATGACAGCATAATAGAGTGTTTAATTTAAACAGAACGAAAAAAGTGTTCGTATTTACTTTAGTTAAATCAAGTTTAAGAAGTATGATTTATTTGTTTAACAAGAATATTTTATATTTAACAAAACAGAATCGAGTTAAACACTTAGCAGTTTTTTTATGTATTCGGTTTTTAATATAATTAACTTAGTGACGTTTCTTCGCATTTTACTTCTGCTTTATAGCAAAATTTCCGGATCGTTGAAAATCTAAATCAATCAGACGGTCATAAACGAAGTAAGCTCTAGCAAAACTAGCCATCAGCTAAAGTTTTAACTCACTTCAATGTGAGCGGTAATTGATAAATTAGATAGAACATGAATTGAAGTAAATAATAATAGTAGTTGAAAAAATCAAAAATCAATAATAAAGCTCAAGAAGAACAAATGATGTCGAGGAATAAAAAGTATGAACTAATAATAAACCTAATAATGTAAATAAATATAAAGAATGAATACATTTGCCTCTCTGTCAGTGATTTTAAACTATGTCATTAACGTTCACCCACAGTAGATTATTATAAGTGCTCTATTAAATTTAGCTATGAAGTGTACATATTTTGACATTATTCAAACCAAAAATTATCATTTTTTCTAAACTGGAAATCTCATGTTTTTGGCTTGCTAGAATATATGTATAAATTATGATATTAAATTTACTTATGAAATGTACTTACTTCATTGACACGATGGTTTTTCTAGAAAGTATTGAAATCCATTTATGTAATGAAGAGCGAAATATTCATTAGTATGGAGAGGAGGAGAGGATAGAAAGGATAATTATTGTAAATAGCTCTATAAATGAGTAGACAACCTTTACTGATAATAATCAACTTATATAATATATTTCATATTTTACTTAATTTCAGTGAAGATATCAAATGAACAGTGCACAAGCCAAAAAAGTACATTTTCTTCTGTGTGACAATGTGTTATGGGTTTAATTATTTAATAGGCATCTAAACATGACAGAAATTTTACATTTTAATAAACCTTTTATACTCAATAAATAAAAAGTTTAACTACTTTTATTATTTTTAATACAATTTGAATCAAACTATTTATGTATTGACTAGTTATTGGTAACATTTTTAATGTCCATTAAGTATGCTGTATCGGACATTTATATTTTTAGGGTGAATGCTGCATACGGAAGAATAATTATCACTTGGGCTTTCAAAAGTCCAGAGTTGTCTGTAACTGTGTTCTATATTTGTCAATTTTGCTAAGCCCAACATACTGGATGAAAAGCATAATGTTTATGTTAATTCAATATAATTAATGATAGGAATTGAAATGAAATCAATGAAAGTTACTCTCTAATATGCAGTGGCCACACACTAAATGAACAGGAGATGTTCAGAAGTTCTAAATGATGCTTACTTACTAAATAATTTGTCCATCACTGGAGGATGCATTAGAATAATGATTTAAACTAGTGTATATGTCTGCTCATTGTCCACCTCTAAAAACACTAACTAAATTCAATTTCTAAGCAAAGAGGGATAGTGGCTAGCAGTGGAATCCAGGACGCGCGTTTCGTCCTGTTTGGGACTCATCAGCTGGATGTACCTGCATCTCAGAGTTGACGTTCACTCTGGGACTCGCACTCAGTACCGTTCGCTTCAAACGCCATCGCGTTATCCACTTAGCTACTGAGTCCTGATAGCCACTTGCTTGTGCAATGGGGTGAAGTTAAATTCACTTGGTATTGTTTTACTTGAATCTTCCTATTGATGTTTTAGGACTGAAATTGATCAGTCTCTTATCGGCATATATATATATATAAACGTGGTGAGATATAGGTCCAATTGACTTTCATGGGAAGGTAAGTATTGATTTAATTTATTGTGTTCATACATATATGTATACACTCAAACGGAATCAAATGTAATCAGTATCTTTCCATTGTTTATAAGAGAACAAACTATACATATATGAACATTGTTATTCATTAAATTGTTCGGAGAAGTAATTTATGCATGTTCAGTGTGTATTTATCAATCAGACAAACAATTATCCATCTACTGACTAATTAATTAAGCTAGCATATTTTTATGATCGCCTAAAACTATTTATTTGCATTTACAGTAATAAAACTATTGGTTACAGCTGTATAAGTCAATCATAGATATTGTACTCGCTATAATACACAATTATGTTGGGTTAAGTCTCGTGTGAACTTGTTAGTGTACATTTTCAAGGAGTCACAGGGTAGTTAGTTCAACTTTTGAGTGCTAACTATTTTAGATGATTCTCTAACCACTAGTCGTCTCTAATGAAGATTATGTTTAGCTTGTATAACTAGCTATTGATATTTTTATATTGTTCTTTAGAGATTCACAATTATACCTCATTTCATAGAATGTAAGATTGTCTAGTCAAATAAGTTTTTTCTGATTTAGCACTACCAAACTTAATGTGTTTGTCATGAAACTCGTTTTGCCCTTTCTATCTACTGTATAGTCAGTCACTATCAAGTGTGAAGCAGGAAACTACAAGGTATCGATTCAATTCTCTATACTTTAAAGAAACATATGCAACAGAGATTAACAAGATGAGAAGCGTAATAGAGATAATAGTGTCGAATATTACAGAAAGGCAAACAAAAGAAACATGGTTGGTAATGAGCAAGTGAGCTTAAATAACATTAAAAATAGACAGATGCTAAATTCAGAATTCTGAGGAGCATAGAGAAAGGATGGAACTGAGTCACTGCAATCGATTTGTGGACATTTCATCATCGTGCCTGAATATCAGAAATCTATGTAATCTTATTCAGGAACCTCTTAATAATAGTGACATGAAAAGCTTGTTTATATGTAACATGCAATTAAATTACATTGTTGTACTTATGCTTTCATTCCGTATTATGATGTCAAGCAAACGATACGCTAATGTTATATATCATTAATCCACATTTTACAAATTCTAGTAATTTAAATATGTTCGTTATAACATTTGCATCCATGTAAACTTGTTATTTCGAGAACCAAGAAGATATTTCATCCTAATCTAATCATTCAAAATGTTATGACAGAGAAGATATTGTTTCCGGAAGTTTTAATCAACTAGTCACAAAAAATTTGGGACGCTGTAAAGGAATACGTCAATCCTAATAGCAACAAAATCAACATTAACATAGATGAAAGTCGAGAAGTCGAAATAAAATGGTAGTCACTAAACACACCAAAAACTTAGTTTAGAAGTTTCAACTCATTTACGTAGCACGTTTTAGATATTATACCGATTAATACAAATACGATACATATAATTATATGACTTATCAATTATTGAAAGTAATCTCATAACTATTTCAAGGTGATATGTCACTACCCACATTTATTATACCGTAGAACCAACACGTAAGTAAGGAAAATAAATAAAGGGAACGAAGTGTTAGGCAGTTGGAGGTAGTCGACAGGAAACTCTGGACCTAGGTTTTATACTGGCTGGTACTATTCAGAAAGACGAATTTGTAATTTTGGGGAACTGATGCTTCCTGAGAAACTCAAATTTAAGTCACCCAAATTTGCAGTCTGTAAATTCGCCTTTGAGCTTTTGGGTCTGTGAATAAATTATGGGACTAAGAAGTTTACAACTGACTGATTAATGAGTAATGACTATTGCTATGCTTGTTTATTACTTTAATTACTGATCGAATTCAACCAAACAAGTTGCTATGTCGTCACTAGTTTAAAAGACTCGATATCATATATATTGTATTGAAAAGCTTTTATTAGTGTCATGCAAGTGTTCATAAATGGGAAAATGATCTAGCCAAAAAGAATTTTTTGATGGGATTAAGTATAATGATAAATTAAAACGTCCATCAATTAAGATAAGAAGAAGGAATTAATTCATCTAGGCATTCAATTCTGCTTAGTTTTATGTTACATAATTTCTATGATCTACTAATTGTTACATGTAAAGTTTATACTCTAGCATAACAAAAATCGAACAGTCAAACATAGTAAATTGTTTGCCTTATTAGCTAGATCAAGTAATATTTATGAGTTGATAAATTTCAGTTCGTTAGCTTATGATATTAGTAAAGTATAAAATCACACGGAAATTTCTATTTCTGGAGGTCTCAGCTGATTTTCTCAGCTAAAATTTACTAGTTGAGTAAATAATTAATCTTCATTTGAATCTCAAACAAGAAGTCAAAAACTTCCTCTACAAACTGCGATAATAATCACTGACTTCATCGATCAGTTCCATTTATAATTCTACTATGCTTCTAAATTTAACTGGCAGACAAAATTAAAGTGGACAGTTGTTAATGCAACATTGTACATTATTCTACAGATGTAGACAACTAAATCTATTATCACTCGAACTGCAAAGTCATTATTATCATCCCAAGATTCCACAGTACTCGAAAGAGAGACCAGTAATTGAATATAATTGGTTTTCGTGTTTCACTATCAAAAACTATAATACCTAATCATACAGCAGATTTATAAGTACTATTGTCTAGTACTTTGCTTCTGTACAACCTTTTGAATATCAAGCATTATCCATAGATGATTTAACTCCATGAATGTAGAACATGATCCTTATGCTTTTATATTGAAATTTATTCAACTAACAAAGAACAAAATTGGATAAACATATTCACATCCAGCTAAAACTTTATGTACTTATGATAACATATAATAAGTTAGCAACAGCATACTTTTCTAGTTGGGGAACTCGTTTTAATGACATTCAGATTTCCTTTCAAATTATTCACAAGACTCCTTTTTGCCAATGTGTTTAGACAAAAAAAGTAGGGTGAAACACGTGGCCTCCACTGTAAGCTACATTCCATCTATTCTGTACTAAGTCATATGAAGTGTTTTAAATAACTAAATAAAACCATCTCAAAGATATCTGATGCATTTATAAATCTAACTGACTATCTCTAACTGAATAGAATGATCACGTATTGATGTGATATAAATGTTATTTTAATTTGATTTGGTTTTTATGAATTGCTTGAAGTCAATTATTTAACCACATAATAATTTACGGTTCGTAAAGCACGTTTATCAAATAGTTGACATTCGAAATTATTATCTTCAATTTGTACACCATACTACTCAGTAAATTCAAGATCACTACAAAAAATAAATTATTTTTGTGATGAGACCGAGGTTTTATACCCAATTAATATGGATTGATAAGATCACTACTCTCGCTCATCGCCATATTTATAGAAAACAATGATTTTCTCAAAATTAACTCAGCCGGAACCAATAAAGCTCAAAAATATTGATCCAAAGATTCTGTTAACTTCCTCTTGATGTAGTGAACCAAAGTGAAACACTCTGAAGGGTTAGACATTTATGCTGGGTCATAATGATCGAAGTCAAACAACAGTTTAAATTGTAACTGGAACCAACATAACTTCATGTTAGGTTCTACATTAGTATCATGGTTAGATATAATGATATAGTTTTATAAAATGTACTCTTTATTTTCCATCTATCTATCTAGGAAGAACCTAGATCATTAAAAGAAATCTGAGGAATTACGTGACGAAACGGATGGTGAATTAAGCGTTGGTGTAATCATTTTCAAATTAGATTAATAATACTATCAACATTTATCGGTGTTTAACAACGTAAGATATAACATCATCCTTTAATTTATAATCCTTTCTCCTTAAATTGATTTAATCCGAGCAGTGAAAAGTTGTAAGAAACTTTTTCTACAAGACGTGAATCACAAATAATAAGAAAAAAATCATGAATGTACAAGATGTGGGGAACAAAATGTTGCATGGCAACTGAACGATCTTTTATATAATTCCAGTTATGAATAAAGTTCATTTGGTCAAATGTTTATTTTCATGGTTTGCTGTGCAATTTGTTATCACCATTTCTATAACCTGATACTAAATTTTGTGAGTGTTATTCAGTCTGGTTCGAGGCAGATAAACTTTTGCAATCACAGTAATGTGCATTTATTTAGAATCCTCTCACCCCTCAAATTGATGACAAATGTCATCCGGTTTACCTAATATGATTACTATTCACCAGTTTTTTTTTATTTTCGACCTGAAATTGTTCTCTTAGATTTAAATTTTAGTGCATCATTATAACTTTTCTCACACCTACACTGATACTCCCTACAAACATAAATTTATCGAATACAATGATTTTTCCAATATTACATATATTGATCCGAACAAATATCGAGCCCTATTATAATGACCTGCATCACACAAGTTCATTTTATTCTTGTTTAGGTTTAATATGATAAAGTGGACATTATTTTCGTTTAGATAAGAAACGGTACTTTTTTTATTTCAACATCATACATATACCGTTAAAATATTTTGTCAAACTCACTAAAATATTTTTCAGGACAACCTTTGAGTTTCGTTTATTGACGAATTCACTGAATTTACGTGCATGCTCCAATTCTTCGTTTGCACTTTCACGGAAAAATTTCGCGAAACCTGACAATCCAACTTCTGGTCTAGATAGATAAGACGCCTACAATTGGAGTGAAAAGATGGGAATGTAGATTAATGACGTTTCATAAGTTTATATCTAGAAATTAAATAATATCAAAGTTAAAGAAATCCCTAATGTATGATTCCATGGGGATGTGTGAACAGAATTAGATTAATACATCGTGTTTCCGCTGAAGAATTTCACTAGGCTGTTTACAACTAGAAACTTATAGAGAACATGACTTCCTCCATTCTCTCAAAATTTCTCACGAATTGTATAAAACATATAAAACAGAAGTAGTGAAGATTATTTATAACTAAGTTCAGTACTTCAGTTAGCAGTAAGTGCTAGTGATATTGTCTTGAACAATAATAAAAGTTTTACAATTAAATCATCTAGCTAAGAGAACACATAATCAATAAAATACTTAAAAATCTAAGTAAATTATGATCCCTATTTTTATGCTAACACGAAGAAAATGACTGATAGATATTACCAATGTTACAACTGGTAGTTGTGAAAGGATTTCAACCTACCAATAGCCTAACGGAATAATGAAAAACTTTTCAAATGTTGTTGCACATGTTGGGGCAGTTGTCACATCGCGGTTGCCCGCTCAGTGGTGTTCTCTTCTTGAAGCATCTTCAACAGAAACTAGTTTAGGAGTGGTCTTAATACCCTGGGAGCATGACTGTGGTGCTTGAGAGATAACCACTTGAAGGTGGTCACATACGACAATTTTTTGTGATAAGTTTTAGACAAATTAACACATTACTTTTGAGGCCTTACAGTTAGCGACGAGAATCTTTCTGATAAGGTGAGATGATTTATTTTTGAACCAAGCCCCTTTGTCTTGTGGTAGAACAAAATGGTCGCAGACACTGGCTGTTTGAGATAACTAACTTACCGTTACCAGGCTTTTATTTAGTCGGTGGAATGATTCCGCTCTCGAAATATGATTTTTTTGCTTTCAGTTCTATCACTGTCCTAATAACTTGCCTGGCATGAGTTATATGTTGCGACCAATGTAGCTCTACCGGATCAGTACAACATACAAGCCCGACCACCATGTCAAGGTAGGAGTTATGGTCAGAATTCCTAACATTTTAATCATAAAATAGTCATTACTTGTTTGCATGTGATATAAGAGTCTTGAGATCACTCAGATGAGATTGCGAATAGATTGACTAGACTAACTGGACCAGTACAATACATCGAAAAGTGTCCGTTTCTAGAGTTTGTTTGTGCTTAACAGAGTAATCTCAGTCTATCTATCATTATACAGTTATCAGTCCTTGTAATTAAAGCAAACGAAGTAAGGATAGCAGAATTTACTGAAACTAATCTTGTAAGTTCGTTTTATTTTATGATCGATCAACTATAAATAAGAACAGGTTGAAATCACAATAATTATTTGGAATAATTTAAACGAAATAAGGAACACATTATCATTGTGAACGACAGCAATTCAAGTGATGTAATTGAAAGCTTTAAAAAGTAAAACTAAGGTATACGTTATAATATGCAAATTACAACAGTTGTAAAGACACCCCAATTTATCATAATTTTTAACTAGTTGGTTATGTAACAAATAACATATGGAAACACTTTTGACCGATATTTAACTACTGCGTTAAAATCTGTGAACGATCGTTAATAAAGAATAGTGCAATTAAAATAATATCAAAGTGAATTTACCAGTCAACACATACACAGAGAGTGATCACAAACTATTTTTCTACACAGAGGTCGGAGTGATGTTTAATATTTAGTGTTTATAAATTGAAGTATTCCAATTTTGAATTGCATATTACTTATTCCGAAAGTTTCTAACCAGTGAGCTTGATGTTCATTATACCCGAGTTTAAATGTTGAGTATATACACCATCTATGGTTTCATATTTGGATCTAACCTGTCTTACTGTAAATTAATTTTCTCGATTTGGCTTAAAATATCGTAGTAGTTAAACGATCGAGACTTGTGAATGAGTTTATCATTTAAGCTGATTATATAGCTAGTGTATTAATGAAAATATAGAATGAATTCGGCTAACGGCTTATGACGTGCACGTACTACTTACAGACTGAATAGTAAATAGTATCTTCTGCTGCAGTTACCTCGGATCACTTTCTATTGATTGGTCGTAAGTCATTCACTAGTGTGCTTTGATTGCTTTCTGTACAACCATTGTTACACGTGTAATTTATTCAAAACATAATCACCCGAAGTCGTAGAAATAGTAACTTTTCTTCTGACATTACGTATAGGATTAGGCAAATTACGAATAAAAATTATCCTGAAACTTCAAAATCTCACTTATTAAGTAGTTCTCTGTGTCACGCTCTATACAATTAGAATTCTATTAGAAATGAATGGGAAAGCGTCGTATATTATGTGACTATTAAACATGAGATTACCCTAAAGACCATTGTCATAAATCATTTGAGGACTATTCCATTACACATCAACAATGGATCATCACGTATACCTTTTATCGCTCTTTAAAAAAAAGTTATTTCTTGAGTAAACTAACTGAATCTATCAGCTGTCAATTTTTCCCCAAATAATAGAATTTTAAATCAATCTTTATTCATTCAATTTACTGTTTTAACGTGTATTAGATCAATAATGTTCTGTGCAAACTGATCATGTCTTTCTAAATAATAATTTTTTTGTAGTCATTTTCAATTCTGTCTATTCACTGTAAATACAGTTACTGAGGATTGCATTGTCATTGATTTTATAATATTACAATGATAACTTACAAGTAAACTATTTTATTATTATTATTATTATTATTATCAGCTTTATGCAATATTATATTTTCGGTACAATATAGAATTCTCAGCGTAAAGTATTTCAACAAGTTTCCGTTTCTTTCTTCTTGGTTGGTCCTGGCAATAAATATTGAGTGATCGCCAGTTAGATGTTAGCAGTTCAGTAAATGAACATCTGAATAATGTACATTCTTTTCGTTGTATATTGCCAGCAACCACATTGTCTCTTATTGAGTTTTTTGTAACTTTGACAACGAAAGTTTGTACACTTTTCAGAAACGCAGCAGAATAGTTTATGCGATTAATAAACATAGTGATATATTAAAACAAACAAAAATAGATAACTTGTTGAAATACCTAGATGACAGGAACAGGTAGCCCAGATGATCAAGCAGGCCGCCCTTATAAATTACGACTAGAGATTTTTATTTCTCACCTTCTCCACTTATCATTAAAAAAAGAAAATATTCCATGTCCGAGTGCATAATATCGCTTGAAATTTAAATTTAAAATTTAAAAATTAAAAACAGAACACACACACAAAAACCTTTGAATAAATGTGTTAACATTTGTTTATGTATATCTACTATATTTTGAATGATGCAAAATATTGATTATTTGAAGACAAATTTTTTTTTGTTGATAATTATGCTTAAATATGAGTGATAATCAACAAAAAAAGAATTTACTTTTCATCTTATTATAGGAATTCGAGTTGAATTCACACGTGGTTAATATGTAAACAGTAAAAATAATATAGATGTATTGTTATCAGAATGGGTTTTGTGGAGATTTTTAGAAATTTCACTGGTTGAAATCATGAGTCAATTGAAGCTAGACAACCATGGAAAAGCACTGGACGACCGTTTCGTCCTGGTGAGAAGTCGTCACCAATGGAGTTCAAGCAGGTCTGTTGTGAGATAGGAACTCACTGAAGACAATGGTGTACGGTGGCGCAACTTCGTGGATTGGTTGAAGTTAGACATTAACACTGTTGGATGCCGGTTCAGTGGTCTAATGGTTAAGTGCCTGCGCGCGAAACCAGTAGGTCCTGGGTTCGAATCTCGCGTGTTGCGGGATCGTGGATGCGCACTGCTGAGGAGTCCCATACCAAGACGAAACGGCCGTCCAGTGCTTCCAAGTTTTCCATGGTGGTTTAGCTTCAATTGACTCATGATTTCAACCAGTGAAATAGATGTATTAGTTAAACTGTGCATATCTTATTTGCGATTCCATTATTTAAAGATGAGTCCCAATTTTGTTGTCGTTGCTGCTAAAATCAATTTGGTTTAAATGGCTTATTTGTAATTTTTCTTATTCAGCTTAAAAATTGTCACTTTTTTTCTTAACTAGACTGTTTGCAAAGCTTAAAACATACATTCGGTATAAAATTACCAATGTATTAAGAGTTTAGTTACCAACTATATTTATTTATAATAATTAGAAATTATGAATTTAGATAGATTAGAAAGTTACGCTTCATCATGTTTTATGACCAGATTTTCAAAATTTTTGTTAGCATTTTCGGAAACAGTAATCCTCATATATCAGCCGAACACCGTTTTATGAATATGAATATAAATTTCAATTTATACAGTTAACGTAAAATCTTTATACAAAAATAAACAAGTTTGGTTGAATACAATTTAGAACAATACATATAAGCGAACAATATTGTATTCGATTAGATCTTCATCAGGCTTTATTCTGATATACAGTAATATTTATATACATATATGAAATTATTAGACCAATCAAGGTAGTTTATGAGTCAATGATAACAGTGGAATAAACTAGATAAATAAGTGAAAAGTACAAATTGGTGGTGTGATAACAGGTGTACTAGTTGTGATGAGAATAATAATGACTTGAATCAATGTTACATAATGGGAAATAGGTCAATGATTAGAAAAATATAGACACTGAGGTGACATTCATGAAAATTATAAGATTACGTTATAAGAAGTGTTCAGATAATTAGACCGTGAAACGTATATTTTGAAATAAAACCTGGAAGCACTGAATTACTGTTTCATCTTAATATGGGGCTCTTCAGAAGTGAGTATTCACGACCTTACCGGGGATCAGATCTACAACTTTCTGTCAAGCAGAATGGTAATAAAGTAAACCAGAAGGTTAGAGAGACTGAGAAGGTGAGAATAAGTGAAGTATAATAAAAGTGTTAAAGTTATAGAAGCATAATACTGTGGAAAAGTTAATTATCAGAAGACTGAAACTACTAATTCCTATGAACATAAAGTCTCCGTCAAGAATGTTTAGTCATTTCGATACAACTCAGACAGGTGGTTTATTAATTTGAATAAAGATGTTGTGGCATGAAGTGGTTTTTCCAAGCATCCTTTCAGAGCAATCCTACTTCAGCTAATAACCTAAGTACTTTCAATTGTTATTTGCAATCTACATTGTCGAAGACATGTGTAATCTACAACTGGAGTCCCACAAAATATCAATTCCTGAAGATCATGGCACATACCTGGCGCATTGTACAAGACAAACTGTTAAACAGTCTATATGCTACATGATGGTTAGTACAATATCTCATCTGGAGTATTAGCGTCAGTGTTCATGTTGAATTGTGCACGAATAAAAGATACTTGAATGCATTTGATCTAAACTTACTGTTGAATGTTAATATTAGTGGAAGCGATTAATGAGTGACTGAATTTTCCTTAATATCAATTTCCTTTCGGTTATTTCATTAAACTCCAGTTTTTGCATTACGATGAGACAATAAACAGAATTAAGCATACCTTGAATTTAATAGATATTTGGTTGATAGTACTAATTTCGTCTGTACACCGAAAATACTAGATAAATAGTTTTAGACGCATAATATTTTATCCCATAAATCAAGTAGACAGGGAGAAATCATTCATTTTATTGTTAAATCTCATCAGGTTTTTTACTGGAATACAACAAATACCTTAGTGATATATCTATCTTAAAGAAGCAGAATATAAATGAACCAGAATAATTGTTATTTGTAACTGAAAACGATGTTTTACATAAATTACCTTCAGATCTAATCTTAAAACTAATAATATTTACCATACTTAAATTAATCACATTTCAATTCTTTCTGAGAACAAATCAGTATGTAAGATTAGTATCTGAATCATTGAAAAATATATTCTATTAAGTAGTTAATTACATTTCGGTAATCTTTAAGAGAACTAAGTGCCAACTGATTGTTTATGACACAGACACTTGATGTAACAAATACGGTGAACTGTATGCATTCACATAATAATCAGAGGAAGATTAAAAAGTTCACATACAAGCCTAATCAGAATTGTATCTATTTATTTTTCAAGTAATCACTATGACTTCTCTAGTCCGATGAGGAATATCTGTAGTGAGATTTGTGACATTCATCTGATAAAAAAATTTACATACTGTTCATTTATATGGTTATAAAATAAACCAATATCAATAAACTATGTGTATATATGCTTCATATTGTAAGTTAAACCAAATGATTTTATTTAAGAAAAGAATTACGATAGATCAGAAAATTTTGCACACTAGTAGATAAGAAATATTAGTAAGGTTATTAAATTGCAGATATAAAGCCGTTGATATTCCCTACCCCCTATTATAAGTATTTAGAAAGTTTCCCCTTCATCTACTGACAATAATTCATAGGATGAATCAACTACAAGTAACAACTTGTTCAAATAAAACTTTGAGAGATGTTTGTATAATAATGCGTTGTTATTTCTATCATTATTAGCGAAAGAAATCGTCGAAAATTCGAATTTGATTTCTATTATTGATTACATTATGATAAAACTTTATTCTCGGTTAATAAGAAAGACTTATTAATAAGCAGATCATAAATTATCGTAATGACATTGGTGACACCAAGAATAACAAGTCTCTCTGCATCGACAATGAACTAGATTTTTTTCAAACACAATTAGGAAAATAAAAACCAGAGAACTCTGTCAACACTGGCGCACTTACGATATGGTCATAAATATAAAAAGCCTCATACTCAGTTAGAATTTGATCATTTAATCCATTTTCCACTTGATCATCTAAAGCAGTCGGGTCTTTAACTTCACCGCGAATTTGAATTGGGGCTGAAAATACGAAAGAAAAGTAATTTTATTGATGTAATATAACAAAAGTGATGATAAATTAAAATACGCGACTTTTAAACGATACCCCTTACACTGGTTGTTATCTCATATACGTAAATATAGAAATAACTTTAAAGACTATTAAGTGAATATCTTGAATGTTTATATATTCTTTGGGACTTTTTTTAAGTAACAAGTGGTAAAACTCCGATGCTTTTGAAACATTAAACAGATGACTCGTATTTATCCAAATCTTCTTGATGTCCTGTATCTGTCAAGTATAAAAGTATGGTGTTCATACCTATCCTTAATTTTTTCTGCCCTTAGTTTTGGAAGATTCAGTAATGGACTTGTCTAGTTGTACAGCTGATGTAAATAGCTGACCAAAAGCACTCAACTATTTAAAAATGCAGATGAATAATCATTCCCAACAAACAAAGCCTACTTTCTAACCAGGCTGGTACAAAAATTCTGTCTACATATGACGTAGTTGTTTCAAGTATCTTAAATAACTTTGTTCGTGGTAAATATGTGCTACGTTCATTTCAAGTTTTCGTGATATGAAAGTTACATGCAGTTTTCTCTAGGTATATTACTAAAATATACCGTTAACGTCACTGTTAATGAGGAGTTTGATAAATTGGATATCTTCATCCACCTTTCATAAGTTTAATTATTTTGATATATATTAGTGTATTACATGATACAAATAATGAAAATATTAAAAGTTATGGGATTGTATTGGGATTGAAACAGACGTTAGTTTTCTTCGACATCTAAATAGAGAATCCATTTCATATATGAATAACACTTTATCTCCACAATAAAGAAAGCATCATTTATTTAAGTTTAAACTGATTCCATCTATTCAAACGAAACCTTTTACCTAACAACTCTAAAGTTTAATGAAAATGAGAAAACGCCTCAGGAGTTCAGTGTTTAATCAAATGTTGTTGCATAGAATACATCATATTGAATAACAATTGTTTACTTGTTGCTCATTTAAGGCCATCAATTTATGAACTGTTCAAGAAAGATACTTTCAAATTAACATGAAACACATTACACCATAATACTTAAAGTTTCACTCACCATACACAGCAAGAATCCAAGTAATAAATACTATCATCCACATCATGATCTTCATACGAATTGAATGATGTATATTAAATGAAATTTCTTCGAACAATTGCTTAGACAAATGTAGTTAATGTCAACTAGTTGTAAAGTTAAATCTAAATATTAAATTATTGTTTTACCTTGGAATTTAATATATATATCAATGATTAAAAATTATTATGTGTACTATTATATTGATATATTATTAATATAAACAATTTTAAGTAATTTAATTGGTTTTATAAAATGAAATTATTTATTTAGTGGTTCCAATAGCATATGTAAATAAATTTAGAACAATTAATACATGAATTGAGGGCAGTAGTTCGAGTTTATTGGTTAGACTGGACAATTTTATTCTGTCATACAACTAAACTGTAATAGTATTGATAATATTTATAAAACATTTGTCTAGTACGAAAAACTATCATATAATTTTATTTGCCTAGTATTTGTTATTTTATTAAACTGAATTATGAATTATTATTGCCAAGTTTCATGACCCAAAATATAACTTGTAATAGGAAATATTTGATCAATAATAACAGGTAAACTAAACAGTGTCAATCGGTAATTTGATGACAGATTTAGAATAGATTGGATTGTTACTGGCTTGCTATTTTACATAATAGATTTCTTTAATTAATAGGTTAACTCAGGTCATTAGGGATTTCTGTTATAACATATAGAGTACATTATTCTTATTCCAGTTAATGTAACATTCATTTGTGGCTACATACTTGTTTTTTTTTCTGTTTCTATTGTTCAAAGTGTCTCTAGAAGTCCTAATAAGTCAGGCTATTCAAAATATACTATCAATTCATGTTTTATTGTTTACTATTTACACAGCCAGACCTTCTAAATTCAATTCACCAACAATTATTCGAGCAGTTAATCGATAATCGGAAAGTATGAAAAGCTTACCAAGTTTAGTGCTTTCATCAATGTTCGTTCTGTATTAACATCATCTTTGTAGTCTTCATAGCCATCACTAAATCACTTGATCAGTTTAAAAACTACTATTTTCGTGAACATTTCATTTCTATACACAGTTATTATCATATTCTGGATTTTGTGAAATATTTTTTTAGATTTCATCATGAAAGGATACAACCCTCTCAGAGTTTTTTATGGAACAGATCATGTATTTACCTACTGAAGGCAATATGAATATAAACACGGGTCACGTTCATACCAAAATCTTCCGAATTACTAGTTTAGCCGAGGATTTTTATGTACTTTTGGTCACAATTAGTTTAAGAACAACTAAGTGTCTATAGTTCATTATAAGAGTAATACACAACACCTAGAGTTTGATATAAGTTGTAGAGTTATTTCATAAACAAGTCATATTGTTAAACTAACAAAGTATCTTGATATTCGTCAATCTTTATCAACATACAGTTCAAATTTACTATAATCCTTCATATCAAACATATTGCAGTTTCCAACTGAATTCACAGTCAGTTGTTACTGTTTATGGGTGTAGTTATTATTGATTGACTGATGAGAGATGACGTTGTTGAATCGAATGAACGAAAACAATTATTTAACAGCACAGATAACAATAAATCACAATAAAGATTCAATCGTTTCAATGCCTTAGTTGATATCTTTTACTGAATTAAAAATTGCATTCATAGTTTTATATTCATAATATTTACTAGTTGGTAGCATAATTATTATAAATCCATTAAACACAGGACATTGTACGTACGACCCGTTTTTCATGGATAACTCATTGAACAGTCATAAGTGGATATAATCTGACTACTTATGTGTATTTATACTTATATACTCGGAAATTGTCATTCGACTGAAGCCTTACTTCTCATAGCATTTATGAAAAGTAATTACGATGCCATTTTGTTTACTATATATATTAATGAGCTACGTTAGTGAACACTTGTAGTACATTTCATTGCTTTTTTACTGTACATCATATAGAACTACCAAGAATTGTATACTATGTCGTAAACTTGACGAAGTGCATGTTTCTTAATAGACTTCTACTCAGTGGCTAAATGTTTTAATGTTCGTTGAGAAATTAATTACTAATGTAACAATATGTTGTGTAGAGTCGATGACGAATATTTATGAGCATTACTAAAAGAGAATAAACTAAATATATTGATCGTTACTGTTTGTTGATATGGGAATTCTCCTTCATATACTTACCTAATTGATGGATACTGACTAAGAAAGTATTATGTCAACTGATTTTTTTATTGACAAAGAAACAAAATGTTCTTAGATATATCGTTTTAACGGTTGATATAATAACTATGAGATGCCGAAAATTTCCATGCTTTTGCTTAAAAAATTATTATTACTCATGCTAATTTGGTTTAATATAAGCTACTAAATATAAAAAAGACCTTAAACTAAGATTTCCATCTCATGTGTGGATACTACTGAGGAGTCTCAAAACAGCTGATATCGATCATCAGATTTTTCTGCTTTTCAAATAACAAAAAGTATCCATCTTATATTCGATGCTTATGTTTAAGAACAAATATGCAGAGCTGACTTTTTGATTGGTGAACCCAATTTTAATTAAACTATAAAAAATCGATAAGTCTCTCCCGAAGTTAAAGATATGACTGATTATTAGCTATTAATTTTGTTTATCTCAGAGTATTTTTAACCTATTACTTACAAACATCAGGCAACCAAATAATTTAGCCACTTAAACTGAGTCCAGCATCACATTTGCGTGTTTATTATACTAAACGTTGATTGGTGCGTTTTTCGGGGATTATTTGGATAGGTCATTCAATCGATAAGAATTCATTCAAAGTGTGCCTCTAGATTTTGTTGTCTCCCCTCCCCATCCGATAAAATGATCGACCAATGAATAATATGTCAGACCAATAAAATTGTCATATTTATTATTTATAAGTCACTTTATGGTCTTCAAATTTAGCTAAATTGCTTTTATTAATGGACCTAGATTGTACAGCCAACTCCTCAGTTTCGGACTCTCAATCAAATGAACATACTGTCGGATCTAGTCCAACAGAATTAGGCTATGAAAATACTATAGGAACACCGACAGGAGTGGAACATTACTCCGATCTATATGATAACCGATCAAATAAAATTGTGGCAGAAGATCCTAGAAATAATTTGGAGTCGTCAGTCAATGAAAGTGGCTACAGTTCCTATTGGTAAGTTAGTCAAGGTCATTCTTTTAAGATACGTAGTAAAGTGTACTTGGAACATAAAATGTTTGGATAAATTACTGCCTAGTCTGAATCTAGCATATTAACAATCTCATATACAATAACCTTAATTAATCAGGACATTTGAAGACTGATGTATTATTGATATACGGCTATCACATGTATTCGCCGAGGTCTATTTCGATGATTGATTGACTAGGTTTACTGATTCATCATTAGATTCTTTGAAGCGTATGACGGAATTCTACCCACATTACTCTAATGTAGGTAATATGCAGTCGTAAGCCCGAAATATTTCAGTTTAAATGTTATGGAAATAAATTGAATATCATAAAATTTGCTACAACTTTTCAAAGAAAATTCGTTAAGAATCCCGGACAGTGAATAAAATTTTCAAAACCTTTGCTTCATAAGCTCAGAAGAATTTTAAGTTCATAGATCTTAAATGAAGCAAATTATTCTCCACAATTAAGCACATAGTTAACGTGATTGTTACTCGGTTGATAGAATTTAACATTCACACACTTTATGTCATGTTAAATATCGATAGTGACAATAATAAAAATTGAGTTTACTGTGTAGATGAATTATAGAGGTGTATAGCGTCTTAAATGTTTCGACTTTTTTATTAGTGATGAGTATAATATTCAGTGTGATATTAAAACTGTTGTTGGACATCATGTTCCCTATTGCTAATATATATATACTTTTTAACTATCATGCTGTGAAGCTGAATAAAGAAAAAACTTATTTAATTAATCCCGATAACTTACGTAAATGGAGTCCTTCTATCGTTTGCCACAAGTGATACTATGTCGTCAGCATGAATAATTATTAACTTTCCTTACAATATATATTGATCAAATATTTTAAATTTTTTTATGCGGATCAATACGACTTAGTAATCTCTGTAGATCACTACATACTATTAATCACCTTTTGTACTATGTGAGTATATTTGTAGATTTTAACTTTGTTTCTTAATTGCTTTCTTTTAAACTTTGAAGTAACTATAGTTACATATCAACTGAAGATGCAATTACTAAACCTGAAGAAAGTGAACCTCAGTTTTGCGTTAATGCATGCCATTCGATTTATACGATTCCATATGTGCCAGAGAACTTAACAAACAACACTTGTCGCTATGTAGAATTTACAAGTGACAACAACGAGACAGTCAACGCAGTAGCATCCATAGTTAGTCATGGTGTGAATTCTTGCAGTTACATCCCTGTTTCTAATATGATTACTACTGTTATCAATCACAATTGTACACCAACAGTTACAAATGAATTCAGCAAAATCTTTAACTACCAGTGTGACACAATATCAACCCCAGATATAACAAGGAAGAATGATAATCAAAGAAATTTCAAAAGTGATCCTGATACATTTTGGATTAGTCAGCGTGATGACATTCAAAAGTCAGTTAGCATAAGAACAGGTCATCTATCAAATGATAAACAAAATGCATTGGATGGTTACGTAGACAGTGGAAACATTCCTACTTCTACAGACCAACAACTTTTACAGCCACAGGCGTGTTTAAACAATTATCGTGTCAAAGAGGACGAATCCAAAGAGTCGTATAATTCAAATTTTCCTGAATTTGCGTACAACTTTATGAATACACATTCTCAACATTACACAACAGGCGATTTTATTAATGCCAGTTCTCAAAATTCCGTGATAGACTGTATCTCATCATATCAAGATAGTTCTCAGAATTCTGAGAGCGTCAGTGCTTGTGTTAAAGGGCCACCGTTTTATTCGCAAACTCATAACGTTTATTGGCCTTGGGTCGACAGATTTTACGCTGAAAATTGCGCTTCAAAATTGGGCTCAGTTTGTAATTCGGATGTTGCTACTAAGGGACTCATAAACTACACAAATTCATTCTCTTGTAATCCAAGCTTTGGTCATTCCTACAATTCACACTCTTTATTCATCAGTGGTGCTAATCTCCCGCACATCAGTGAAAAGCCAAATGAACAGTCTCAGCCTTCGAAACTTTCAGCAGTAAATTTATGTACAGGGGAAAATATGTCTGCTTTTCATTCTATTGCTCAAATATCGAGTGATTACTCCGGGACATCTGTGGTTGCCGGTAATATACCAAATCTCATTTTAATGAACGCACAAAGCAGTGGTGATTTTTCAGCTCAGTCTGCCGATAATCGTAAAGAATCTCAAGAAGATGAGAATAGCTTTGATCATAGTGAAACGTCATGGCAACCAGAACTGAATTCTGTTCAATGTTCATCACGCAAAAGATTGTCAGATAAACAGAGAAAGACTATATGTGTTTCGATTCTCAACGAAAACCAAACGGAAGATTCACATACCCCTCAAGTTGAAATTACCCAAAATTCCTCCACATCATTTGATATTTCGAGCCTTCACCGAGAAAATGAAATTTGTTTAGACCAATCAATCTCTGGAAATAGCTATTCATGGACGTCAAAAAGTGATAAACTGAAATTTAATTCCCGCTTAAGATCAAAAAGATATTCTGACGCGATCAATTTAACACGAAATAGACCATTAAATCAAACTGCCTTGAGTGTGATGGAAAGTTGGTATACAAATCATGTAGATAACCCGTATCCTACAACAGCGGAGAAAGAAGAATTAGCAGCACTTGGCGGAATAACAGTCATTCAAGTAGGTTAATTCTATAAATTGATAATCAGTTATGAAACATCTTATTGGTGACTTTTTTATATGTTTCGTAATGACATCTAATTTATTTGCTGTATGATAGCTCTAAGCTTGTCAGTAAGCTTCTTAGAAATTGACGGTTTTGCTTTTTCATATAATTTCTTACAAGGTTATTCAGGAATTGATTCTAGGAATTTGAGTAGTCAGAACAACAATCAACCTTTTTATATATTTGTTAAATGTTAGACAAATTTTGTTAAAAATTTGTGTGCATTAGTTATTGAAGTAAATAATAATTTATGGTGAAAGATGCATTTAAATGTTCTTTTTCTGAAGTTGTTTTTTCATGACTTTGGAGATTGGGTCACATGTACGTTAGAGTTTATGTCATAAATTAAAGTATACTGGAAAACTTTACTTCAAAAGCTCCTCCATGTGCAAAAAATAAACATAATAAGGTTCAACGTTTTTTGTTCATGGTATCAAGTATTTTAAAAACTCATTTCAATTACAGGTGAGTTCTTGGTTTGCCAATCGTCGAACACGAACAGCAAACACCAAACCGAAGAAGAATCGAAGAAAGTTATATCATCAAATTTATCAACTAGCCGTTGAAATTGAAGCATTAACACAGGGATCACTCCGAGCTTGTGATTTACAAGAACGAATTGGACAAATTATTGATGAATATTTGACGTGAATTTTCCAGCCTTACTATTAATAACTTTTAGACACCGTTTATTCTTGTTTATAGTCAGTTTCTGCTAACTTTTCTGAATCTCAGGTTCATTTTTTGTTCTTGTTTATTTTTACTTTACTTATTTGGAATTTTTTGTTTGTTTGTCAGATGATTCTTTTTCTTACTAATACAGTTTTTTTATTGAAGTCTGCTTCGTTTTTGCTATATTCTAGGAAAAATGTGATCACCGTAAGATTATAGTAATTTTAATAGGTCACGTTCCTTATTAAATCAGCGTATCAGTGTACTTCATGGTTACGCAAACGTAGTTTATATGAGAGCATTTAACTCAGATCTGTTGAATAGATAAAATATGAAGAGATCCGCTTGTTAGGTTATATTTTTACCGTTTCGCAGTCTGTGGTAGCAAGTACAGTGGATAAGTGACTTGATTGTTAAATCACTTACAACCACATTTTTGTTTGCTGATTATTAATTGTTGAAAATTTTAACTAGATACCGGGCTGTCCATGTCATTTATAAACAAGCAACCTCCTTTTGTTCATTTGAACAAAACTTGGAAATATTTTCAGTAGTTATTATCTACTCAAGTACTCTTGTAGTAAATACGTTGAGTTAGTCTTTGGAATGCTTCCGAAAACTTCTTTTGTGATCATCAATCTTTTATCCTTCTTGTTCGAATTAAAATTCATAATGGTCAGTCAACGGACCAAGTCTGCTAGTCATTTAAAGATATATGAATAGTGTACTACTCTCCGAAGTTTGTGCTTATGATGGTAGCTAGCAAGACAGTGAAAACTTTATGACTAAACTACGCAGCTCAGGAAAGGTAACTCCACCAAACAGCATTTAGTTTTCTGCATAGTTCTTTGCCTTTTATATCACAAACGCTGACATGAGTTATCCACACTTCACAGCATTTGTAAAATTTGTCTCAACAGATATCAAGGTAATTCCATTGTTCTCATGAGACATTTTTGACGACTATTTTCGTTAGCAGAGATAAACTACAGAGAAATTGGATTAGCATAGTTTAAATAACGAAATGATCTTAGCTAAACCACAACTGTAAACCAGGAAGCGATAATCGGTCGACTGTTCTTAGTATGGTAGGACTCGTCAGTTTTCCACGAACCCAAATCCGGGAACTGAACCCAGGATCTACCTTCTCGTGAGAGAACATTTAACTTACAAACAACTGAGCTGGCTTCAACAGTTTTCGTTTCCAAATTCAATATGATGATAATAATTATGCGTTCAATAGTGATTAGATTCATAGTGCAAATTCTGGAGTTTTACTGAGAAGCTATGACCGGTGGGGTTCATCGATGTATGGTACGAGATATTTATCCATCTCTGACCATGACCGAGGGTTGTGCAACATTGTAAAGTGATTGAAGCTATACACCAATACCGTTGGATGCTGGCTTAGTTGTTTGAAGTTTAAGCTTTCCCTAGCAAGACCAAGGTTCCGATGTTTTTTACCCCTCGTGGTAAGGTCTTGGGTGTACACCGCTGAGGAGTCCCAAACTAGGACGCGACATCTATCCATGCATTCAGTAGTTATCTGACCAAGACCAATTTCTTATGTTATCTTTGTAGATTCATGATCTCCACAAAACTCCTACACCAATAATATTTAATCATTAAAGCTAACGGAAGTCTGCAAAATTTAATCAAATTAATCTGGAGACAAGTAATCATTGTTTGTAAAAGCCCATTAAAAAAATAATTTGATTATGTGGAAAATTCAAGAACGACATGTAATAAAAATCAGGATGACTAATTCTAATAATATTTCCACCATAGATTTAAAATGTCAGTTTGCTTCCAACACTATGACGTCGGTATAATCTATATATATACATGGGGTAAACGTAAATTATTTCTGTTTATTTGTATATTATTTCGTTGTTTTATGTCATCATTTTACGACTAGTAAAGGAGACTCACTGTTCCGCAATTGATGATCATTTTGCAAAAAGATATCCTCTAGCTTAAGGCTGAATTAAAGTTATTTCGATTGAATTTACTTTTTCATTTTTATTACTAGAACCAGTATGCTCAATCGGGAAAAATTCATTCAGCCTGTTCAAATGCACCTCTCATTGACAGTTCACATAAACGACAGAGCTGTTTTGATTTAATTGTTCCTAATATCCCTGATGTTTTTGTTGATTATTCATAATACATGTGACATATATAAGATCAATATTTTATTTTTTTTTTTTCGTATTAAATATGAACGAATCACATAATCAGTGTCTAAGTAAAAAAGAACTTATTACAGTATGAACAGAAAGATGTAGTTTGAGGATTTTTAATTAAATGACCTTTTATCAGCTTTACAAACCATAACAGTTTTATTGATTACATTTTTTGAATGAAATGAACTAGTGATGACTTGTCACATATAATAACTAGCCTTGACAACAACAAAAAAAGCAGAAAATTAGTAGATTTATCTGTTATTAATTTTATTTGACATCAGATATCAAAGCGTTTAATAACCATATCTTGAATGCTCATCATTTATTACATCAACATTTGTTAATGAATAAAGTAGTTACGTAATAAAATGATGAGCTGAGAGATTTTAGTCACGGTTAATACACCTCGAAAACTTAACGTAATATATTTATGAAAGTCAATATTAATAACTGCAATTCAGATCAAATGGTTTCTATTTGCCTAATCAAAATAGACTATATTAGGGTATAAATAAACAAGGAGTCTGTAATTCTTAAGTAACTGGTGTGACTCATCTGTATGAGATAGGTGGTAGCCCTAATATTTCAGTGATTAACTTTCTAATTGTAATAGTGTGATGAGACATAGGAATCTATCAAGGAATAACAGTTCTCCATGATAACACATATGGGTCCATCAAAAGAGATCCATACCATCAAAACACTTAGTAGTAAGATCAATCTAAACTTCTTGTCAAGTAATCAAGGCTGTTGACTGCACTTCACATTGATGAAGAGGATTTTGTCAACACCAATTTCTAAAAAATATGACATTCGTAACTCGCACGTGATTATTTAGTGCAAAAGTTTTTTCCACAAATTTGAACAAGGATCATTACGTGAGTTACGAGTAATGAATTGTTAAAGGTGTACTAAGTGTAAGCCTGGAACTTGTTTGCCACCTGTTTTTATTTAATACAATTCCATAATCAGTTATGGTTTATAAACTCACGAATTTTGCAGATGAGGTAATTCTCCATATTTTATCACTTTGAGGTAACTGATCTCATTCTACTCATTTATGATTGTTGAGTTTGCTATAGAATTTAAATATGTATTGGAAGTAAAATATGTTTAATGATAATTTAACAGCAAGCAACTTGTATAAATATGTAATCATGTGTCCGCCGTTGCCAACTGTAAATTAAACTGACGTCCTACATTGACTGTTGGGTTGATCGTTATACTGGAAAACGAATAATGAGTTCTAGAGAACGGCAATTATTTGTTCATTATATTAACGACCATTGAGTAGGAAAATACATGCTTTCCGTCCGGAATCCACAAAACCATTTTAGACTGTGGTTAGCGGCGTCATATTGTACAGAATTTGTCCCAGTAGTAGTGACACATTCATTTTTCCTTTTTTTCAAATTCTTGTTCATAGTATTATTCCATACTTTTACTCCCATTATAATCAATTTCCTCACTACGATCAGTATCATTATTTTTAATTCTTCTTAGACTTTATTTAAAAAGTTACCAATTTCTGCGATACATATTTCTACTTTCATAACTCTAATTGCTACATATCTCTTGGTTAATGGTTTATTTTTTATATCAGTGAAAAAAGTCTAAGCTAAATATATTTATTAAACAACGAAGAACGGCTAGATAATTTCAGACACTTCGATGATTGACCATCAGTTACATATATTTCAGTGAAGCATTTTCAAACACAACAAACGGTTAAGCAAGAATTAACGTTTCCATTATCAAACCTTAATTATCAAATCAAACCAAGTCAAAACGTTTAAATTTTAGCTAACTAACCTGAAAACATATTGTTAATTTCAATACATAAGGTAGAATACAATGAATGATAAGCCAAATATACACCACTTGTCTTTTTTCAGTTCAAACTCAGTTTACATTAGAGATCATTTATAATTTACGAAATGGTATGTTTACAAAGAATATATTGTTATTACTGACGTAATGGTTTCGCATATGTGGTCAGACCTAGTGTTGATGAATACAAATGTTGAAATTGTTTCGAACACTTCTGAAAAAAGTTAAAACCAGATATCAGAAAATAATTTAGTCATCGAGACACAACTACTGTTTCAAAATCACATCCAATGTAATGCCGAAAAACAGTAATTCCCTACAGATATTTTAACAATTTACAAATAATGTGTTAAAATGAAAACAAAATAATACCTTCATGAGAAAACAATGAAAGCACATGGATACATGAATATAGGTAGCACAATATAACAAACCTTTAAAGATTATGAGTGTCAGTAATTTGTCTAACAGTTTATCTAGCTGGCGTTTTATGAGATTCTGACTAAATCAAGGTAGTAGAGTACATCAATATTCCAGACAAGAACAAAAACTCAAATCGATAAAAGTATATGAAATAACGAACAACTCTTATTAGTGAATCTTATGATCAAATTAAACAGTAAGAAATTTTTAATCTACAAAGTCTACATTAGAAGCATACCCGCACAAAGCTCTAATTAAAACGAATGATAACACACCACAATATAACTAAATCCGATGACGTAATTTGTATCATTAACAAGATAAATCAATTTACTCGGTGAGACTTTACATAATATTCTAAACGCTTGACAAGTTGATTTTAAGAGTAAATTATCTACCCCACTTTCATTTGAATATACTTTACTCCACTAAGTGATATCGCCTGAAGAACATTTGAAATTCAAGGATCACTAGACACCTGTGTTGTTCTAGCTTATGAAATACCAACACGGTAAATTTATAATGCCGGGGAGGATTTAAATAAGAGATTTCAGGTATTATGTTAACTTTAGACCATTTAGTTCATCTCCAACAGTTCAAATTTTCGCATTTACTCATTTTACGACCCAACGTGAAGATTATTCAGTGTTACCGAAAAAACCTGTTTCATTCTTGACATGGTCAAATTGAGCAGTCGCTAGAGCTTCTCGAATTCATATTGATGTTTTTTTAAATTTTTTTTTATTATTATCAGCTTTATTCAATATTATACTTTTGGTACAATATAGAATTCTCAGCGTAAAGTATTTCAACAAGTTTCCGTTTCTTTCTTCTTGGTTGGTCCTGGCAATAAATATTGAGTGATCGCCAGTTAGATGTTAGCAGTTCAGTAAATGAACATCTGAATAATGTACATTCTTTTCGTTGTATATTGCCAGCAACCACATTGTCTCTTATTGAGTTTTTTGTAACTTTGACAACGAAAGTTTGTACACTTTTCAGAAACGCAGCAGAATAGTTTATGCGATTAATAAACATAGTGATATATTAAAACAAACAAAAATAGATAACTTGTTGAAATACCTAGATGACAGGAACAGGTAGCCCAGATGATCAAGCAGGCCGCCCTTGCTGTTGATCGTTAGATAGTAGGTAAATATTGTTTCCATGATAAACACTTTAACCAGATAAGCTTGCTACACAAAACACGCGTTCATATACTGATTTAATTTCACGATTTATCAGATAATCTCAGTTTTACGTCACGTTCTTACTTTACAGTGATAACTAGTGCAAATGATCAATAAGTGGATAAATATGTCATTTAAGTACAGGACTACTCAGTTATGTACATCCATGACACGCCAGGGATTGAAACCAAGACTTCTAGGCCCTACGACGAAACTCTAAATTTTATACCACTAACTTGATATACAATCGTTCAAACTTCCGTCAATTTGTAATACTGTCCAACCATCATCGATTGTTTTTCACTTTAAATCAGGAAATCAACTCCGAAAACTAGTCACTAATCATTGCATTATGTGGGATACATTACTGACGTATCATATGCTAGAACGAAATAGCTGCCCGGAGCTGTATACTTTTCGATGATGATCTAACTATCGTCAGTTTATGATGTAACGTATTCATGACTCAATAATCTCCACAACCTCATCTACTAACAATTAGAATTTGTGTGATAAATGCCAAAAACAACTGCTTATTTATTACTTAGTTATTGGTGGTTATCTTCTCACTGATTATATTTTGAAGTCCTAGGAAAAAAATAAACAAATTCACTCGAGATTAAACTGATAAGCTAAACTACTTAAAAGTATCTCTAAGTAGTCATTTCATTATTTAATGAAGTGGATTATATAAATCTATTGGAATTTGTTATGAGTTATATTCACTCTTAACTCTGATTCTCCTTGACTTGTACTCACATATGTGAGCATATGATCCACCGATCAATAATTATTGAGTCTTCCTTTAAAAATTGGTATCAGATTAGTAGATTTACAGAATCCATCCTGTTTTTTTGCTCATTTGAAAAAATGTCTTAAACGTCTTAACTAATAAGAAATGATTGTCATAATTAAACGACAAATTAAAATTTACCAGTAATTGTTATAATCGAGCAAATAAAACATATTGACTTTCTATGGTACACATATCATCCAATCAGTATTCCAAACAAGGATGTATGTAAATGAATTGAATTTAGGAGATGGGCCTGCAGAGTTTTGAATTAATAAATCATCATTAGTTATCATTTCAGGTTCAGTGAATTCCACATATACAAGCATAAAATGAATCAGTATAAAGTTGTGGAGATTGTTGAGTTTTATCGAGATCATGAACCGATCAATGTTAGATCACCACTGAAAACCTGAAAGCACTGGACGGTCGCTTCGTCCTAGGCTGGCACTCTTCAGCAGTGCACATCCATAATCCTATGAACCCCTTGTTTGATGAAAAAAAGTAGTTTCGTCATTTAAGATTAAATTATGAATAGATACACTCACTTAGGAGAATCATATTTCACATCAGTTGAAATGAACCGTGTTCGTTTTAGTTTTGTTGTGTTAATCAATTAGACGTCAAAGAAACAAAAGCATATCAAGTAGATTAAATTGATAAAAGCCAGCAATTATTATGCCTTCCGATTCCACATCAATATAAAAACGGAATGACATATTAACATCATTTATAGATATCTAAGAGTAAGAAATTAGGTTAACCTCTAAATGAAGAGGTTCATTGGAGTGAAACACATGTAGATAAAGAAGAATTTACTCTATCTGATTTCTTTAGCGCTTTTTTAACTCTCCAGTTTTGCTAAGGACTAATAATGTGATCATTCTCTCGTCACTGGAAACATTTAACTGTATTTTATTTGTGGTGATGCAGTTAACTACGAGTTCAGCACCGAAATGTTTGCAAATCGTAAATACTTCTGGCCTCAATAGTTACCATAATGCAGAGAAAACTGGTTACTTATGCTATTCATGATGTTGGAATAAAGGTTACCTGATGATGATAAGTGTAGTAGTAAGTAAATCCTTGAAATCATTAGCTTCGTAAGTTTTCGACATTGATGGTGACCTTATTAGTTTTACTGGACATATCCATAGCTGAAGAGATTCGAACAACAATCCGTATTAGATCCCGTTCTAGTACTCTGTGCTACACAACAAGATGGGTTTTTACTCTTCGTGTATTATACTTGTAGTTTTATATATATATATATATATATATATATATATATATATATATATATATATATATATATATATATATATATATATATATATATACATATATATATATATATGCGTTATCACCAGTCTCACCTATGTTATTTAAAACAACAGTGCATGAAATAATGTAAATTACAGTCAAAGCTAAGTACTTCTCTTCATCGACTCTTGACAAAGGAAAGTAAATGTTTTGTCACGACTCCAGAAGACGATGTTACTTAAGGAAAATGATGGAGTATTTAAATAATTTTCTGAGGTATCCTAACGAATTGGCCATTAAGAATGCCGTCTTTATAACACCTGATTAAACTATATTCTAGTGTTCTGAAATTTTAGAATTGGGGTTGAAAATTATTTTATTCCAAAGGCTGGTTCGAATAGGATGCTTGAGAAGAAACTTATTTCCCTATAAAATGGATCTCCATACGTAAGGTCTGTTGTAACAGGTAGTTTGAATAGTCTTCGTAGCTATATACAAATTCCTAGAAAATTTCAAAGATACTGTAAGGATTAAACTATTAGTTTCTTCGGAACACGTGTTCACAATTTGTAAACCAAAGATAGCTTAGAAATGAAAATATTTATAGCCCACAAATACTAATGTGACTGTACAGGATAGTCGGTTTGTATTAATATTTACTTTAGGGAAACGGTGATATGTTCACTTCTCAGGAGTTGAATAACTTTGATTTAACATATTTTTATTTAATGTAGTCTAGGACTCTTCAGTAAGATGTATCTCCACTCTTGATGAAACTGATGTTCACTGTGGGATTCAAACCTACATCACCTAGCTTCACAATCTGAAATTCCACCAGTGAGTTTTTCGGTCTGAGAATAACCTTCTGTAGGGTTGATCTATTTACATTGATTGATCATTTAGCGGTAACCACTGTTATGTTTGTCCAGTCCTTAGGGATTGATTAAATAAGCAACACCATTTATTATTCGGTATTTATTCAATAGACTTATTATTTTCAAACCCATTACACATAGTAGTTTTCTAGTATTAGAATGTTTAACTTCATATTTGATATAGTTCATCACAAACGAATGGTTTTATATAACTGAATTAAATTACACTGAGGTAAAAATTGTAAACAAACAAATAGAACGAATCAGTTCAAATTGTTTTAATCATATGTCAGTTAATATCTCACTATTAAGTTTTGATAAATGATTATGTCGAGTTAGTTTATAGACAATATACAGCTCATTTAATTTACTTTGTAAAGGTCTATTTATACCGGAGAAAAGCATGACAACTCTTCACGCTGATAAAAGCTAACAGTCTTGGAATAATTCCACTTATTACATAATCTCATCTGAATTATTTGGACACTGTTTACGGTGCTTTTTATGCAATCACCTGTTATTATTACATATGAATAGATCTTACTTACGTTATATGGTTAGATTTTCCAAGTATAAATACCATTATATTAAATTATGATGTTTATTACTATCATCGTATCTTGTTTCGCTGATTTATTGTTAAAATTTGAATTTTTAACTTGATCTTTCATAATGAGGACATTTTATTCTTTGATCGTTTTATAACGGTTGAAGCTGACGAGAAGCATTAAATCGAGAGTAGCCAGTGTTTAGCTTTGACACAATCCATTAAGAGCGATTATGAATTTATATAATAAGACACCGGAATCATTTTGAAGGAGAATTTCGCCAAAAATTAGGCATAGGGAAACTTTTTCGTCTGAATACAGGACTTTATAAATGTGTACATACACCAGGTATCAGGCATACTCCGTTTAATTCCTGAAATGCAGTCATCAAATTCAGATCATTAAGTTCCAGTCTAGTGGTTTACAACTCTAACTTCAACACTTCATGACATGAAACAATAATAATCCAGCTTAATCAGCGATGAATCTTTTACTTTCAACGTTGTGATCAAAGTTATACATAGCTTAAGATCAACATGTTAGAAGCAAACAACTACCCACTACTCCATAGTTCTTAATGATAATTCTGTCAATATCAATCCTTGATAGAATAAAACCCTTAAATACTAAACCGACTGTCACAAGTTTCTCAGCCAAACTATTTTCATTCAGAGAAGGTAATATGTTATACCTATGGATCTGTTTAACCATTTTCCTGTATTCATTATCGAATTTTTAGTAATTAAAAGATAAAATAATTCAATATCACATAAATTCTTCATTGGATTATATTTCAAAATAGATGATAATTATATTGGTATTACATATGGAATCTTTCCATTGCTATAAATAAATAATTAATTAGTATTAATAAAAGAACAGATTACTAATATTAATAGAGTTAACTTAAGAAAATCATATTTACTTCACAATTTTATCAGTTCATTATTATAATTAATTTGAAATAATCTTTCGATATAATTTAATTAAAATCTTATTTACTAAATACTTGTTCTTCTGGTTCCATTTAATTTTGTAACAAATATATACATAGATTTATGTGGAATACGTGTAATTCCAAAAGGTGTTAAACTTTCTTGATTTCCTGGACGAATTGTTTGAAATGGTGATTGAGTAATATTTTGAATAAGAAATTCTTGATTAATAGCTGTCAAAATTTGTTCAATTAGTATAGTAGCTATACGAGCACCAGGACATGATCTAGAACCTTTATTCAAATAGTAAATAAATAATGAAATCAATGATATTAACAATGTGAATTAAACCATGTTACAAACTTGTTTTACTATTAACATTTACTTGAATATAATAATATTATGATATATGCTAGTTAGATTGACAGATATAAGTAGTATGTAATACCAATCAGAAGTGGGATGCATGTAGTAGAAGTTTGAAAAGATTGAATTGAAGAGAATAGATAGGGAAACAGAGGAATTGATGTGACAACCGAATTTGAAGATTGAAGAAGTATGTACAGGACAAGCGAAAGACGACGAACAAATAATGTATTTAATGTATGGTTTTCATATTTTATGAAAGCACTGTCTAATTTGGCGTTTAGTAATAAATTAGTCTTTTCCACCTGAGTTTTCGTTCACTACAATATTACTTTTTTTCATTTATGACACATAAGAAAACTCTCAATACAAAAGGATATCAACAAATGCGTTTCTCAAAATGAAATGGAATTATTAAAAGAAAATAGATATAAGAGAATTGTGTTAATAAAATGTAAAAAAATCTACATTATCAAAGGGTATTATTCAAGTAAGAATAAAACCAAAGTTAACTTCAGAAAGTTTGTTGGTGCATCATAAAACAAAACTACGGAAGAATCATCAACATCTTTCCCGTCAAGCCGTGTTGGATGATTTCATTGGCGATTACGTTTTAGAATATCTAAAATTCCTTGAGGGGAATCGTGTCGAACCAATAGCCGCATACTAAGTACAACTATCACTTCTTCGGTTACTCTATGTCAAAAATCGATGTTTAGTCTGGAAGAAAATGACTATCAGTATGAAGTCTACTGGGATGATATGTGTAAAACACATCCATGTCACATAAGTCAATGTTTTATGATGCAAGCAGTTAAGGAATCAGAATGTCTGTCATGAATAAACACTTCATCAGACCTTTGCATTCTTTCCACGAAGGCCAGAAACATAAAGCTGTAGACCATTCAACTCGTACGAATACCAGTTTTTGTAGAAAAAGTCTCAATTTAACCATATTTTGATCCATCTCGTACCTCTTTTATTCAGAACAACATTTAATAGTCTTAAAGGTAACGCAGTTTGTTATGAGTTGCTTTGATTTTCACTATAGAAAAACTAGTCTCACATGTTGCGCTACAACCATCACTCACACAACCGTCAAGATGCACAAACATGTTAATAATTCCTGACAGATCATCGTAAAGCTCTTTTTCAGTACATTTCTCTCTTAACTAATTAGAAATACTTTACATTTTGGTGTAAACAAGTATCATACTTATGATATGTGATTGTCAGAAGACTATGTACACTTTCAATGGCCTCTATGATATCCTCCAGTCAAACGGTGTCACCAATGTGATCAAGTTTAAAGTTTTTCAGACAAAAAGTTTATGTTACCACACTTTGTTTATAATATAGTCTATATCATAGTCAAAATGTAATAATGAGATCGGCTTATCCTGTGTCCCAATATCTTTTTAAAAAAACAGTAATTAGTAACGTAACCTAATTAAGCCTAGGGATCTTGGATTTATTTTTGATTTTATTTTTAAATTTGATTCCAACGTTATCATTTTAAATGATTTAACCAACACATTTATTTTGTATTCGTCTTAATAATTGCTCATCATTATTTTACAAATAACATTAGAAATAAATTCCGTAGTTTACCTTCAAAAACACTCGATTCATAATCTCATTCTTTCGTAACTAGTTGTAATAATCAACCGATCTTGTAACTTTATTTTAATTTTAAACTGGCATTTCTTGAGGAACTAAGTGATACATATCTTTAGAGAAAATGTTGCGATGTATCGTTAAGCTGATTCACCATTTATATGGTACTAATTTCATACTTAACTGTACAACTTTTATTTTAGTGAAGGGCTATAAAGAAGAATTGATAGGACAATTTAGGAAAAGTTGTCCCAGAAGTGAACCAAATAAGTTCTCTTTCTACGTTGTATGACCGGTGTCCCACGTGTCTTTAAAGTTTGATAACTGATATGGTTTTCATATCACAAACTTTCCCAAACGACCGCTGAATTTTCATTGTTATACGATTCTACGGTTTGGTAAAGCACTCGATTATCGATGTGTATAGCTTACCTTGGTTCCTCGTTCCCATAGCCATGATTAGTTATTTTTATACAGATTTTAAAAATTCTTCTTATGGCTTACTGAGGTCACGTACCTGAAAACAGGGCGTTAATTTGCCTGGCACTTGCATGGTATCCTGCCAGGGAGGCCAACGTTCATTGGGCTTTTTGGTAAGTCAACAACCAGATTTAAATCTATTTTCATTCGGTATTTGATTGCCCTTATCGATCCAAATAATGTGTTTAGATTAATATGTTAAGCATGAATGATTTGTTAACTAATGAAATGCAAAATGATTTTAGCGCATACTAGTACCCCAAATACGTGGGAATTATGTAAAAAGCCAAGCCATAGTTAATGGCTTCCTGTGTGGTATATTTGGGTCTATACTTGGATTTGTAAATAAGGAGATTCATGAGAACCATCCAAAAGACAGTTACTATATTAGGAAGCGTAACATTAGTTTGTGACTAATGCAGTGGTGCAGAAAAAACTCTTAATGACCCAACCTACAACCGAATTTCCTATTAACCACTTAAATAGCTTTAGACTGCGCCTGTAAATCAAACTCATACATTCGAAGTATTTAACTATCCCCACGAAATCTGTAGAACGCGACTATTTCAAAGCATAGTTAATTTTCTGTTAGAGATACATCTTGATTCCATGTATCATTTGATTGACTGGAGAGTAGATAAAGAAAATGGACATCACACATTCCTTCAATTTTATCCAACTTTGACACAATATTCTATGTGTATATAAACAAAAATTAATAAAGATTACAGGCAATAATCCTTTATATGACTGTGTGTTTAGTAGTGACACCAGGATAATGGTAGCCATGTTTATGAAGGTACTGCACACAATATTTGAAGTGCTTTCATTGATCACTAATTCATAGCTTTAAAATAAATTTCGAAAGTTTTCTAATAATCGTCTAAATTATAACAGAAAATATTTTTGGAGATTTAAAAACCTCTTAACAAGTATTTCAAATATCGATTGATAAAAGTATCTCATATTACTTACCAAGTGAAAATGGTATTGGCTTATCACTTTCTTGGATTTCATCCGATTTTTGTTCAGTATTAATCAATTTTTTTAACTGACTATTATGTACAGCATAAAGATTATATATTAAAATTGATGATTTCGGTATATAATAATTTTTGAGCTTAAAAGATTCACGTGCTATATGAGGTAATGACAGAGGAACTACACTAGCCCAACGATGAACCATATCAATAACATCTGAGCTTAGTTTAAATGATTCTTTCGGTGGAGCTCTTGTTAGATAATCACATGCCCATGTTAATGTTAAAGACGTAGTGTCAGTACCAGCAGCCATTAATTCAAATGAAAGACGTGAAATATCATTTTCTAACGAAAACAAAAAATAGAAACAACAAACGTTACGTATTATTTGTTTCAAATTAATTTTTATAGATAGTATGAAACTAGAAAAGTAATATCCCATAAATTTAATGACATTGGGTTATGTGCTACTTATGTCGACATAAGTAGTACACAACACCAAGCAGAAATGAAATGTCTGACGTTAGAACGTTGAGATGATCGGACAGATAAGAATGGGACCAGAGAGTAATTGGTATAAAAATGAAGGAACAATAAGATCTGAGATAATTAATGGACATTTTGCAAATAGGGGATCGAACATATGGTTTTCACATTTTACTAAAAAAACTCTGTCATGTAGTGTTACAATACAGTCGGTTGATCCCACTTGTATTCTTGTTCATAACAGTACCATTAGCCATTTTAAAATATTGACATGATAAAAACTAGTTTCTTGAGTGAATCTGATTGTTCAGTATTTCTTGAACTTCAAAAGGAGTTGATATTCAACGATTAATTATTATACACTGCATCCATTTCATTAATGTATCTGTGTTATTATAAAGAAAATTACTGAAACATAGTACAAACATTTAAGTTTCCTGTAAACAAGGAAATCATAAATTATATCATATAATGAACAATTACTTCACTATACAATCTGTGATTTTTTTAGAGGTGAATAAACGGTTAGAATTTATTCGAGGTAGGTTAAAATAAATTAATTTTAAGGTATACCCAATGAAAGTCACATTCTATACAGAAACTCTGAAATAGATTTTAATAAATGTCAAACAAGAAAGTTGATAGAGTTATATTTAACATGTAACTTAATTAAAAAAGAACACAAGAAAAAAAACAAATGAAACTCACACGGAACCAATATTCTATGGATCGAATCCTATCATTTAGAAGTTAACAGTTAAAAATGTTCTGTTTGTCAGAAAAATAAGGTATTCAGAATTTACTAGGTAAAACTGAACTGTAAATCTGTAAATTGTATGATACCATAAGACGTGAATGGTTACTACTACTACTACTACTACTACTACTACTACTACTAATAATAATAATAATAATAATAATAATAATAATAATACCTAGGTGTATGCTACTTATGTTGACAGATGTAAGTAGTATGTAGCACCAACCGGATGTGGAATGCATACCAGTAGAAGATTGAGAAGATTCATTTGAAGAAAACAGAAAGGAGTTATAATAGCAATGGGATTGAGGGAATCATGAAGCACTTAAAGAACAATTAGTGGAAGATGTACAAATTATGTATTTAATGTATGGTTTTTTTATACTTTATGAAAGTACTCTGTAATTTTGCATATAAAAATGAATTGGACCTCCCCACTCCACTTCTTTGTTCATGACATTACCATTAAAATATCTTCATAGGATGTTCAAGTATTAAGTTAACAACTACACCTCATTTGAACTCAGTAAATATGATGCAAACAAACTTACTAGTTAAATTCAATTTTGAATCATTGATTAATTGACCCAATAATGAGTCCGAATTATATATGTCACCGACATTGCTATCAATTAACTGTCGTACAGTCCTGTGTTTCTGTAATATCTCTTCAATGTCGAATAATTTTCTAGCGAATTGAGAATGTCTAAAAATGTTCACACTGAAGTAAAGAATTGGTATGCAAAGCAAAAATGATTACTTTCAAATATTTTAACGTAAATAGTAATGTAATGTAGTTAAACGGCATTCAGTCGCCACTTGCGGAATGTCTAGTATACGTTTAATTCCTAGCTCACTATACTATCTAGACGTTATCGATGAATGTTAGACTACCACTGAAAACCTGGAAGCACTGAACGGCCGTCTCATCCTAGTATGGGACACCTCAGCAACGTGTATCCACGATCCCACACTCTAGGTTCGAACGCAAAACCTTCGGTCTCCCGCGCGAACGCTTAACCTATAGATCACTGAGCCTGCATCCAACGGTGTTAATGTCTAAATTCAAGCAATCTACGAAACTATTTCTTGTTATTTTCTCATTAAATTTAAAGGAGAAAATCAATTTTTACTACATAGATCCTTAGTGATTAAAGTTATGGACCATCCGATTAAGTAAATCTTTAAATGTACAGGCTTATTTATTTCGACCATCTGTACACTAAGTACAGATATTAAATGGTTTGGCCAATAATCTATATCAGTGAAGTAGATATTTTGGTCATTTATTTTCTTTTAGACTGTTTTTTTAATATTTCATACTAATTATTTTGATCTAATTTTTTTTGAAATATATTTTTCATATTTGTCTTTCTTATGAAGTCGATATTTCCATTCTTTTGCTCATCATTCGCTTAATTTCTTTTATTGATCTATTACTATTTGAACACATAAATATTGGTGCGAATGGGCACCGAATACATCTGCGCCACACAAATCTCATTTGATTTGTGAGTGGGCTGTGATACTCCCAGAGTGCCCAGACTAAAGTAGGTGGTTTTATTAGGGAGCCACATCCAGACCCTTGAGCATAAAGGTCTGATCCACAAGGCAGTGGAGCAACGTCACGAGATGCAGTCCCATGGTAGCCGGTGACCAATAATTGGTTCACACGCCATTTGTTCCTTCAGGATACAGGAACCCATGTGCACTATTGGTTTGGAATCAGGGTTTTCCAACTCCCCTAGGTGAACTCTCAGTATCCACCAATCTGGTTAAAGCGTCAGACATTCACCTTTTGTCCTCTCAATTTCTTAAACAGCAGTAATGCTGCGAGAAGGCAGTGAACAGGACTTCCCTGTCAGTGGTTGTATGCACGTGGCCATGTGGGAGCATTTCGAGAGGGAGAGCGGAATCTCCCCACCCACGGCCGTACTAGGGCATTTGGGGTCTCTGGTGATATGAAGTTTAGTTTTTTGGAAAGAATTATATTCTTAATAGATCCTGCATTATTGTCATGTTGATTAGAAAGTGTTAAGTAGTTTATTGTTACAATTTAAGGTTCATTTTCATTTTTAGACAATTTTTCATATGCATTAAGTTTAAAATTTAAAACATGTAGTAGAATGAACTAGGAACTTACCAAAATCTAGGCAATAGTTGTCTTGTTTGAAAAAGTTGATTTTGTAAATTATTCGATGAGATATCATCTAAAATATTTGAAATTTGTTTGTCGGTTAACTGACACTCTTTTCCAAAAACTAAGTTCCAAATAATTCTCCAAACTGTGCATCTCACCAATTGTCTAGAAGAAAGGGAAACATTATTAATCATTATCCAATAATTTTTAAATTAGGAGTTAGGAAGGAATAAGTGTTTTTTAAAGGTGAATAATTTGCGTTGTGTTTTCTGTTTTTAGTCATAACTGAAACATTATGTTAGTCTTAGTGTTTTTAAAATCTCTAAACCTATCGGTTGTGTTGAATAACATGTTAGTTTGCGTTTAAGGTTTCGAATTACTTTATTGCAAGAGGACTCTGCTGAAGCAAGTTTTCATCAGCCGGCTAGACAGAATCCCTGAATTTTCTATAAACTGTTAGATTACTTAATTCCTCTTGTGAAGCCTTATACCGGTTATTCTGCAATATTTGTATATTATAACGATACTACTCATGAGTACTTAGTCTTTCAATTGTATGATCTCTCTAGTATTTGATTGGTTAATTGGAAATTAACTGTTCGTTTATTGGTTCGATCATTTTCTTTTCTGTCTGGCTAATAAATAAATTTTAATTGATGAGACTAGTTCAAATCTAATTTTTACAAATAATGTTTTCTCTGTACTCGGCATCCAATTTCTATCACACTATTTGTTCCAATACTGACGAATATTCGTATAAATAAAGAACATTTTAAATCTTTTTAGGCGTCCCTATTTCATATAATAAGTCCGATATTAACTTTGTGTATTTTGTATTATGCTACTACGTAAACTCCTTCTCGTTGATAATTGAGTATTTTTTGAGAATTGTTCACATCCTTCCTTATTTGAGCCAAAAATATTTAGCTACTTTTGCAATCGATTCAGTAGTATATTAACCAATTCCCAGTTTCATGTTTTGATTCTATTAATCTATGAAATCAAAATCACTTTCATCAGTCAGTTTAAAGTTAATAAAAAATAACTGAAAGTTTTGGACCACATTAGTCCTGAATTCTAATAAGATATATTATTAGTACTAATTCCATACGAAATAGCATGCGATTATTACTTACAGTGACTTTCGCTTGAACCACTGTTTACTTACTCTTGTTATCCCTCGTGGAGGAGCACAAGCCTCCCACCAGCATTCTACATCTAACTCTGTCCTGACCAATCCTTTCAAGTTGTTTTTAGTTGCTATTCATTCTCTTGATGTCTGCTTTCAATTCTCGGTACAATGTATTCCTTGGTCCTCTCTTTACCTTCAAAATTCCTAGTTAGCACTTAACTTCTGATGCAGTTTGGTGATTTTCGTAATGTATGTCCTATCCACTTCCACCGTCTTTCCCCAATTTCCTCTTGATCTGGAAGCTGGATTGTTCTCTCCCAAAGTTTTCTGTTGCTAATGTTATCCGGTCAACGGACATTGAGTATCTTGCGTAGATAAATGTTTATAAATACCTGTAGATTTTTGATGATGGGTGTGGTAGTTCTCCAAGTTTCAGCCTCTTACAGTAGAACTGTATCAACATCCATATTGGAGATTTTGACTTTGATATTGGTCTGAACCATAAGTTTATTTAATTCCAAATTTATCCATATCCCTTCATTGAATGTACTGTTCTATGACCTTCTTAATCTGAATGATTTTTAACTGAAACGTTGTTTACAAGTAAACGAACATTTTTTCACCTAAGAATGAATTCTATTCAAGATTCAGCTTGTTAGAACTTGTTTCAAATACTTCCAGTAACATTTGTTTGGTATTTAAGTAATGTGACTCACAGTGTGAGTTGGAGAATAATACACGCTAGCACAAATTTGTGTGACTGAACCTACAATGTTCAAGTCAGAAAAGGTTCCATTTTAGTACAACTTAATTAGCTTGTGTAGTGTTAACACCTAAGTTCAAAACATATAGATCCAAGGTTTTGCAGAAGTGAAAATTGCAAACCCCTGAATAATCTCAAGCTAAGCCGTAATAACTTATTTTAAGTGTAATTGTTTAAACGTTATTTTTTAGTGAAAATGATATTTGACTACTTACAAAACATTGACAGGTTTTCCTTGTCTTATTCTCAACTGTCGAATCAATTCATTTATTTGAGCGTTGATTATATTCTGCGATATAATTGGGTGTAATTTAGTACCTTCGTGTTCTTCGGCTGTTTTTATATTATTATGTATAAGACGTAAAACAGCTCTTCTCATTTCCAGTGCCTTTGGTGTGTCGTAATTTGAAATACCTGTAGAAAGGAATAAAACACAATTCGAAAGTTATCAGAGCAGAATTCCAGAATAAGATGAATTCATTACTTCAATAGTTTGTATTAGGTATACTGCATCTATGAAAAATAAATCTTATACATAGTAAACAACTATACTTGTCTGATGATCGTGTATAAACAATCATAACATTTTTTTAAAAATATCGTTGTAAATTATCTAGAAATTTGAACAATAGTAATTAGCGAGTCAAGCCACACATGACAGTGACATAACGAGTGATAAAATTAGCAAGTTGTAAATAAGGAGTTTAGGAATATCTATTGCAGTGGATATCTAGACAATTTGAAATAAAATTGAAAAAAGAATAATATCAAAATATGAAAGATATGAAATAAGACTTAGCAGTAAAAGAAAGATGAAGAGTGAATGTATTCAGTCATCTGAGATTGATTTTGGATAACTCAATATCTCTAGCTACAGATTATGATGTAGGAGTCGAGCTTAACACTTTCCCCTTCAAACACATGTACGTTATCCACTTAGATGATCATCACCAACATGTTCGGTGAGTATAGTGTTAATATTATAGATAATAAAGCTTTGAATTATACTGTCATTGATATTCAGGAATGAAGTTGATCAATCTTTGTTAGCGTATGTAAATCCTGTTTGGTTTACCTTGATATATCCCCAGATGATACACACAAACCCTAAATATAAACAACAGGATAATTCAAACCATAACTAATCATGATGTATTCGTGACAGAGTTTTTATTGAAAAGTTATGAATTTGTCAGCATTAATCAGCAAAAAATGTTTTCTCATTCACATTTTGTTACAGTTATACTGTATAATATAGCAAAACAAGCAATATATTTATTCAGAGTAGTTCACCTGAATTTTCTGCCAATAAATCATTTACAGTCATTGTATATCGTCCAACTTTCGAACGATTCTCATTTGCTGCTTCGTTTATTAAATCATAATTATACAATATGATTATTGTTTTTCCCAAAACTTGAAATGACACAATATCACCATAAATTTTATTTAAATGCTGAATTTTACGAAAAGCATCAGTACCTATCAAATAAGAATAGAATGGATTGTATTTTTATGTAAAATAATTGGTCTAGTTTTAAAAAAATAATCATTTCACATTAGAAGTGAGTTTTTTATGATGAAGTAATGTACAACTGGAGGATTAATGAGCAATGGTACGATTGATCTGTCCGAGATTAAAACATTCTCAGAAGGTAAAGAACATCAATTTCAAATAGAATTATCATTTACAAAATTTTTAAAATGGTAAAAGAATGATTTTTTAAACTGTATTTTAAATATAATTGTGTTTCTATAATTATTTATTAATTTCATAAAATAGACTTGATTGTTTAGATGGTATTCAACAGTTCAACTTGGTGATAATAAAGACTTCATATTAAGTTTATCATATCTTGATGTTTACTAATAAAAGGTATTGACAGCATCAAGGGAATGCCTATGAATTTACTGATCATTGGACATTTCTCCAATCTAAATTAAGTCTCATCTCTGAATAAAAATGTGGATTCATAAAATGGAAAATAATCCATTATAAAACTTGGGAAAATCATTTTCAAGTTCATTTGTCACCACGTTTTTCATTATTTCATTTAGATTTTAGCTTATTATATTAGCCCAGTCAATTAGTAATATTAATCATATTGTATTGAAGAGATGATATGAGCTTCTTGAGGATTTCAATAGCTACGATCATAGTTGTAATGTGAGTGACAGCATAAACAGTAGTTCAGTTATATTTTTAAATAACTGAAGTTAGATGTGTGAGCCATCATATTCACCAGAAAAACTAAAGTGTCCTGGGTCGAATCCCATGTCATCACATAAAGATCCACAATTGACGAGTTTGAGACTATGGCTTCCCTGTTAGGATCCAAAAATCCTGTGGTTTATTAGCTCAGTTTATAATACAAAAACCACACTCATTTATTAACTTATAAATCTAATTTTCCACTAAGCAAGAAGTCTAATCATAAGTAATAAGAGTCATTCGACGACATTCTGATAAACACGAGTCAACTGATAATTAAATTTTAATTACATTTGAATTAGCAAACATTTATGGCGTGAACAGAGAAACAAAGAATCCATGATGAACAACTGAAACTATTTTTAAAAACGTTATTTCACTTAGTTCAAAGTTTGTAAAACACTAACATTTATTTTTACTCCCAGTTTATTCTACAAGCCATAAGTTTTCGTTCGATAAATGATTCACTGTCATACCCTTTTCCATTCCAAAGCTATTGTAATTTAAACACAACCTTTAGTACTATATTTTTCTACCCTGAAGCCTAGTTTTGGACATAATTGTGTTTTCTAACTGTTTGTGAGTTGTGGTCAAATTAGTCATCTATTTATTCATGTATCTTTTTGCACTAATCTGAATCGTAACCGAATCGGAGTATGAATCGGGATTGTAAATAAATCGGATGGTGATCCGGTTGACTCGTCTTCTCTCTCTCTCCCTCTTGTCAACCAATCAGGTGATGTAGTAGTTTTCGTCTCTACCCAAAATAGTTGGTCTCACTTTAAACTGACGCGATTCTAGCCTCAAGGTTGAGTCAGTCAGCTTATCGTGTCAAGGCTTAATCTAGATTGGGACAAGTTATCAACTGTATGTTAGTAAGTAGACAGATCAAGGACATAACAATATATCTCAAACATTTCATGGACAGGAAATACATCAACCAGAATTAAAAATACTTTCTCAATAAATATTTAACAGTTGAGACGATAACTAGCTATGCAACAATGCTAAAATAACAATGATCAATGTATTTTAAACCCTACTATCTACTATAAATTATTGTACATTTTTTCTATTATATGTTTATTGAGTCATCGGGTTACATCTTCCCCTCTGTTTCCTTTTTCCCATGAACCTAAACATACGGACTTTCATTCGTAGCCCTCCCGACAAAGTATAAATTATCAATCATGCAAAAAAACATTTCTGTGTAAAATAGCTTAATTGGACAATAATTTCTTAATTGTTTTTTGGTTAATTTCACTATCTCTATTCAATAAATTTTGTTTATTTGCATACTTTGTAAGTTAAATTCATGTGACTTAATCCTTTGATACAGATTGATGATCATCATATGGTGTTAGGTGTAAAATGTAGATAACAAAGTGATCACTTAGAAACAATATGTTGTACGTAATCTAGCCCAAATAATCAACACTTGTTTATTTGCCTTGAAAATACTTTTTAGATAAATGAAATATTGTATATAGGACTTTAAAGGTCAATGTATGATTTTAATATAAATTAGTACTTACTAATTCACATGATTGTATCATTCAAATATGATGTAATGAATGACTTCCATAGAATGTAAATGGAAAACTTCGGTTTCAAACTAAACAATTATTGAATTTAGTTAAACAGTTTTCGTTGATCTATGAAGTCTTTACAAGAATGTACATGTACATATTGTTCCGATAATCTTAACGAAGGTAAATCAACAGTACTGATCGAACAATTTAAATCTAACACACTTGTAACTCATAGTTTTCATCCTATTATAAGTATCCTAGTTATTGGTTTAATCTGCAAACACTGTGTGACTTTCCAAATAATTTAAATGAATTCCTTTTGAAAATATTCAACGATTTATTTACATATTGATAAAACTTTGGATTATTAGCTCAAGATTGAAAGATTTGACGATAAAAATTAGAGTCAGAACATTTGTTAGGTGCAGGTTGTTGTGAATACTTGTCTATGCAAAAATATAAATGGACAATGAATAGAGTTCCTAGAACAATATGAGTCTTTAATTCATTTTTATATTGGTTGTTTGGATTTTCTCTGCTTAAAATTAGCCTTTATTTGAAATTTTAATAGTTGAAATCATGAGTCAGTTGAAGCTAGACCACCATGGAAAACTTGGAAACACTGGACGGCCGTTTCGTCCTATCGTGGGACTCCTCAGGAGTGTGCATTCACGACCCCACCCCCGCTAGATTCGAACCCAGGACCTATCAGTCTCGCGTCAGGCGCTTAACCACCTAGACCACTGAGCCGGCATCCAATGGCGTTAATGTCTAACTTCAACCAATCCACGAAACCGCGCCACCGTACACCACTGTCTTTAGTGAGCTGATATCTCACAACAGACCTGGTTGAATGAAATCCGTGATATCAAAATAAATAAATAAATAGATAAAATTCTGTCCACACATTTCATGTTATTTCATGTATTTGGAAAAATTCTAAGGGAATATTAGAGTTCTATGCATAAATATTACAAACTAGAGCTAATCTGATAAACTGTAATTCAGGAGATCAGTTTTCAGAAGATAAAATTTATTGGTGATATTCACTTACCTAAACAAGATATATATCCAATTAAAGGCCAACTGATTGGCCCAGGTGGTAATTTTGTTGAGCTTTTGATGTACAACAGATGGATGATAATAAAGCTAAGCATTAAAGCTATAGTCGAAAACAGAATTGTCCACATGGATATGATTTATTCACAAAATGAATTGAAAATAGTCTGTGATTAACAAAGAAACAAAGAGAATGAATGTTTGAATACGTATATTTTGTATAATTGTTGGTCAGAAAGCGAAGAAAAACAAAATGACACGGACTAGGTGAGTGAGCTAGCTCGATTTAATCAAGATTTAATTGATATTAATAGTCAAGCGAAAAGAAGTTACAGACATTTGACGAGTAAGATAAGAAATGCACACACATACGCTCATATAAAAACAGTCGAGGTTAATTTTTGCTAAAAGGATTTGTTACTGTAATCATATGTATTATATTCAGGAAAGTAGTTATCATTATTAAAGTTTAAGTTCAGGAATTCCCGGTTTGTATTTCTTCTAATTAACGTATAGTCAAATTGATTAATGTTCTATACTCGAAAAGCTGTTAAACAAGTGTTATCTATATTGAAGAGTGGATAGTGTTATTTTGGATATACTATATAGCTAAGTCAGAGCTCTTAATCTTGGTAACTATTGGGATTTATCGACAATATCGATTTAACATTAGATATTTAAGTATATTTCAACATATCGTTTTCCTTAAAACTAATCATGTGTTATTTCTAAATGTTTAAAACTTACAACCAGGTCAAAAGAGGCTCATCACAATTTAAATTTAGCTAATAACTTTAGTTCAGACAAAATTATGTAACAAAAAATATGTCAAATACAAATTTCCTATCATAATCTAATTACTTCGAGTGTTCAAATAAAAAAAGTTTCTGTCTATGTGAATAAAGAAGAGATAGATTTTACTGTCCGATACACAAATACTTCTAACTTCAGTCAGTTTACTATATCATGTGATTATCATCTATTTTAGTCAAAGACACCTATTTTACGCCGGACATAGTTGGACTCTATTGATCATTACTTCTCACTAGAACTTAAGAAATCTCTTCTCCTAGTCAGACATGAGTGAATACATGATTTACCTGACTATAGATGATTTTTGCATACTGTTCAGTCTTTAGAACGAAAGGTATGTTAAGTGTTTTTTTTAGTCTTCGGTGATTTTCTTGATAAAGTCAGATTTTACAATATACTACAAACTGAAAACCTACAAAACAAAAACCTATTCTAATATGGCCGACACTAATGAACATGATTGAGAAAAGAAAGTGTAAATAACATACAGCTGTAGAAAGATATAGATAAAATCATGGTAATTCTATTAAAAGAAAATCTTTTTCTCAGAATTCATTTTATTTTAAAATCCGGTGAACTTCTGTTCTAAACACAACTCTTAGGAATTGTTTAAAATAAGTCTGTATACACTTATTAGGTTTATAATTGTTTAGAATTATGTGAAGAAAAAGATAATTAACCATAGAATATAGTAAATAGATTCTTTCATAAATGATTGTCTTTGAATTGTAAACAAATACGACTCTAATACTTTATTAAATTCAGTGAATTAGAGATAAATGTTGTTTGATTAAATTAAGATTTTGAAACTGTTTTATGAATTGCTTACTTCATATAGGTTATAGATCGTAAAATTTTGTTGAAATAAAACTACGATTTACATGGGTAGATTAATAAAGTAACAAGCACATGGTAATGAACCTAATTTGATGGTTTCTTAGTGATGTAGTTGTCAAGGTGTTTTCTAATCAGTTAATCAAAAGGAATTAATCTAGTCTATTTCTGGTAATTTTCAAGTCGATATAAAACAAACATCAACCATTGACTGATTTTCAAAAGGTTATGAATTCTTATGTAATCAATGAAATTATATGTTTAACATTAAGGGACATTACAAACAAGGTATAAAGGCTGTGACCCCCAGTTAGATAAAAATACTTAAAGTGGTTATTCACTTGATAGTAAATAATATCATGTTAGCCTACCCATTAACGACATCAAAACCATAGTCATTTAGACTAGTTGATAAATTAGAATTTGATTGGTAGAATCTGATCAGTACTATGACTAGATAAATATGCAGTTAGTTACCACTCGGTGTTTAGTGTAAATCCAGCTACACCAAAAATTATCCATTTCAAACTGATTATCATTGCAGTAAATTGGTTAAGCAAATGGCAACAAGCTTTGATATATTTTAAGTTTAAAAAAGCATTCATAGTAAATTGCGACATAATCTGTTCTCATATTAGAAACGATATCGAATTGTCCTTATAGTTTAATCAAAGCTTCTTAAGTCGTAACGTAACGATTGACTTACCCTAAATTATCAAAGATGATGTGTATGAGGAGGAAAATTTAGGTCAAATGAACATCTGTAATAAACTGAGAATATAAGAGTTTAATTTATGGTTCGTGACTACTCACATATAACCATTGGCTTGTAATATTGAACAAATTGAGAGATTTTTTTAATGTGATACTTTACCAATATAAAGGTCAAATATCCAACTGTACAAACATACGAACAAGACCAATCATATTCAACCAAGTGGATATGTCCAATAACCAAGTGACAAAAGCCATATGCCCTAACTTGCGACTGATCGTAGAGATATAACAATTTAAAATTATTGAGGTTTTGAGCTAGGGTTAATCACAACCTAAAATCAAGAGGATTGAAGACATTAAATATTGACTAGTTTACTAGAATTCTATTGTTAGCCCAAATGACTTTTAGTTACTCGTTTTGTTTTTTATGATTATCTGTGATTGTTGCATCCAATCGATTGTTTTACAGACTACATTTAATTTCAATCTGTGCAAACTCAAAACTTAGCCCATCTCTTTTGTTAATAAGTATATTCCTGGCATAGATTCCTTTGACTTGATAGTTTCAGCAGATACGTTTGGTACTGTGAAGGTAAGTGTAATTGACTTCTAAATTGGATACTTTATACATGCGTATATGTGGTGTTTGAATGGACTAATGATACCTTTGTACTGGTTGAATGTTTGATTTCGAATTATAAATACAATACATTCGTTGGTGCCTGTGTCTTCTTAATTCAATTGCGTTAATACTGGAATTCCTAATTCATACGACAATCAGAATACTATAGTATATCATAATGAGGAATTGTCGAGATTGTGGTAATTCTAACCATTGAATTCATGAGTCGATCTAAGTTAGACTGTTATTGAAAACCTGCAAGCACTGGATGGTCGTCTCGTTATAGTATGGGACACCTCAGCAACGTGCATCCACGATTCCGCGCCAAAAGTACTTGAACCCAGGAACTTCGGTCTGATGGGCGAACGCTTAATATTTAGACCACTGAGCCGGCATCCAACAGTGTTAATGTCTAACTTCAGTAGATCCACGAATGGTCGCGCAAGCATCCGTCCATTGTTTGAGGTGGATACCTGTCTCTACCCGAAACGGATTGGACTACACTGGTCACCGCTTCTCGTTAGAACTCCTGGAAATCATCTTGAAGCCGGTCCCTAGTAAGAACATGATTATTATGATCAGAATGGGTTTTGTGGAGACTGTAGTAATTTTAATAAGTGAATTCATGAGTCAATGTAAGCTAGACCACCATTTAATACCTGAAAGCACTAGACATTAACACTGCTGAATGCCGGCTAAGCGTTCGCGCGCCAGACCGAAGTTCCTGGGTTCGAGTCCTTATGGTGCGGGACCGTGGGTGGGCGTTGCCGAGGTGTCCCGTGCTAGGACGAAACGACCGAACGGTGCTGGAAGGCTTTCAGTGGTGGTCTAGCTTAGATCGACCCGTAAATTCAACAGTTGAAATGACTAAAATCACTACAAAACGCATTCTGATTTAAATTTGTCCGTTCGTAGATTTCTTAGAGAATCTGTATTAATAAATAAACGAATCCAGAAAACCTTTTAAGGTTTATGAATAAATACTGATTTGACATATACAAGATAAAACTTCTTCACTGTAAATGAGCTTTCGTAAACAGTGTCTAGACTCAAATGCTCCGTCTAAAGTTAAACTAATAATACTATGAGTTTACACTCTATAAACCTGGATATTTACTTCTCGTGTGGTTTTCTTATAATCAGAAATACAGTCCTATTGTAACAAAAACACCAAGAAATTTATCCAAATATTTGTGAAGTGTGATTAGACCAGCAGAAATATTTTGTTTTAGTATTATTAGTTCTCAAAGATTATTCATTATTATTAGTAGTACATTTCAGAATTCTATATTGGTCCAAATCAAGATCTGTCTAATGGTTTTAACGTCATTCACTTCCTAAATTACGTAATGAGGTGAATTTCCGAGGTGAATGAGGTCCTCGGAACATTCATTCATCATCAATATATAACAAAACCGATGGTGACAGAAGACCAGAAAGGTCATTTACATACAATGGGGACAGCACTGGCCCCAAAACTGTACTTTGAGGTACTCCGCTAAGTACAGTTTCCCAGCTAGACAACTTTGAGTTCATCCATACTCATTGTTGATACGAAACTAGGAATCTCTGTATCTATTTATGTACGTTGCCTCAAACCCCGATACTTCTTAACCTAGATAACAGCCGGTTGTGAGGAACTTTGTGAAAAGTCATACTGATATCAATACAGGCTAAATCTATAGATAACCTTCGATCTTTAGAAGATCATCAACTATCACAACCTACTGTTAAGTTTATGAGACATGAACAACCTGTTTTAAAAGCATGTCGATTTTCAGAGATGATCCGGTTTTTGCTTAGACACTTAAGCAACCCCTTTGAATTATCTTTTCTAAAATCCTAACAACCACACTGGTCAGGCTTGCGGGTTGATAGTTCTCAGGTTTGTTTCGTACTTGTTTTGAAGATAGGGATTACCATGGTGTTGAGGAGGTATATATGCATAAAACAGGAAAACATCTGTACGGTTCAGTATCGGTTACTAAGTTAAGCCCTTATTCTAGCTTCAAGACAAACCAATTTACTCATCCTTCTCGAGTCACACTTTGACCTTGTCAGTTATTCGCTTATTAAGCTCGACTGTTTTTATGTAAACGTATGTGTGTGCACTTCTTGTCCTATCCATCACATGTCTGTAACATATTCTTGTGTGACTATAAATGTCGATTAATGCTCGACTAAATAGAGCTGGCCCACACTCCATCTCTGCTGTGCGTCATTTTGCTTCACTCTATCCTCTTCTCTGTCTTTGCTTCGTTTCTTTGAGTGTTTGTTTCGATCAACACTTGTACGAAATATACATATTCAAAAATTCATTCTCATATTTAACTCATTTGGTTCTGTTATTCACCAACGCGAGTTAAGTCGATAAGTACGAACGAGGATTGGCGATATGTCTACTTCGAAAACAATCATTCATGCAATCTACCTGAAGTCAGATTCAGGACCACGAGATTCTATTCATACTCAGAATAGTGAGAACCTCTTTACTGCGTAGGACCACTGAAATTCAACTGAGCCCTAGCCAAATCATCCTGCAGTTGGGTCATTGATCATCGAACAAATCATCGATCAAGGACAGTCCAACGCTCATCAGCTAATTGTATGGCATGAAGCACGTACTGTTAGCGTTTACTTGCAAGTAGGAGCGATCTGAAACACAACACAACAGTCAGGAACGGTAAATGCCACTGAAGTAAGAACACGGCGTACTGGCATAACAGAGATATATTTAAAAATTGAAAGACGCGGTTCGAGTACAAAGAGGGAAGCTTATTACAAAATGGGTTTATTCATTGTTCTGCAGGTTCAGCTTGCTTAAGGCTTGTCCCTCTTCTTCCAGTGCGTTCACTCTTTGTTGCCCTGCAATAAGGAAAACAAACTCACATTAGTAACGTCATATATAATGGTTTTTAATACCGTTACAGCCATGAACTGGCCAACGCGGCAGTGGTCTTACTTTCGCTCGTATCTACTTTAAGTAATATATTTCTGTAATAACATCCTCGACGTTTTACAGTCTTCAAAGCATCTATGGTACATTGATACATCAATGGGGTAGTCCATATGAGGTGCTGACCACGAGGTGTGACTTCGACGTTAGTTGGTTCGTCACGCCATTCCCGTTTAACTCGAATATACTTCCGATCATTTGACAAAGATCATCTACGTTGGTGATCTACAACTGAACTACGTTAGGGAGTTTCCCAGACTCCTTTCCATACCCAAAGGAATTCACTGTGCAGCAAACTTTGTTTACAAACTTTAGAATACCTCCCTAACTGGTTCAGCGAAGGTTTCTAGTTCTGTTGTACAGTGACATGAGGAGGTTGAGTGCATAAGTTCTTGTATATTTGATTTCCAAAAGGTTGGCCTAACTTGGGCTGACACATCGCTTTTGACAGTGTCACGAATTTTAAAGACAAGAACTGCATAGTCGCTCTTACCAAAGGTGGCTTATATCGAGGTTTTTAACGTCATCCGCATAAGGGACCAATATGAGGTCTTGTAAAGATGATTCAGACCGTGTTTTGTTGTCTCTCTCATGTATGACATTGGGACTGAGGCGGCTAATTTTCTGTGACAGCAACTACGTCCGGCTTGGTAAAGTCTATCTGAACACCTAGCTCCAATCGCTTAGTCAGCAGATATTAGCGCCATTTACATGACTTAGTGATGTGCCCAAAGCGGCTCCAGCATCATTCCATGTCGGATCTTCACCGTCCAAAAATTCACAATCCTAATAATCTAATTTTGGTTTTTAGTTCTTTTTTAGGTTTCTTCATTTATAAAACCTACGAGTAGCTAGTTCTAATGAATAAAAACTCTTGACTCGTATAGTTCGGGAAACTGGCTTTTCTTTAACGACATTAAATTGTTTTTATATTTAATTTGTATCCACTTACTGGTGTTCTCTGGAGTAGCGGTAGAGTCACATTACACACATTGTTGGATTCTAGATGATTGTCGATGAAGCAGTCCTAACCTTAAGACAGGGATTTTAAACGTCTCCCGGCTTCGACCACTAAGAGGACGAAGAACAGAAGTAAGCTGCTTCGTAAACTTTCGGGTTATATAGTTTTGGCTGCCATTTTTCATCTGCTTGAACAAAATCATAGACATAAATTTCGGTCTAGAGGTTTTTGCACTCACATGAAGTTAACAAATTGAAAATTTTTGGATGTCAAAAGTATACTAATTTCCTATCAGAATTCTCCATAAGAATCCCATGAGACTTTCGACAGTTGAACAGAATCAATCGTCAACTACTATGTGGTGCTGCAAGCAGGATAACACAGAGTATAATTTCATTATTGACATAGTGTACAAGAATCTAAATATCGCAGACTTCGTTTCCTATGTATCTTATATAAGCTCCAGAGGTTATCTTTGGATTATACTAATTGAGATATAAATACTCAA